GTAAGGCGGTAGGGTGCGGTGCAGTGCGGTGCAATGTGGTGCAGTGCGGTGCAGTGCAGTGCAGTGCAGTGTGGTGCAGTGCAGAGCGGTGCTGTGCTATGCATGGCGATGCACGGTGGTGGAGTGCTGTGGAGAGGGGCTGATGCAGCTAGGTGGGGTAGGTCGCGAGGCGGCTGGAAGACAGGGCCGCATAGCGGCTGGAGGACGGGGCCGTGTAGCGGCGGCTAGGGGACGCTTGGGCGGCGGGGCCGGCTTGGCGACGGGGCCGACTAGGCAACAGGGTCGGCGAGGCGACTGGGCCGACTGGGCGACGGGGCCAGCTAGGTGACGGGACTGGCTGGGCGACGGGGCCGACTAAGCAACGGGGCCGGCAGGGCGACGGGGCCGGCTAGGTGACTGGGCCGGCTAGGCGACGGGGACGGCTAGGCGACGGAGCCGGCAGGGCGACGGGGCCGGATGGGCTACAGGGCCAGCTGGGCTACGGGGCCGGCTAGGCGACGGGGCCGGCTTAGGCAACGGGGCCGGCCGGGCTACGAGGCCGTCTAGGCGTCGGGGCCGGCTAGGCGACGGGGCCGGGTAGGCGACGGGGCCGGCTGGGCTACGGGGCCGGCTAGGTGACGGGGCCGGCTAGGCGACGAGGCTGGCTGGGCGACGGGGCCGGGCAGGCGACGGGGCCGGCTGGGCTTTGGGGCCGGCTAGGCTTTGGGGCCGGCTAGGCGACGGGGCCGGCTGGGCTACGGGGCCGGCTAGGCAACGAGGCCGGCTAGGTGACAGGGGGCCACTAGGGGTCGGGCCAGCATGGGCGGGAGGGCGACGGGGCGGCTAGGACCTATGGCGGAAGCGCCGGTGGTCGGGGGGGACCTAACCTACTCATGATACCATGTTGAAGTTAACAAATGACTAGAACAATGACATACAAAGGAATATTACCTAGTGGGTTGTACTCCCTAAGGCACAAACTTGTATAGTCTATAACAACATACAATGATATGTTTGACAGTTGCGTGCTGGCACGTAGGACATATTAATGACAACGCATCATGCGTCAACTTAGTTGTGTCGCTGCTGAGGGGACCGGCACTTGATTGGTGTCACATGCATCTGGACGAGGGAGGAGCCTCGGCAGGGAATCAATGGGTGGCAGATGGGGAGTACAGTTCATCAACAGTGAAGGCAGAACCGATCTTTGGGTCGGCCATGATCCGCACGTGGAAAGCATGGGCCGAAGCATTGAAGGGCAGATTCGAGCACATATGCATGCGCGAAAATGCTTGCACAAAGCTTCGGACGTGGACACAGTTGGGCTCAGTCCAAGAATACACGTTGTCGTTTCTGGCGATCTGCGACCAGATCGGAGGGCTTAGCGAAGATGAGCTCATCGATCGCTACGTGGGGTGGTCTCAAGCCGGAGATTCAGCAAGAGATCGTCCTGCGAGCCCTGGCGACATTCAATGAAATTGTTCGCATAGCAGACGCACTGGACGAACGACGTGGACTCGCGAGGGCGGGTTTCCAGGAGGGAAATCGCTTTTGAGGCCAGCCCCAGTACACATCAATCAACGGCGTGGACGTGTTTGCAGCCCGAGTCTTTTCGGGAACCTGCTTCCACTGCAACCAACCGGGTCACATGGTGAGGGACTGTCCGCAGCTGAAGAAGAACTTAGCTAACGACAAGAAGCAATCGGGAAATTGAGATCGTCATTAGAAGATAGGCCACCTACTGACTTGACTGCGTTGCCCAAACGCCACCACCCCCACCAGGTTATAGTGCCGATTTGGGCTATCGACCATTCCTTGCTGAATAAGAGGGGTGAACCGGTTGATCGCCCTGTGCTGGTTGAAGGAAGAGCTGGCGACACCCGCATCAAAATATTTGTTGATGGTGGGCCGAGCTACAGTTTGATGGACGTGACGAAGACAAAAAAAAATGTGATTGCGGTTGGAGCGCTGCATGCCTGAAATTGATGCAAGATTGGTTGATGGAACACCACTTGCAATTCGAGAGTGAGTGCCTCACGTGCGAGTCACTTGTGGCGAAAATTTTAGTTTCACGACGAAGATGCTGGCGACAACTTTGGACGGGTGCGACATGCTGCTGGGACGCGATTGGCTGCGAGAATACAACCCGAGCATCGACTGGCGGACGTGCGATTGTCGCATCAAATGGAGTGGCGAGTGGCGACGACTACCCAAGTGGAGCTGTCAAGATTCGACCACATCGATAGTCAGCGCGGTGACGATCAAGCGAGCCATAATTCGAGGGGCGCAACTTTATGCCGTCTGATGGATCGCATCAACCGCTGTCGACACGCCGACCGACTTCGACAAACTCTGCGTAGCTGTCCCGGATGACTTGGCAATGGTGATTCAGAAACACGCCGACATTTTTCCTGACGACCTACCGGTGAGAGCATGAGCACAAAATCTGAGCTAGAGCCCGGCGCGTAGCCAACTGTTCGGACTCAATGGCGGCTGACTCAGCCCGAGCTGTATGAACTTCGAAGCCAGTTGGACTACCTGCCCGAGAAAGGTTTCGTTCACCCCAGCACCTCACCGTTTGCAGCTCCGATCCTGTTCACCATGAAAAAAGATGGCGGTCTACGAATGTATCTTAAATACCGCACATTGAATCGGGTTACCATCAAGTCCTGCTATCCTATTCTGACGAACTCATCGACCAGCTTCGCGGGGCCAAGTTTTTCTCGAAGATTGACTTGCGAGGCGGTTATCACCAGATTCGAGTACACGAAGCTGACTGCTTCAAGACGGCGTTTCGGACCCGGTATGGGAGTTACGAGTACACGGTTATGTCTTTTGGCTTAACAAATGTGCCTTCGACATTCCAGGTAACCATGAACGAGGTTTTTCGACCCCTGCTGGATAAGTGCGTCATGGTGTACCTCGACGATATCCTAGTTTACAGCACTACCCAGGAGTAGCATTTGAAGGATTTGGAAGCAGTCTTCTCTCTATTGCAGCAGCACCGACTCATCACCAAGGGCTCTACGGCACCCTGACTCAGCACCGACTCATCACCGGCTCATCGCAACTTTTGGACAAAAACCTGGCAGCATTACGTCACACGTGTGCATCTGTCCACAACTTACCACCCGTAAACGGACGGCCAGACTGAGCACACCAATCAGGCGATGGAGCAGCTGATTTGTACGACGTGCACAGACCCGGCCCAATGGGAAGACGCCCTTCCCTTGATCGAGTTTGCGTACAACAACACCCTATCGGCCACGACTACAGTCCCCATTCTTCCTTAATTACGGGATAGATCGGACAACCCCTCTATCGTCCCCGATATAAAACCCGGCACCAAGATCTCACCAGTTCGTAAAAAACCTCCGACAGTCTCAGCAAAAAGCCACCGATGCCATCCTCAAAGCTAACCAGAGGGTTAAGCAGCAAGCTGACCGACGATGCCGAGACTTAACGCTTGCCCCTGGACGATTGGTCTTGCTCGACACAAGAAATTTGAGAATTCCCCTCCCAAATAAATCACGACCAAGATTTTGCGGCCCATTCCGCTTCATCCGCATGGTGTTATCAGTCACCGCCCATTTGCAGCTGCCGACCGACTGGCGAATCCATGATTCGTTCCACGTCAGTCTCCTGCGAACGTTCGTCCCGAGTACGACTAATCTCGACTGTCAACACATCAATCCTATGGTCAATCCAGTGCCCGAGCCAACGATCGAGCCGTCCAAGATTCTCGCTCATCGCGTACGAGGCCATCGAGATACAGTAGCCGTCGATTTCCTTGTACGATGGGTCGATCGCACGACTGACGAAAATCTTTGGGTCCCCGCAGCTATGCTCGGCGAACACAAGTAGTCCGGGACTATTTACACCGCCGACGTGTCCCAGATGTGGGTAGTCTCATCCTGGAAGGGGGGGTGGTGTAAGAAAATTCTCTTTTCCCTACTGGGCCCGATTACAGCGCGTACGCCATCGACTCTCGGAAGTCCAGGCTCAGCCAACTTCTTCGATCCCAAACCATTTCGCGAACCCAAACCTAGACGCGCAGCGCTTCCGTGGATTTCGTCAACCGGGCCGCCTCTACATGTTCGCGTGGTTCTCGGCTAGCTCTGTTCTGTTCGTGCCTATGTCTAGGCCCTTATTTGTATCGACAATCTTGAATGACGACTCCTTTATTACACTGCCAGTTATTAGTCTGACTAATTCATAACAGTGCAATTTTATTTGTATCCGCTGTATTTATCGACGAGATGCATGGCAGAAAACAATTTTGGTTATCAAAGCACTTTTTAGACATTTGTTTTGATAGGTGCCCGAAAATCTTACTGTTAGGCTAGGTGCCCGAAAAGTGAAACCAAATGTATAGGGCTGCGATGCAACCCAAAAAGAGAAAGCAAAACATAGATTGAACTATTAATAATAACACCTTTCACAATGGAGATTAGGATGTGTAAACTTCTCCGAAGCCAGTTAGTACTGGAATGGGCCTTATCAAAGCCTGTGCTGCCAAATTGTGGCCAGATGATGTGCCACGTGGTCAAGAGCTGACCTAGAAAATGCCGTCAGGTCTGCAGTCACCACCAGCTTCAAACCGGAGCTTCGATTTTGGGAATTTGACTTCAGGTTATCCATTCAGAGCGTGTCCCAAATGTACGTCAAATGCGGTTGCGTCCGGTGCTAGCCTTTTTCAGAAGGATGAGGGCATGTAACATTTCTTACGAGACTGTTTCAGGGTCGACCATTCAGAAAGGTTAAACGCTCTCTAGTACATTTAAATGCGATTTATAGTAAAACAACATGGTACAATGCGGTTTGGAACATGTTCGAGAAAAAGTTACTTGCCCTAAATGATCAATCTGATGTTGTTGGGGTGAGGGTATTGAGCGGAAATGTGCGCTCGGGAGTCCGGACTCCGGACACGCCCTCATACATCGAGCATCATCGTTGCCTGGTGGATCCTCGGTCTACAGACGAAGGTTGACCAGAAACTGGGTGCTTTCTAGCGGTTGTCAGAACTGTCTACTACGCCAACCGCCTCCTAAGCTTGCCTGCTCTTGTCGCAGGCGAGGCCTACCGAACAGGAGGCAAATTCCAGGCCTCTCTTCCACGCCATTTTCAGCCTTTTTTGGCTGAACCTGCATTGGGTAATCTGGAAGTTGAGTTGCTCGGGACGGACCTCGTGTAGTTCACTATTGTCTGGTTCGCTTCGACGACTAAGTTCCCCCTTTCCTCTTCCCAATACTTTCGATGACGTCACATCTTATCGCTCGCAACGCTTCGCCTCCCGGCGTTATCACACTCGTTATAATCACGCCAAGAACGATCGCCAGACCCGCCGTGATCGCATTTCCCAGAGCCGCTCAACGGCAGTTCTCAGCCACGTGTCATCATAATCACCGTTTCAAGTCGAACGGTCCTGATTCGTCGCACGTTCCTGGACCTTCACTAGCGAAGTTGCCATCAGTTCGTTCGCTTAAGCTCGTCGCTGAGTTGAGACAGGGAGGGTTTGCAAATGTCGAAAACGGTAGCTCAGCACTCAGGGAGGAGCCTCGGTCCGAGCCTACAACTCTGTTACAACCATTCCGAGCCTCACACTCCGATGTCGTTCATTCCAGTGGCGATACTTCCCCGCGAACCTACAACGATGCTGCTGCGTCCCCGCGCACGTGGTCTTCCCTCGGCGCTTTTGAGTCGAGCGAAAAGCAGAAAATTTCCAGTGGGGATACTACTTCGGCGTCCCCGCGCTTGTGGTCGTCCCTCTGCGCGTCCTGCGTGCTTCTCGCCCTCCTCAACTCCTCCTTTCCCGCCTTGGCCTCGCCTGCCACTGACCTGTCCTCGATATACGCCAGCCCGACACTCGCTGTAGCAAATGATATTCAACGGTACAGTTTACCGGAGCTTGCGAGCTCAACCGAGGTGTCGCCGCAAGGCTATTTTGGGATTTATGGAGAGATATTTCAAGAGGCGTTGCTCCCAGCACCGCCGTTGGAGTCAGAATTGACCAGCTTAGAGGGCTCTATATCCACCTCTATTTCAAGCAGCAGCAGCAGCAGCAGCAGAAGCAGCAGCGGTACCTCTACTCTCGCTATATCCGACAATGCCACAGTCCTAACCTCCCCACCGTCTGTCGCTTCTCCTTCCTCCTCCCCCTCTACCCCCTCCCTAACTTTCCCCCCCTCCTCCCTCTTCTGCCCCCCGCCTTCCCCCACCAATCTCATTGGCGAACGTTTTGCCCCTGACCCGGAAGTAACGGACCAATCAGTGGTCCTGGAGGCGTGGGAAGTGGTCAACGAAACGTTTTTCGATGCCCGGAACAAGGGGTGGTCGCCCGAGGCCTGGGCAGCCAAAAAAGAGGCTATTATTCGAAAACCCCCCAGAAGCAGGGGGGAGGCTTACGCCATGATAAGCAGCATGCTGGCGAGTTTAAACGACCCGTATTCTCGGTTCGTGACGCCTAAGCAATTCGCGGCATTAGCTAAGTACGACGTTACCGGAATCGGGCTGAATATAGGCGAGGACGTGGAGGACGGGAGGGTGAAGCTTAAAGTGGCGGGGATCGTGCTCGGCTCGCCGTCACAGCTGGCAGGTGAGCTGGCAATGAGCTGGCGTGACATGTGGTTGCCGAGCTGGCAGATTCACTGAGCTGGCAGATGTACAGTGCGCCCCTCGTCTGTGCGTGTAATCGTCAGTCCTCCCACCGTTGGAGTCCCATGGTCCTCGTCGTGAACTTCTCTCAACTGTCTCTTCGCCCTCTCCTCCTCTCCCTCTCCTCGTCTCCCTCTCCTCCTCTCCCTCTCCTCCTCTCCCTCTCCTCGTCTCCCTCTCCTCCTCTGCCTCTCCTCCTCTCCCTCTCCTCGTCTCCCTCTCCTCGTCTCCCTCTCCTCGTCTCCCTCTCCTCCTCTTCCTCTCCTCCTCTCCCTCTCCTCCTCTCCCTCTCCTCCTCTCCCTCTCCTCCTCTCCCTCTCCTCCTCTCCCTCTCCTCGTCTCCCTCTCCTTGTCTCCCTCTCCTCCTCTCCCTCTCCTCGTCTCCCTCTCCTCCTCTCCCGCTCCTCCTCTCCCGCTCCTCCTCTCCCGCTCCTCCTCTCCCGCTCCTCCTCTCCCGCTCCTTCTCTCCCTCTCCTCCCTTCCCTCTCCTCCCTTCCCTCTACCTCCCTCCTCTTCTGCTTCTCGCCCCTTCTCCTCTCCCGTCCCCCCGCCCCCCTCTTCCTCCTACCACCTCCCCCTCTCCCACTGCTCACTACCACCCACCGCCCCATCCCTCTCATTAAACCTCCTCCCCCCATCCCTCCCCCCCCACCAACACCCCACCTTACCTCTCCCTTCCCCCAGCCTTCACCTCTTCTCCCTTTCACCCGCTTTTCTCCAAGAACCATTTAATGTATGAGTGAACGGAACGAGCGTTCAAGGCATGCCTCCTTCTTCCTCCTCTCCCCTTATCTTTCGTACCCCCGCCAATCCCTCCCGCCCTTTCACCCCCCCTCTCCAGGCGTGCGTCAAGTCGAGAAGCTGGGCTCAGTGAACGCACAAGCATGCAGGGCATGCTCGTCTTGATCCCTGCCGCACTTAAACCCGCAACCCTGTCCCCCATACCCCGACCCGACATCTCAACAACAAACCTCCTTTAGGGGTGCGCCAAGGGGACGAGCTGGTCTCAGTGAACGAACAGGAGGAGCATGCAGGGCATGTCCGCATTCAACGTACCTTCGCTCATCCCCCGTCCTAATCCCCTTGCCCCATTCCCTCCGCCACCCGAAAACGTAAACGCAGGGGTGAGGCAGGGGGACGAGCTGATCTCGGTGGACGGCACGAGCGTGCAGGGCATGTCCGCATTCGACGTATCTTCGCTCATCCAGGGCCTCAAGGGCACCCCTGTCACCATCGGCATTTGCCACGACTCCTGCTCCCCTATAGAGCTCCTCAATATGGCGCCTTTTCCCCTGCTCCTCTTCTCCCTTGGACCCACTCCCCCCCCCACCTCCACATCCCCCTTCCCCATATCCCCCTTCCCCATATCCCCCTTTCCCATTCCCCCCATTTTTCGAAACCCTGATTGCAGGGGTGAGGCAGGGGGACGAGCTGGTCTCAGTGGAGGGCACGAGCATGCAAGGCATGTCGCCAACCTCTATACGTCCACCCTTCTCTTCCCTTGTCCCAACCCTCGTTCAGGCGTGCGTCAAGGGGGCGAGCTGGTGTCGGTGAATGACACGAGCGTGCAGGGCATGTCCGATTCTTCCTCCTCCCCCATTTGCACGCGCCCATATCCCCCCAACTCCCCCCCCTCCCCTCCCTCTTCTCCAGGGGTGCGCCAAGGGGACGAGCTGGTGTCAGTGGACGGCACGAGCGTGCAGGGCATGTCCGCATTCGATGTATCTTCGCTCATCCAGGGCCCCAAGGGCACCCCCGTGACCATCGGCATTCGCCACGACTCCTGCTCCCCTATAGAGCTCCTAACTATGGCGCGCACCAGCGACGTCCAATCACCCGTTCTCTACCGCCTCGACCGAAACGACCCCATTTCCCCCCTGGGTCTCTTCCAAGACTTCTCCTCTGCTGCTTCTTCCTCCTATTCCTCCTCTCCCTCCTCTCCCTCCTCTGCCTCCTCCTCCTCTTCTTCTCCTTCCTCCATGTTTTCGTCTGTATTTTCCTCCTCCTCTGCCCCAACCGGCCCCGTTGGTTACATCCGCCTTAAGGAGTTCAACGCTGCAGCAAAACGTGACATGGTAACCGCGATCCAACGGCTAGAAGCGGCTGGGGCGGTGTCCTTTGTCCTCGACCTACAGGACAACCCTGGTGGCCTCGTGCAATCAGGGGTAGAAATCGCAAAACTCTTCCTCGAACGCGGGCAAACCGTGGTCTACACTGAGGGCCGCCCGGGCGAATTACCCCAGAAAAGAAGCATAGAAGCCACTGGAAAACCCCTCACGCGAGCCCCTCTAACCGTTCTCGTGAACGGGCGAACGGCGAGCGCGAGCGAGATTGTAGCCGGGGCTCTGCACGACAACTGCAGAGCGGTCCTGGTCGGGTCGAGGACCTTCGGAAAGGGGCTGATACAGAGTGTTTATGAGCTGAATGACGGGTCGGGTATGGTGGTTACGGTGGGCAAGTATGTGACGCCGGGTCTGGTGGACATTGATGGGAATGGCATTGCGGCGGACTTCAGGAGGAAGCCGAGTGGGGATATGGCCAGGTGGAAGCTCGCCAACTGCCAGGTGCCCAGCTCGTAGATCTAGGCTTTGGAGGGAGAAGGGGCTGGAGGGGGTTGATTCAGTCCGTGTGTGAGCTGTGGAGGATGCAAGATCGTGAGCTCGTAGGCTATGGGAAGGGATGGTGGTTGGGGAGGGCGTGGTGGTGACGGTGGGCAATCATGTGAGTCGGGACTCCTGGTTTGGTGGACATCGATGGGAATGGCATTGCGGCGGACATCAGGAGGAAGCCGAGATATGGCCAGATGGAAGCTGGCCAACTGCCAGGTGCCGGGTGGAATCTGGCTAACTGCCAAGTGCAGCATTCGTAGGCTTAAAGCAAGGGGTGTTCGTGGTGCGGGAGGGGGAAGAGGGGACTCTTGTGGACTTCAGAGGGAAGCCCAGTGGGTAGGTGGCCAGGTGGAACCTCGCTCGCTGCAAGGTGCTGTCAAGCTGGTAGACGTGGGGAAGGAGGAGGGGTGCTGCTGGTAGTGGCGGAGGAGGGAGAGGGGCAACTGTGTAGCTTGAGGGAAGGAAGGAAGCCCAGCGGGGAGGTGGCCACGAGGAGCCTTTCTCGCTGCAAGGTGTCTGTCTGGCTCATAGGCGTAGGGAAGGAGAAGGGGTGCTGGTAGTGGCGGAGGAGGGAGAGGGGCAACTGTGTAGCTTGAGGGAAGGAAGGAAGCCCAGTGGGGAGGTGGCCACGAGGAGCCTTTCTCGCTGCAAGGTGTCTGTCTGGCTCATAGGCGTAGGGAAGGAGAAGGGGTGCTGGTAGTGGCGGAGGAGGGAGAGGGGCAACTGTGTAGCTTGAGGGAAGGAAGGAAGCCCAGCGGGGAGGTGGCCACGAGGAGCCTTTCTCGCTGCAAGGTGTCTGTCTGGTTCATAGGCGTAGGGAAGGAGAAGGGGTGCTGGTAGTGGCGGAGGAGGGAGAGGGGCAACTGTGTAGCTTGAGGGAAGGAAGGAAGCCCAGTGGGGAGGTGGCCACGAGGAGCCTTTCTCGCTGCAAGGTGTCTGTCTGGCTCATAGGCGTAGGGAAGGAGAAGGGGTGCTGGTAGTGGCGGAGGAGGGAGAGGGGCAACTGTGTAGCTTGAGGGAAGGAAGGAAGCCCAGTGGGGAGGTGGCCACGAGGAGCCTTTCTCGCTGCAAGGTGTCTGTCTGGCTCATAGGCGTAGGGAAGGAGAAGGGGTGCTGGTAGTGGCGGAGGAGGGAGAGGGGCAACTGTGTAGCTTGAGGGAAGGAAGGAAGCCCAGTGGGGAGGTGGCCACGAGGAGCCTTTCTCGCTGCAAGGTGTCTGTCTGGCTCATAGGCGTAGGGAAGGAGAAGGGGTGCTGGTAGTGGCGGAGGAGGGAGAGGGGCAACTGTGTAGCTTGAGGGAAGGAAGGAAGCCCAGCGGGGAGGTGGCCACGAGGAGCCTTTCTCGCTGCAAGGTGTCTGTCTGGCTCATAGGCGTAGGGAAGGAGAAGGGGTGCTGGTAGTGGCGGAGGAGGGAGAGGGGCAACTGTGTAGCTTGAGGGAAGGAAGGAAGCCCAGTGGGGAGGTGGCCACGAGGAGCCTTTCTCGCTGCAAGGTGTCTGTCTGGCTCATAGGCGTAGGGAAGGAGAAGGGGTGCTGGTAGTGGCGGAGGAGGGAGAGGGGCAACTGTGTAGCTTGAGGGAAGGAAGGAAGCCCAGTGGGGAGGTGGCCACGAGGAGCCTTTCTCGCTGCAAGGTGTCTGTCTGGCTCATAGGCGTAGGGAAGGAGAAGGGGTGCTGGTAGTGGCGGAGGAGGGAGAGGGGCAACTGTGTAGCTTGAGGGAAGGAAGGAAGCCCAGTGGGGAGGTGGCCACGAGGAGCCTTTCTCGCTGCAAGGTGTCTGTCTGGCTCATAGGCGTAGGGAAGGAGAAGGGGTGCTGGTAGTGGTGGAGGAGAGAGAGGGGCAACTGCGTGGCTTGGGGGGAGGGGAAAAGCTCGCTAGCTGCAAGGTGCAGCGCTCATAGGCTTTGGGAGGGTTTAGGAGTGTTGGCAGGGAGGAGAGGGACGAAAGTGGCAGGTGAGGGAACTGGAGTTGGGGGGGCGGAAGCTGGCTAGACAGAAGCTGGCAAACTGCAAGGTTCCAAGCGAGCTCCTGGGCAAAACGGGTGGTGGGCGGGGAAAGGAAGGGGTGGTGCCGAAGGTGGGAAGGAAATGGGACGTTTGGAAGGGCACGGAACGGATGCTGTTGGGCTATAAAAAGATTCTGTTATTCCAACAGGTTGACAGGTTCAAGTTGGACGCCGGATACATGTGGAGAGAATGAGATACTAGAGGATTCCCAGTTTTGACAGTTTTTTGTTTTCCGTGGCAGAGAGCTATGTGATGTGAAGTATCATTCAACATTGTAAAGCTCTACAGAGACATGCATACATTTATCACTTTTTCAGAGTCGCTATGTTCCTAAAAAATTCGCACAATTTACCCTTCGTGGCTGAGATACCGAAGCAGCTGTCTGACAATAAAGGCACAACCAGTAGAGAGTACAAATTACTGACTTACGGACCATGTGCCTGACCGACCGACCAGATGCTGTAGAAGGCGAAAAGAGTAGCCTATCCGCAACGCCAATTCGCCGCGCCGTCTGAACCTTCCACTTTTATAAGCTACTCCTAATCTCGGCGAATTTCGTAGTCCAGTTTTTTTTAGTTTCAGACTTCTCCGAGTGAGCCTGGGGTGACGACAAACAAAGGCGAGACGCGCGGGTGGTTCGTAGGGCCTACGGGTAGTTCCGCACATATAATTTCTTAGCCGCCTTAAAATCAGTCGCCGCAGGCCGTTGCGTTCATCCCTGTGTTTTAAGACGCGTCCAAACGCCAAGGCGAGACGCGCGATACCGGGCCTGTCTAGCGGTTTGAGGCATCTCCCAAGTGACGAGCCACGGGGAGAGTAATTTCGTTTTGAGGTCGACTCACATCGAAGACTAACAGGGAAGGAGCATCGACGCATAGTGAAGAGTTAGACGTCGTGCGTTCCCATTTCAGTCGAGCAAAACACTCCAGCGTTGAAGTCCTTATGCCACTAATTTCGTTTTGAGACCTCTCAAAACGAGATTACTATCACACCGTTACAGTCGAGCTAGAGGCTCCAGCGTTGAGGTCCAAAAGGAGAGACATAGCTTGACTGTCACAGCGTTGAGGTCCTTATGGAGACATCCTTCTTTAGCTGGGTTCGAGCAGAAGCCACCGCGAGACGAGGCGAACGACGGAGAGGGAGTGACCGGGCAGGGGACGGGCGAGGAGGTGGTAGAGGGGGCGGCACCAGGGGAGAAAGGGGGGGAGACAGGGGGGAAGGCAGGGGGCCAGCGCAAGCAGCAGGCACAGGGGGAGAAAGGGGGGGCGACAGAAGTGAAACCCCAGGAGACAGAGGGGGAGGCGGGGGGGAAGGCAGGGGGGCAGCACAGGCAGCAGGCGCAAGACCAGCATCATCAGCATCGTCACAATCAGCAGCTGGTTCCAGAAGCAACCCTAGGGCTCATAGCAGCGGCGCACTGAGGCGAGCTGAGCGGTTTAAGGAGGAGGGCAACGAGCACTACAGCGCGGGGGATATAGCAGCAGCTATAAAGTGCTACACCAAGGTAGGTATGGTGCTTCGATATAAGGTAGAATGATTCGTTATAAGGAGCAAAATATACACCTCCAAGCGCTCATAGCAGCAGGGCTCTGAGGCGAGCTGAGCAGTTCAATCAAGGAGGAGGGCATCGAGCACTACAGCGTGGGGAACATTTCAGCAGCTATAACGTGCTACACTAAGGTACGTATGGTGCTTCGATATAAGGTGCTATGATTCGTTAAAGGGTGAGCGGTTTAAGGAGTAGGACAACGAGCACTACAGCGCGGGGAACATTGCAGCAGCTATAACGTGCTACACTAAGGTATGTATGGTGCTTCGATACAAGGTGCTATGATTCGTTAAAGGGTGAGCGGTTCAAAGGAGTAGGACAAAGAGCACTACAGCGCGGGGAACATTGCAGCAGCTATACCGTGCTCTACACCAAGGTACAGTGTTTCGATATAAGGCAAATGATTCGTTATCAATTGAGCAGGTTCAGGAGGATAATAAACGAGCGGCAATTTTTTTCCCTGCCAACTTTCTATTCAATCCCCTTATCGATTTCCATCTCTGTTGACCGCCCCCGGCGATAAGCCTCTACCCATCAGTTGTATTTTGAGTCGACTCGGGCTTCAGCGTTAAAGTCCATATGGAGACAAATACACCTGTTGACCACCCCCGGCGATAAGCCTCTACCCATCAGTTACTACAGCCCTTATTTTCCTTATCTTTCTGTTTTCCTTATTTTTTCTCCTCTTTTTTTTTCCGGTTACCAGGCAATCGACCATTGCCCATCAGTCGCCACTTTCTGGACCAATCGGGCGCTCTGCCACAGAAAGAGAGGGTGAGGGAAAAGAGAGAAGCGGGGAGGGTGAGAGGAAAGGGCGGAGAGGAAGGAGCAGAGGAATTAGAGGGGAGGATCAGTGGCCACTTTCTGGACCAATCTGGCGCTCCGCTACAGAAAGAGAGGGTGAGAGATGAGAGAAAGGAGAGGACACGAGGATTATTATGTGTGAGTACCTGGTTAAGGAACGACTCAGTTGCAATCCCTTGGACGAAACGTCTGCTTTATGACGGGCTCCTTGCTCTCTGGCTCCTCTTTAGCGCTCTCCACTCCACTTGCCGGAGAAAGCTTCTGTGGCGCCTCAAAACCAAACTACTCAACCTCGGATTATACACTGAGAGTGCTTCTGTGGCGCTCTAGTTGGCTACCACATCATAGGCATGAGCATAGACATGACCATAGGCATGACCATAGGCATGACCATAGGCATGAGCATAGGCATGAGCATAGGCATGCGCATAGGCATGCGCATAGGCATGCGCATAGGCATGACCATAGGCATGACCATAGGCATGACCATAGGCATGAGCATTGCCTTGCAGCCGCCCACAAGTGCCAGGAGGTGCCTGGCAGCTGCCCCTAGCTGCCAGGTGGTGCTTGGCAGCCACCCATAGCTGCCATGAGGTGCCAAGCAGCCGCCCCTAGCTGCCAAGCGGTGCCTTGCAGCCGCCCACAGCTGCCAGGAGGTGCCTGGCAGCCGCCCCTACCTGCCAGGGCGGACTGGGTAAAGATGTGCCAGACCGCCAGTGCCAGACCATTAGTTCCCAACGCCCTCCCTCCCTCCCCTCCCTTCCCCATCCTCCGTATCTCCAGCGACTGCGTAAGGGCGATTCAGTTCCTTCAATATTCAACCACCACGTACTATTGTGCCCCCCTCGTTCCCCTCTGTCCTCTCCCCCCTTCCTTCCCCTTCCCTCTCCTCCCCCCCCCCCCTTCCCCCCCCGCCCTCTTTCTCCCCGCACCCTCTTTCTCCCCCCATGATCGCAGCGACTGGCTTCAGGTGCAGCATGACTGTGTGCGGGCGATCGAATGCGACAAGAAGTCAGTCAAGGTGTGAAGGGTGTGGTTAGTACAAGTTGTGTTGGTAGTATGAATAAAGGGCGAGTGGGTTCACCTGAGTCACCCGACCCGAGTTGTGTTGCTTGCAAGGCTCACCAATGCCATGCGACATGGCATGGGTGATTTTTGAAATTTCTTTTGAGGCGCCTCAAGAGCAAGGCTTACCATGCAGCAGGCCACGGGGTGATTTTTTAGAATTCTCAAAACTAACACATTAACATGCGCCTTGTCATCCACCCACCCACAGCAGGCGCATTAGTATTCGGTTATGGCTCTGACCGAACTTGCTCGCTTCTTAAAGTGTCTGCATGTTGCTTGCCCTTTCCCCACCTCCCCCTTGCATCAGGCGCATTACTATTCGGGTATGGCGCTGACTGAGCTTGCTCGCTATCCCGAGGCAATTGGTATTCTTCAAAAGGTGTGTGAGCATGACTCTCTTAATTCAGGGGTTTCGGGGTTAGCGTCGTATGTAGGATGACTTTAGAGTCGACTCAACAGGCTTGCTCGTTATCCAGAGGCAATTGGTATTCTTCAAAAGGTGTGTGAGCATGACCCTCTCTTGATTCAGGGGTTTTGGGGTTAGCGTCGTATGTAGGATGACTTTAGAGTCGACTCAACAGGCTTGCTCGTTATCCCGAGGCAATTGCCGTGCTTCAGAAGGTACGCCACAATCTTGATTCAGTGTTTCGAGGAGGTTAGGGATGTACGTGGGATCGGAATTTGAGCTTTCAGGTGCTGCTGCTGCAGAGCACCGTTTGGGATTTGTTCGTGTCACAGTCTTTGATTCAGTCAGGGTGTGAGGGTTTGCCACCACCTTCTTGGCGTTTTCGGGTTTAAGATCGGAGCTTGAGCTTTCAGGTGCTGCTGCTGCAGAGCACCGTTTGGGATTTGCTTGTGTTTTCGGGTTTAAGATTAGACCTCGGGCTTTCAGCTGCTGCTGCTGCTGCTGCTGCTGCATGGCACCGTTTTGAGACGTCTCAAAACCAGATAATGAGGTGAGCTGTGTGCCATTTTTTTTGTGTTTTTTTTTCGGGCATTTTTGTTTTTGTTTTTTTTTCTGACATTTTTTTAATGTTTTTTTTTTCTGACATTGTTTACGCTTTTAATGACATGTTTTTTTCTGACATTTTTTCTGACATGTTTTTTTTTATGCTTAAAAAAAAAATGTTCCTCCTTTTTATTCTAAGCAGTCTGCTGCTGAAATGATTTAGATTCGCCTCAACAAAGCTGTATGCCAGCTTTTATGTTCCTTCCACTCCAAATCAAGCACGCGGTTGAGATGATTCGGTATGAATCCGTGTTGGGTTGGGAGCAGCGGAGCCACCGACTCGAAGCAGCAGGCTGAGCTGTTTGCTGGTTTGCACATGGATTTTGTGTGTCCTTTCTCTTTCCTTCCTTCCCCCAACCCACACTCGAAGCAGGCTGTTGAGATGATTCGGGATGAATCTGTGCTGGGAGCAGCAGAGGCACCAACTCAAAGCAGCCTGAGCTGTTTGCTGGTTTTTGATGTGACTTTTGAGTCGACACAAAAATGGTTTGTTGTGTCCCTTGCCCCACTCCACTCCACTCCACTCGAAGCAGGCTGTTGAGATGATTCGGGATGATTCGGTGTTGGGGACAAGCAGATACACCTACTCGAAGCAGCCTGAGCTGTTTGCTGGTTTTTGTGTCACTTGCCCCACTCCACTCAAAGCAGGCTGTGGAGATGATTCGCGATGATTCGGTGTTGGGGACCAGCAGAGGCAATTTGAACGATGTTTGGAGTGCCTTAGCTACTGCTAGGTAATGCGGTGCACATGTTAATGCGTAAGAGCACGCATTACTTGGTACTTGATTGCTCTCAAAGCACTTGATTCGGTGTTGGGGCTGGACTAGCAGAGGCAACTTGAACGACGTTTGGAATGCCATGGCTACTGCCAGGTGTGTGTCGCTGTTATGTGCACGCATTTCATTTCATGCCACTTGATTGCATTTGGGGGACTTGATTCGGTGTTGGGGCTTGACTAGCAGAGGCAAATTGAACGACGTTTGGAATGCCGTGGCTACTGCTAGGTGTGTGTTGTGCATAGCATACCCATGCGCATGTGTGGCTTTACTGTGAGTGTGCTTTCTTCCTTCCCCTGTTTTTTGCAACCTTTTTTGAGGCGCCTCAAAAATAGATTCCTTCCCCTGTTTCCTGCAACCTTCCCACAAATGCCACTCCTCTCTCTCATTCAGTTTCATTTCGCCCTTCCTGCATTGCTCTCCGTCCGTACCCTCCCCCTCTTGTCTCACTCGCTAGGTACCGGCAGTGGGAAATTGAGGCCTCTATGAGAAAGAGGAAGAGTCAGCAGCTTAGGTGAGAGTGGTTGGGGTGAGATCAGGTGGAGTGAGATCAGGTGGAGTGAGATCAGGTGGAGTGAGATCAGGTGGAGTGAAGACAGGTGGGGTGAGATCAGATGCGGTGAGATCAGATGGGGTGAAGACAGGGACTTTTAAAGTAAGTGAGTGCACTGCACACACTCGGCTTTGGTACTGGCTGTGGGGATTTTTTTAGTAGACTAAAAAATCACCTACAGAGTAAGTGAGTGCACTGCACACACTTGCTTTGATACTTAGTCGACTAAAAATCACCTGCAGAGAGAGTGAGTTCACTGCACACACTCGGCTTCGGTACTGGCTGTGGGAATCGAGGGCATCCAAGAAAGAGGAAGACCCAGCAACTGAGGTGATAATCACGCAGATGAGACTTTTGAGTCGACCCAAAAGAAAACATCTGGTGCGAACTTTCTCTATTGGAGGTACCCCCCTGTCTTCCCCTCTCCCTCCCTCTTCTTCCCCCCCCCTGCCCCCTTTAATTCCCCCCACCCCCCTGCCCCCTTTGATTCCCCCCACCCCCCTGCCCCCTTTGATTCCCCCCACCCCCCTGCCCCCTTTGATTCCCCCCAACCCCCCGCCCCCTTTGATTTCCCCCACCCCCCCGCCCCCTTTGATTCCCCCCACCCCCCGCCCCCATTCCATATTCTCTTCACTCCCCTCCCCTCCCCTCCCCTTTGGAGCAAGGATGCTTCATCCCAGCTCACCCCCTCCTTTCTCCATATGGTGGCTGCCGGCTACTTTTTCCTGATCCTCCTTCACGGCCTTTCTAGTTTTTATGCGCCTCAAAACTAGACTCCTATCATGCAGCTTTCTCCAGGCGTTTTCTTTTTCATCCGAGCTCACGCTCTCCTTTCTCCGGTTTGAGTCAACTCGAAAGCACCTCGAAATTAGACTCCTATCACGCAGCTTTCTCCAGGCGTTTTCTGCTTCATCCCATCTAAGAAAGGTGACTTTTGAGTCGACTCAAAAGTCATCTAAAGAAGAAGCTCATCCTCCTTCTAAAGAAGAAGCTCATCCTCCTTCTAAAGAAGAAGCTCATCCTCCTTCTAAAGAAGAAGCTCATCCTCCTTCTAAAGAAGAAGCTGATCCTCCTTCTAAAGAAGAAGCTCATCCTCCTTCTAAAGAAGAAGCTCATCCTCTCTTCTAAAGAAGAAGCTCATCCTCCTTCTAAAGAAGAAGCTCATCCTCCTTCTAAAGAAGAAGCTCATCCTCCTTCTAAAGAAGAAGCTCATCCTCCTTCTAAAGAAGAAGCTCATCCTCTCTCCTTTCTCCGTATGGTGTCTGTCTGTCTGCCATTTTCTCCACATCCTATGTTTGAGGCGCCTCAAAAATAGACTCCTCACGCAGGCGTTTCTGCTTCGTCCCATCTAGAGTAGAAGCTCACCCTCTCCTTTCTCCTCCGTATGTTGTCTGTCTGCCTGCCATTTTCTCCACATCCTTCCTCAGGGCTTTTTTAGGGGAGTTGTTGAAGGATCAATTTCAGGCAGACATGGTTGGGATCACAGGTGATAATAGTAGTAGTGGGTATGGTATGGTATGGTATGGTATGGTATGGTATGGTATGGTATGGTATGGTATGGTATGGTATGGTATGGTATGGTATGGTATGGTATGGTATGGTATGGTATGGTATGGTGACAGCAAGAATGGTGATGATGGCGATGGTGGTGCGTCAGGGGGCTTTCCCCAAGGGCTTTCCCCTAGGGCTTTCCCCAAGGGCTTTCCCCAAGGGCTTTCCCCTAGGGCTTTCCCCTAGGGCTTTCCCCTAGGGCTTTCCCCGAGGGCTTTCCCCTAGGGCTTTCCCCTAGGGTTTTCCTACGGGAGTTGCTGAAGGATCAGTTTCAGGCAGACATGGTTGGGATCATAGGCGATGGTGGTGGTGATGGTGATGGTGATGGGGGTGAGTGTGTGGTTGAGTACGGTAGTGCCATCGTGCCTGGCCCTGGTGATGCCATCGTGGCTGGCCCTGGTGATGCCATCGTGGCCACGCTCACGCACGGCCTGGAATATGCGTGAGGCGAGGCACGGGGAAAGGAGCCTGAGGCGAGGGAGAGAAATTAAGCAGCAGCAAGGACGGCATCTGTGTGTTGTATACTAGATCCAACCGCCATCTCTGTATCTAGTGTACAGCACGCAGATGGCGTCCTTGCTGCTGTTGCTCAATAACTCTCCCTCGCCTCGGGCTTCCTCCCCCGAGCCTGCATATTCTAGGTCGTGCGTGACCGTGGCCAAGATGGCATCACCACGGTCAGGCGCGAACGTGCTGTGGGACATCACTTTGTAACGAGGCGACTTTTGAGTTGACTCGAAAGGCACATCGTTACCATGGTCACCGTGGCATCACCGGGGCCAGGCGCGAACACCGTGATGGGGCTCGTGGGCGACGAGGGAGGCCCGATCGTACACCGGGGCTCACAGGGGCCAGGCGCGAACACCGTGATGGGGCTCGTGGGCGACGAGGGAGGCCCGATCGTACACCGGGGCTCACCGGGGCCAGGCGCGAACACCGTGATGGGGCTCGTGGGCGACGAGGGAGGCCCGATCGTACACCGGGGCTCACCGGGGCCAGGCGCGAACACCGTGATGGGGCTCGTGGGCAACGGGGGAGGCCCGATCGTACACCGGGGCTCACCGGGGCCAGGCGCGAACACCGTGATGGGGCTCGTGGGCGACGAGGGAGGCCCGATCGTACACGAGGGCTCACGGGGGCCAGGCGCGAACACCATGATGGGGCTCGTGGGCGACGGGGGAGGCCCGATCGTACACCGGGGCTCACCGGGGCCAGGCGCGAACACCGTGATGGGGCTCGTGGGCGACGAGGGAGGAGTACAGGACTCAACAGGAGGAGAGCAATACGGCACGGAGCGAGAGAGGGGGGAGGCGAGGGAAAGAGCGAGAGGCGAGACCTACCTGAGCACGTGGGAGAGCGCATGAGCAGCTCTCCGGCTGTCCACACTTGTGTGGTGTTTTTGAGAATTCTCAAAACTCCTATCTGCAGGTTATTTTTGAGACTTCTCAAAAGCACGCGGGAGAGAGCATGAGTAGAGTAGTTCCAGCTGTCCACCCCACTTCGTGGGCCAGCGCATCTGAATCAGTTCTCTTCACTACCCTCCTCCTCGCTCGCTCAGCCTTCCTCCCCCCAGCCTCGCCCCGTCTTTCCCTCTCAGGCTCTTCGTCTCTCCGTGCCATCAGAACAACCTTGAGACCTCATTAGTTCTTCTCACCACCCTCCTCCGCTCTTACTCATTCTTCCCCTACCCACCCTCTCCCCCTCTCTCCCTCTCCCCGTCTTTCCCTCTCAAGCTCTTCGTCTCTCCGTGCCATCAGAACGACATTGAGACCTTTTGAATCCGTTCGCCTCACCACCCTCCTCCTCGCCCACTCATCCTTCTCCCTCCACCCTCTTCCCTCCTTTCCCTCACAGGCTACTCGTCTCTCCCACACCTTCAGAACGACATTTAAGTCTTAGAGCCCTGCTGAATCAGTTCTCTTCACCACCCTCCTCCTCTCTTACTCATCCCTCCTCCCCCCACCCTCTCCCACCCTCTCCCACCCTCTCTCCTCCTCTCACCCTCTCTCCCTCGCAGGCTCTTCGGCTCTCCCATGCCACCAGAACGACCTTCAAACCTTAGATGCCCTGCTGAATCAGTTCTCTTCACCACCCTCCTCCTCCTCCCCTCGACAGTCACTTTCGTTATTGTCACCCCCCATATCGCCGCCCCGTGCCTCCACGTCAGCAATGAGACCATCCACATCATCGAGGAATGCAGCCATGTCAGCATCTGCATCAGCATCAGCAGCAGGAGCAGGGGCAGGGACAGGAGTGGAAGCAGGTGCAAGGGCAGCAGGAGGGAGGGTGGAAGGAGGAAGAGAAGCAGCAGCAGCAACAGCAGCAGCAGCAGGAGCAGCAGCAGGAGCAGCAGGAGGAGCAGCAGCAGGAGCAGAGGGAGGAAGAGGAGGAGGGGTGGGAGAAGTCGAGCAGGTGCCAGTGTCGCCGCAAATGCCAGAAGGGGGGTACTTCTCCCACGGGCTCAGAGGGGCCTGTTGCCCGACGTTCACCCGAGCACCACACACCAGTGGGGATGGTGTGGCAGTGCCATCGACAGCAGCTGAAGCAGCAGCACCATCAGCGCCATCAGCGCCATCAACACCATCAGCACCAGCAGCACCATCAGTATCAGCAGCACCTGATGCTGCAGCGCCTTCTGGAGCACAAGAACCAGCTCCAGAGCCGGCTCCAGAAGCAATGAGTCGACTCAATTATCGACTCATTACTTCTGGAGCACAAGAACCAGCTCCAGAGCCGGCTCCAGAAGCAATGAGTCGACTCAATTATCGACTCCTTCCTTTGGGTGCACAAGAACCAGCTCCAGAGCCGGCTTCTCTACAGGTACCACCGAGTGGGGAAAGTAGCGTGATTCCCCCTAGTGGGGAAAGTAGCGCCTCTTCTAGAGCACAGGAACAGGTTTCTTCTAGAGCAGGTGAAGCAGCAGCACCTGATGTTGCAGCAGTGGCTTCTCTACAGATGCCTCCTCATGGGGAAAGTAGCGTGATCCCCCCTAGTGGGGAAAGTAGCGCCTTTTCTAAAGCACAGGAACGGGCTTCTTCTACTGTAGAGATCAGGGCATCTGCTGCAGGACAAGAACGGGTTTCCCCTACTGTAGCAAGCCCAGCATCTGTAACAGATGCTGAAGCCCAGGATAGCGCTCCTTCTCTTGAGTCGACTCAAAATACAGATTCTCAAGCCCAGGATAGCGGACCTTCTACAGGAATTGGTAGGGAAACTTTTGGAGGGCAAGGCGCTGTATCCTCCCTAGTGTGTGATGCAGTATTATCTACGGTTGGTGCTGAAGCAGTGGGTTTTGATGGAACTGTGGCCGCGGTAGCAGCTCCAGACGCAGCAGCAGAAGAAGAAGCAGCAGCAGCAGCAGCAGCAGCAGCAGCAGCAACAGCAGTAGCAGCAGCAGGAGGAGGAGGAGGAGGAGGAGGAGCAGCAGCAGGAGGAGGAGGAGGAGGAGGAGGAGGAGGAGCAGCAGGAGGAGGAGGAGGAGGAGGAGGAGCAGCAGCAGGAGGAGGAGGAGGAGGAGGAGCAGCAGCAGGAGGAGGAGGAGGAGGAGGAGCAGCAGCAGGAGCAGTAGCAGAGGATGCCACCGTTGTGGAAGAAGTGGGGTCTCTGCTCCTCCAATCCTACATTGAGAAGGCACACACGCTACATGATGTGTTTCGGCTGGCTGAGGCAGAGGACACGCCTGGAGAGGTACGGTGTTTTCCTTTCTCCTCTTCTCCAGTCGTACCTGAAGAAGTGGGGTCACTGCTCCTCCAATCCTACATTGAGAAGGCACACACGCTACATGATGTGTTTCGGCTGGCTGAGGCAGAGGACACGCCTGGAGAGGTACGGTGTTTTCCTTTCTCCTCTTCTCCAGTCGTACCTGAAGAAGTGGGGTCACTGCTCCTCCAATCCTACATTGAGAAGGCACACACGCTACATGATGTGTTTCGGCTGGCTGAGGCAGAGGACACGCCTGGAGAGGTACGGTGTTTTCCTTTCTCCTCTCCCTCCTCTTCTCCAGTCGTACCTGAAGAAGTGGGGTCACTGCTCCTCCACGCGTACATCGAGAAAGCACAGACTTTAAATGATGTGTTTCGGCTAGCTGAGGCTGAGGCAGAGGACTCGCCTGGAGAGGTACGGTTCCCTTACTTTTCTGGTGTTTTCTCCTATCCCTCTTGGCTTCTCGAATCCTACATTGAGAAAGCAAAGACGCTAAATGAAGTGTTTGGACTAGCACAGGCAAAGGACACGCCTGGGGGGCGATTCCCTCTCTAATACTACTAGTCTCTGTTGTCGTTTCTGATGTATGGTTTTGAGGCGCCTCAAAACTAGACTCCTGTAGTCTCTCTGGTGTACTTCCACTCCCCTTACTTTCCTCTTTGCTTTCATCCAAGCTTGACTTCTCTTCCCCAACTCCCCTTCTGCTAACAGCTACCAGGGCACCAGTGCTGTGGCGTCATGCTGGACATGCTGCGTGATCCTGTCTTTATGCCCTCAGATGCCCGTGCCCTTCTCTCCCTTCTCTCTCCCTTTTCTCTCTCCTTTTTCTCTCTCCATTTTCTCTCGCCCTTCTCTCCAAGCTTGACTTCTCTCCCCCGATTTCCCTTGTGCTGCAAGCTACTACCAGGGCACCTGTGCTGCCGTTTTCTCTCCCTTTTTTCCCTTTCTGTCGTGATTCGACATGAGTGGGCATACTGCGTGATTCCTGTGACAACCCCACTCACCCCTGCACCACATCCCGATTTTTGAGGCGCCTCAAAAATCACCCCTGCACTGCATGACATCCCGATCCCCTTCTTCCCCCATCTCCTTCCATTGTTCCCTGTACCCTGCTACCTGCTACCAGGGCACCTGTGCTGCTGCATTGTCCTGGGCATGCTGCGTGATCCTGTCTTTATGCCCTCACATGCCCTTGCTCTTCCCCCTTTCCTCCCCCCCTTTCCTTCCCCCCCGTCTCCCCCCTTTGTTACCAGCTTCCAGAGCACCTGTGCTGCCGCATCATGCTGGACGAGCTGCGAGATCCTGTGACTACCCCACAACCCCAAGGGGGGTGACTCATGTGTTCTCTTCCCCTCTTTCCCCCTTCGCGCCTTCTCTCTTCCTCCAGCTACCAGCTTCCAGAGCATCTGTGCTGCCACATCTTGCTGGACATGCTGTGAGATCCTGTGACAAGCTCACATGTGTAGCGCCTCATCCCACCTCCTTTCTCCCCCCACCTCTCCGCATTGTTCCCTGTTCCCTCCCACCAGCTACCAGAGCATCTGTGCTGCCGCATCATGCTGGACATGCTGCGAGATCCTGTGACTACCCCGAGTGGAGTGACGTATGAGAGATCAGCGATGGAGGAGCATTTAAAATCCGTAAGAGTGATGTGAAATGGCAATTGCATGATGCATACTGCATCGTTGCATCATTGTATCGTGCATTGTGCATCGTGCATCGTCCATCGTGCATCATGCATCATGCATCATAATGGTTGGAGCGTCATAATGGCAAGAGCAGCGTGTGGATGTGAGCCCGTCGGTTGATCCCGTGACAACCCCGAGTGGAGTTGCGTACGAGAGGTGGCTCAGAGAAGAGCATCTCAAGACAAGTGAGAGCGCCTTGAAGGGATAGAATGAGTTTTGAATCAGTAAGAGTGTCTGGCGATGACAATAGCAGCGTGTGCATGTGCGGCCTTCTATGGATCCCATGACATCCCCGAGTGGAGTGGCGTATGAGAGATGGCTCATGGAAGAGCACCCCAAGACAGCGAAAGAAAACCGATTAAAATCTTTCTACCTTTTTCTCAAGGCAGTGAGAGCGCCTTGAAGTGGTAGGAGAGTTTTGAATGGGTAAGAGCGTCTGGTGATGACAGGAGCATCGTGTGCCTGTGCGCCCTTCTATCGATCCCACGACATCCCCGAGTGGAGTGGCGTATGAGACGTGGCGGGTTATAGAGGAGCATCTCCATGTGTTGAGTATGTTTTCAAAAGGTGGCAGAGCAGACTCATCGGTAGAATCACATTTCAACGGTAAGTTCGTCTAAGTGGGTGTAAAAGTGTATTGAATATTGTTGAGCATTTCCTGACCATGTTCCTTTGCCTTGCCATGCTTTATGTGGCCCGTTTTCTTTCAGGGCAACTTATTTGATCCGGTCACCAGGAAGCCTCTTTCATCTCACGAGCTTATTCCCAACCGGGGAGCGAGGGATGCTGCTGAACAATTTCTACACTCCCATGGATGGGCTTACAGGCCTTCGAAATAGGCGTGCTTCGAAATAGATGGACTCAAAATCAGTTTCTACCCTTCCATGGATGGGCTTATCGGCCTTCGAAATAAGTTTGTGAATTTATCCTAGCATTTTATGTGTGGACCGTGGCCTAGATTGCACATGATCTGGGCATCATGTGTATTTGCTTGCGGAAGATGTTTTCATCTCAAAATTGTGATATTGTAACAAAGGCATGCTTTGCCAGTTATGATGAGCATGGTTGGGGATACGTACTGTGGGTAAGAGCTAACTGGGCATACATGAAATCTACTAACGAGTAAACACGCATGCTTGGTTCACCCTTGCTGGCGCGCCTTTCATATAACTAGGAGTCTAGGAGGCTAGGCGGATAGTCTCCGCTAACTGGCTTTCACTTCGTCCTCCCTCCCCCTTCTCCTATTCCCCTTCCTCCCGCCATTCGCTCCCTTCCGCCAGTCTCCCCCTTCCGCCAACCTCCTCCTTCCATCACTCTCCCCTCAAGGCGATCTTCCGCTTCCTCCCCCTCCCGCCAATCACCCTCGTCTCCCTCGCGTTCGCTCCTAGCCACTCTTCCTCCTGCAGCATGACTGCTAAAACAGAGTTTGCTACTAACGAGGATCTGATCGCAATGGATCAGCTAGCAGCTGACCTTGGGGCTACTAGTACAGATTGCGGAACGGCTACAATCGAGGATAACCTGATTCGCTTATCTCCGTTAGATGCAGTGATGGGTCCTTTTGGATTCACAATTCTCTACATATTCCCGCCTCCCGAAAATAAAGGTAGCTTTACCTCCAGGCCAGATTCCCTTACCGAGTCAACCAAGGAGTTTAGTAATCGGCCTTATGACTTAGACCGGCTCCGCTCCTCATTCATGGAGTTAATCGAACAGGATTACCCGATAATGCTCGGCAAATTGCACGTCGATCCGGTAACCGGTGTAACGAGCGTGCTACAAACGAGGGAGTGTCTAGCTGCCGGCGCGAAGGCAATCAGATTTCTTCAAGATCCGATCTCCGCTCTCACAACTGCAGATGCCATGGGGTCCCTACCTATGTCGTTAATGCCGCCGGAGCGCGAACCGACGGAGTTAATCTCCGTTAAGACTACTATTTTAGCGGATGGCGGAATGGCGATCGGAGTGAATCTCAGCCATTGTTTGGTGGATGGAGAGGCGATGTTCACTTTTATGAAGACGTGGGGAATGCGGTACAGAGGGGTGAATGGCGGTGCAGAGCAGCAGCAGCAGCATGTAATTAATCACGATAAATCGCTGCTGTTTGGCAAGGGGAATGAATCCATGTTGCCCCATCCAGAGTTTAAGGTTCTAGAATCTTCTCCTGAATTTGCGCAAGCAGCAGCAGCATCAGAAGCACCAGCAGCAGCAGACACAGCAGGATCATCAGGAGCAGCAGCACCAGCAGCACCAGCAGCAGCACCAGCAGCACCAGCAGCACCAGCAGCAGCACCAGCAGCACCAGCAGCGGCAACATCATCAGAAGTAGCAGCAGCAGCAGCAGCAGAATTATCACCAGCAGAAACAGCAGCAACAGCACCACCACCAGAAGCAGCTCCTGTGTTCCCTCCGACCTCCCATTCCATCTTCCACCTCTCCCCTGAACAGCTCAAGATGCTCCGATCCGTTGCATCCGGGCCGTCGGATGGCTCTATCGCATCAGAGCCGTTGGATGCCGGATCGGAAGATCAACGGACAGATCATGACCCTCAAGCAGCGACATACATCAGTACCATTGACTCCCTATCAGCCTTAATGCTCCTCCTAATCTCGCAAGCCCGAGGCCACAATAAAGGCGTCCGTTTCACAACAGGGGTCAACGGCCGGAGGAGATTAATCCCTCAACTACCGCAAAATTACTGCGGAAACGTCATTTTCAACGCCCTGTCGAGCTATTCCGCCTCAGAGCTCAGCGAAACAACTGCAGATGCACTGCACATTATCGCAAGAAAAATCCGCCAATCCATTATAAGCTGCTCCGATAAGCACATGCGCGACGCTATAGAATTCCTCGCAGCACAGCCAAACCTCGCAGCCGTGCGAGTGGGGACGGATTTTTTCTTCGGGGATGACATCATGCTGACGTCATGGGCGAATCTAGGCATGTACGATGCGGATTTCGGCTCCAGGCCGTGGTATGTGGGGGTGCCGATGCTGCCATGCTGCGATGGCATGGTGGTGGTGATGGAGGGGATCCAGGGGGCAGAGGGGCTGGACGTGCTGCTGCTGCTGGAGAGTGAAGCTTCGGAGAGGTTCAAGAGGCTGTGGAATGCAGTCCCATTCTGGCAGTGATATCAACAGATTCTGAATCTAGGGGATTGAGGTCATTTTTTAGAATTCTAAAAAATGACTTAACTGTAAATAGATTCTGAATCTAGGGGATGGAGGTGCCAGGCCGTGGCACCTATATATGGGGGTCGTGAGTCTCCCATGCTGCGATGGCATGGTGGTGGTGATGGATGGGATACAGGGGGAGGAAGGGCTGGACGTGCTGCTGCTGCTTGGAGCTGGAGCGTCAGAGAGGTTCAAGAGGCTATGGGCTAAGGTCTCATTCTGGCAGTAGTACGGTTTTGCCAAACGGATTCACAGATGGGGGCTCCCATGCTGCGATGGCATGGTGGTGGTGATGGATGGGATACAGGGGGAGGAAGGGCTGGATGTGCTGCTGCTGCTTGGAGCTGGAGCGTCAGAGAGGTTGAAGGAACTATGGGACGAGGTTCCGATTCTGCAGGGTGTTTTTGAGAACTCTCAAAAACACCCTGCAAAAGCTATGGGACAAGGTTCCGTTCCAGGCAGGTGGTGGCATGGTGGTGGCATGGTGGTGGCATGGTGGTGGCATGGTGGTGGCATGGTGGTGGCATGGTGGTGGCAGGTGGTGGCATGGTGGTGGCATGGTGGTGGCAGGTGGTGGCATGGTGGTGGCATGGTGGTGGCAGGTGGTGGCAGGTGGTGGCAGGTGGTGGCATGGTGGTGGCAGGTGGTGGCAGGTGGTGGCATGGTGGTGGCATGGTGGTGGCATGGTGGTGGCAGGTGGTGGCAGGTGGTGGCAGGTGGTGGCATGGTGGTGGCATGGTGGTGGCATGGTGGTGGCATGGTGGTGGCAGGTGGTGGCAGGTGGTGGCATGGTGGTGGCATGGTGGTGGCAGGTGGTGGCAGGTGGTGGCATGGTGGTGGCATGGTGGTGGCATGGTGGTGGCATGGTGGTGGCATGGTGGTGGCATGGTGGTGGCATGGTGGTGGCATGGTGGTGGCATGGTGGTGGCATGGTGGTTGAAGTGGAGGGGATCAAGGGAGCAAAGGGGCTGTACGTGTTGCTGCTGCTTGAAGCTGGAGCGTCAGAGCGGTTGAGAAGGCTATGGGGTTAGGTGAGGTTCCGTCCTGGCAGTGACACAACATCCTAGATGGATGGTGGGATGATGGTTGTGGTGATGGAGGGGATCCAGGGGGACGTAAGGGGTTGGACGTGCTGCTGCTGCTGCTGCTGCTTGAAGCTGGAGTCTCAGAGATGTCCAAACAGCTGTGGGGTGACAACCCGTTTCTGTGCTGATGTGAATCAGGTCGCATAGTACAGTACAGTGCAGCTACAGTGGATAAGTATCTTCAATCAATTGGTAATGTATGTGTAATATACTGGCACACACACACAACTGCTTGACTAAGTGCCATATACCAGGAGTACGGTATATTGTGTAACAAGCTTCTGCCGGCCGGCACTCTTTTCCTCACTCCGCAATGTGGTAACGCGCACCCCTCAAGTTGCGGCGAAGGTCCTCGTACCGCTTGATATCCTGTGGCCAGACGGGTACAACAGGTAGAGTGCAAGGTCCGTGGAAGGGACAGCAGGGTCAGTGATGGGGACAGCAGGCAGAGTGCAAGGTGAGTGGAAGGGACAGCAGGGCGAGTGAAAGGGACAGCAGGTAGAGAGCAGGGTCAATGATAGGTGCCACATTTCCCCACAGCCAAAAAGTTCGTAACCCCACAAACCCATAACCCCAGAAACCCGTATCCACATATCCCCTGAACCCCGTGTCCTCATAAGCCCATATATCCCCATAAGCCCAGAAGTCCATAACCCCACGAGCCCATAAGCCCATAACCTCATACGGTAAACCCATTACCCCTTAAACCCATACCCCATAAGCCCATAAGCCCATAACCTCATATGCTCATAAGCCCACAAGCCCATAACCCCATAAGCCCATCAGTCCTTAACCCCGTGATCCCATAACCCCCTAACCCCACAAGCCCATAAGCCCATAAGCCCCTAACCCCATAAGCCCAGCCCATAACCCCCTAAACCCCTAACCCCATAAGCCCATAGCCCTGCAACCCCATAAGCCCAGCCCATAACCCCATAAGTCCATAACCCCCTAACCCCATAAGCCCATAGCCCCCTAACCCCATAAGCCCATAACCCCCTAACCCCATAAGCCCATAAGCCCATAACCCCCTAAGCCCATAAGCCCGTAACCCCATAACCCCATAACCAAATAACCCCCTAAGCCCCTAAGCCCATAACCCCACCTGAGGAGAAACAGATGGCACAATCCGGGTCAGTGCCTTCTTGAAATGCCGGGCCTCCACGACAGGTCCGGGCCGAGCCTGCAGCTCCTTGTCCAGCGCAGCAGCAGGAGCAAGAGCAGCAGGAGCAAGAGCAGCAGCAGTAAATGCAGCAGCAGGAGGGGCAGAGGCCGACGCAGCAGCAGCGGCAGCAGGCGGAACCCCAGCTGCTTCCCCAGCTGTTATTCTACTAATCATGCGCTCTCGCAACGCCACCACACAGGCCTCCCGCACCTGAGAACGAAAGGGAAAGGGCGAAGGCATAAGGAGATGATTGCAGCAGAGGGATCAAGGGAGGGAGACATGCAGTCACGCCATGCCAGCACACACGCCTTTTCGAAACACAAGTCAACACAAGTCAATGCAGGTCAACTATGTCACCAATGCCTGGGGAAAGAAAAAGGGAATGTGTGAAGACGAATAAGTGGAGACATTGGAGGGTGATTCTTGCAGAGAAACAAATAGAGAGAGCCATGCACTCATGCAATGCTGTCACACATGCCTCTTGCATCACAAGTCTACATTCAACACAAGTAAACAGAAGTCAACACAAGTAAACGCAAGTCAACACAAATCAACTATCTCACCAGAGCTGCCAGATAAGACCCATTGAATCCATCATATGGCATGAAGGAACTCAGCTCGAGTCAGCTCAAGTCAAAGGACGTCAGAGCAAGTCAACCATGGCAATCCGAGTCAATCCAAGTCAACCCAAGCCAATCAGAGTCAACCCAAGTCAACCGAAGTCAACTCACCAGCGCTGCCAAGTCCGCCCCACTGAATCCATCACACGGCGCCTTGGGCCTTCTATGCTCTGCAAGAACCTTTCCTCCCACCTTCCCTTCCTTCCCTTCCTTCTCTTTCTGCTCCCCCTCTTGCTTCTCACTTAGATCACCTCCATCCTCCTCCCTCCCCCCTCTTCCACCTTCCTCCTCTCCTTCTCCTCGCTCTCCTCCTCCTACTCCACCTTCCCCCCCTCCAGGATTACTAATTCCTGCAAGCTCGTTCATAAGCTCATTGTTTACGTCGGCTGCCCGGGGAATGGAGCGAATCAGAGTGGCCAGAATGGCTGCCCGGGACGGCGCGTCGGGCAGTGGGATGAAAAGAAGCTTGTCGAGCCGACCGGGGCGGAGGAGAGCAGGGTCTATCATGTCCGGTCTGCCCGAGTTGGAAAATGAGGAAAGGGGGGGGGGGGGGGGGGGGGAATGGTGCAACCGAAACAGCAGAACAGTTGAACATTTTTCTAGAAACGTACTTGTTAGTTACTCATTTCACAAATATGTAACTGGAAAAAGAAAAGGATGGAAATTTTTATTTTTGGCAATCTAGGATCATAAGCGCAGGAGGGAACACAGATGCAAGTGTTTGCCAAAAACTCTCATATAAACTCTCGCATAACCACGCTCTTGTAAGCACGGACCTATAATCACGCTTTAACAATCATTGTGTTATAATCACACACCTGTTGGTAGCAGCAATGATGTACACAGTCTTCTGAGTCTCCCACACACACATGTCTCTCTTCCCCCTTCCTACCCCGTCAACGCACCAGTTAGTAGCAGCAATGATGTAGACACTCTTCCGAGACTGAAGCCCATCATACCCCTTACATGCACATGAGCCCCCCCCCCGCTCTTCTTCCCCAGTTCCTCCCTCCTCCTCCCGCCTTTAACCAACCTGTTGGTAGCAGCAATGATGTACACACTCTTCCGAGAATCCATCCCATCCATCTCCGTTAGAAGCTGTAGCCACAGTCAGATATAATATAACACAGAATGGCAGGGGAGTCATTTATGAGAATTCTATAAAAAAAAAATGAATCCATCCCATCCATCTCCATTAGAAGTTGTAGCCACACTCGGATAAAACACAGAATGGCAGATCCAACCAACATCAGAACCAAACAGGTTTTTGCTATCGCCAGCCAGAGGACTGAGCCGACGTTCCCTTAAAGGGGGCGCTTCTCGTAAGTCCGAGTGTTAACAGTTGGTTGGGCTACGGCAGTGGTGCTGCGGCAGTGGTGCTGATTGAGTCTCCTCCGAAATAGTTGAGTCTCCTCTGAATAGACTCCTCCGAGCATTTACAGTTGGTTGGGCTGCGGAAGTGGTGCTGATTGGTGGACGAAGTGCGCGAAGTGAGCGCGTTTTGAATCTGGCAGAATCGCCTGCTTTTGAGGCGCCCCAAAAGCAATCGCCTGCGGGGAACTGAACCAGCTGTTTTACACTTGTTTCTCCCTGATGGAAAATGAAACCCGGGCTTCAAATAAGCTTTACACACGTTGCTCCCTGACGGAATATGAAACACGGGCTTTAAATAGGCTCTCCACTCCAGCTTTCCGGCCTGTTTGGCCAGCGAGCCGTGAGGGGGAATTTTTTAGGCGCCTCAAAAATCGTGAGGGGGAAGGCCCGATGTTCAATTGTTTCATTTGGCCCACCCAGTTTGACTAATTTGACCAGCTTTGACCAGATTTGACCAGCTTTGACCAGCTTTGACCAGCTTTGACCAGCTTTGACCAGCTTTGACCAGCTTTGACCTGCATTGTCATGCATTGACTGGCCACCTCACCTGGTTGATCACTCTCTCCGCTGATCCGTTGCCGTCCGACCCTCTCCTTTCCTGGGAGCCATAGACTTCATTTGACTTGGCTTGACCCACGTTGACCTCCTTTGACCTGGCTTGACTCAGCTCGACCTGCGTTGACCTGCGTTGACTTGACATCTCACCTGGTTGACCACTCTCTCTGCCGCTCCATTGCCGTCCGACCCTCTCCTGGGAGCCATGGCGTCCATCTGATGGGATGGGTTGGTTGGTGAAAACAGGGGGAGAGAGGAAGATGCGGACGAGGGGGGACGAGATGCGCATGAGAGTCGACTCACAACTCCCCTCAGCTGTGTCCGACCCTGTCTGATGAGCCATGGCGTCCTTCTGGTGGGATGGGGTGGTGAAAACAGGGGGAGGGAGGAAGATGAGGACGAGGGGGAAGGGGAGGGGAGGGGAGGGGAGGGGAGGGGAAGGGGAGGGGAGGGGAGGGGAGGGGAGGGGAGGGAAGGGGAAGGGGAGGGGAGGGGAGGGGAAGGGGAGGGGAGGGGAGGGGAGGGGAGGGGAGGGGAGGGAAGGGGAAGGACTGGGAGGGAAGGGAAGAGAAGGGGAGGGAAGGGGAGGGAAGGGGAGGGAAGGGAGGGGCATGTGAGTCAACTCAAAAGCCACTCTTGCCTTCCGACCGTCTCGAAGGAGCCAAAGTGTCCATCTGATAGGTTGGGGTGGTGAAAGGTGGCGGGGGGGGGAGTCTATTTTTGAGCCGCCTCAAAAATAGACTCCTCGCGCATGGATTTTGAGGCGCCTCAAAAATAGGCTCCTCACACTCGTAGGAGCCAAAGCGTCCATCTGATAGGTTGGGGAGGTGAAAGGTGGCGGGGGGGAGATGGGGAAGTGGGGAGAAAAGAGGGGAGGCGTACAACCAAGGAGCATGTGATTCGACTCAAAGAATTTTAAGAATTCAAAATTGCACTGTTGCCGTCCGATTTTTGAGGCGCCTAAAAAATACACTCCAGAGGGTCCACCTGAGAGGCGGAAGTTGGGAATCAACGGGTGATTTTTATATTTTTTTTAGGCGCCTCAAAACTAGACTCTTATCACGCGGGATTGGGGAATCAACGGGTGATTTTTTAGTCGACTCAAAGATCAAGGGGAAAGGAGAGAAACCCAAGAGGCACCGTTGGCATCCGACACTCGTCAAGGAGCCAAATTCCACCTGATAGATAGTGAACAGGGAAGCAAAGAGGGAGAGGGCAGAAGACATTAGACATAGCACTGCTTACGAAAATGGGTTCTTTTTAGATTTTGTTGGTACAGACGGGATTTTACTAGGTGCATTGTCTCTCTCCCTCACCTCATCGAAGAACAGCACACATGGTTACAGCGCTCTTGCCAGCACAAGCCACAGAGGCGCTCTTGCCAGCACAACCCACAGAGGGGCTCTTGCCAGCACTAGCCACAGAGGGGCTCTTGCCAGCACAAGCAAACAATACTCGAGGCAACTGGTGCACACCTAAAGGTTTGCGGTGCACCACAGGTACTATGCTATGTTCCGGTCACTGCAAAAGCCAGAGGGGACAGCACTCTATCCTATCTTCCATCTTCCATTCTCCTCACCTCATCAAAGAACAGCACACAGGGCGACGATGCCCTCGCCCGCACAAACAGCTGCCGCACCGACCGCTCACTCTCGCCCACGTACTTGTTGAGGAGCTCTGGACCCTGGCGGATGGGAGGGAGTGTATTTGAGTTGACTCAATCAAAATACAGCTGGACTGGACAAGCAGAGCAAAGTCTTTAGGAAGGGGGGGGAAGAGGGGGGAGAGGGAGGCAACGACTCAAAAGTCACTGAGGCAATGAGGGAGAGAGGGAGAGGGAGGCAACTTTTTGAGTCGACTCAAAAGCAATTACGGAGAGAGGGAGAGGGAGGCAACTTTTGAGTCGACTCAAAAGTAATTACGGAGAGAGGGAGAGGGAGGCAACTTTTGAGTCGACTCAAAAGCAATTACGGAGAGAGGGAGAGGGAGGCAACTTTTGAGTCGACTCAAAAGCAATTACGGAGAGAGGGAGAGGGAGGCAATGGCGGAGGAGTGTAGCTTCTGTGACTTTTGAGTCGACTCAAAAGTCACCGAGTGTAGCTGCTGTCCAAACGGGTGTCGCACCGATCACTCGCTCTCCCCCACGGGATTGTTCAAGAGCTCCCGAGTCCGGACCATGGATAGTGGAGAGAGTAGAGAGGAGTACGGAAGTAGAAGTGGCTGGAGACAGGATAGGTAGGGAGGATAGCTAGAAATGGTCATTACACGGAACGAGGAGCATATGGAACGAGAGCAAAGGGAACAGCTGACCGCTCGCTCCCTCCCACACAGAACTGCTGCTGCTGAGCAGTGCTGTCCCCAGAGAATATATTACAGAGCTAGAAGCATGAAATCTGCAGGGTGTTTTTTCGAATTCTCACGGAAACATGGAAACACCCTGCAAAATATATGACAGAGCTAGAGGCATGGAAACGGTTTGAAAAGGGAGCTACTTACACTGCACTCACGCATTACATGCTGATCTGGATTAGAATATTAAAACCCGCATCCCAAATCGTTCATACGCACCTTGATGGAGATAAAATTGGCCCCTGCATCGTTGGCAATTGCTTTCGCTACCAGAGTCTTGCCGCACCCCGGCGGGCCGTAAAGGAGAATGCCTGTGGCTGCTCGGAGACCCATGGCCTGAGAAGGGCAGAGGAAAACACGGGAAGGAGAAGAAACAAGAGAGGAAGGAGTTTAGGGCCAACCCTAACCCTAAACCCGAAACCCTCACGTCAGCCAGCGCACAGCCATCTCTACCATCCAGTTACATCTCATCTCACCACACGTCTACATGTTACCACTCAATTAGCTCGCCTCATACTCCTCGGGGTGCTGGATCGGCCCGGAGATGGAGAACTCGCCTCGAGCTCCTCGGGGTATTTGGTTAGCCAAAAGATCAAGTACTCCAGCTCCTCCCTCACGTCTGCCAGCGCGCCTGTTACCATTCGAACCACTGCTTACGTGTGTGTTGACAGTGATTCAATGCTGGCGAGGCACGTTAGCACACACGTTAGCACACACGTTAGCACACACGTTAGCACACACGTTAGCACACACGTTAGCACACACGTTAGCACACACGTTAGCACACACGTTAGCACACACGTTAGCACACACGTTAGCACACACGTTAGCACACACGTTAGCACACACGCCACCACTCAAACAGCTCACCTCATACTCCTCAGGGATACAGGGGTATCTTTTTTACCTGTCACTCTTTTGCTAAAGTTTTTCCTCTCCGCTGCTGCCCACCCTAATGCTTAATGGCTACAAACAGCTCACCTCATACTCCTCAGGGTATTTGATCGGCCTGGAGATGGAGAACTCGAGTTCTTCCCTCACGTCAGCCAGCGCGCCCACATCGTCCCACGTCACGCCAGGGATGGTCGTAAACCCCTCCCTCTTGGCGCTCGGCTGCACCTTACCCACTGCTGCCTGCACGTGAGAAAAAAGAAGAGGGTAGGGAGAAAGGGTAGGGTGGTTGAGGGGAGGAGCCTATTTTTTAGGCGCCTCGAAAAGAGAAGAGGGTGGGGAGAAAGGGTAGGGTGTTTGAGGGGAAGGAGACGAGGGTTCACAGAAGGGGCAGCAGTCAACTAGCGCGCCCGCTTTATCCCATGTCACACCAGGGATGGTGGTAGATAGGTGACTTTTGAGTCGACTCAAAAGTCACTTAGATACTGCTGCCTGCACGAGGTGATTTTTGAGTCGACTCAAAAATCACACCGGGGATGGTGGTAGATACTGCTGGGATGGTGGTAGATACTGCTGGGATGGTGGTAGATACTGCTGGGATGGTGGTAGATACTGCTGGGATGGTGGTAGATACTGCTGGGATGGTGGTAGATACTGCTGGGATGGTGGTAGATACTGCTGGGATGGTGGTAGATACTGCTGGGATGGTGGTAGATACTGCTGGGATGGTGGTAGATACTGCTGGGATGGTGGTAGATACTGCTGGGATGGTGGTAGATACTGCTGGGATGGTGGTAGATACTGCTGCCTGCACGAGTTAGGAGAGGAACGAGCCAGGACGAGAGCGGGCGGGAAGGAGGAAAGAGGATGGAGGGGAAAGATAGTATGGGAGGAGGAAACAGGGTGAAGGGGGAAGGAAGTATGCGAGAGTACCCACATAGGAGAGAGACGTCTCAAACACCGTTCCACGGCACACTAGGAAGGGATAGCCGTGATTTGAGACGCCATTTCGTTTTGAGAGGCCTCATAACTGATATCATGCTTGCTCTGGTATGCAGGATTCACCGGGAAGGGATGGTCGTGATGCCTTCTGAGCCGATTCATAAAACACATCCTAGAGCAAGCATGATAGTCTCTCTAACACCCCCTCCTGCCCCCCTCTAACCCTCGAAATCTTACGTAGAAATGCATTGACTGTGGCTCCTCTCCGGTCCTCTCTACTACACTACACATCGCCTGGGTATGCACTCGTCACACACCTGAAAATCTTTTGAGGCGCCTCAAAAATCCGCGGATAAGGAGACGACTTTTGAGGCGCCTCAAAAATCCGCGGATAAGGAGACGACTTTTGAGGCGCCTCAAAAATCCGCGGATAAGGAGACGACTTTTGAGGCGCCTCAAAAGTATGCACTCGTCACACACCTGACAATCTGCTTTTAAGTCGACTCAAAGCCCTCTCCTGTCCTGTCTACGGCACGTCGCCTACATCCGCACTCGTCACACACCTCAAAACCCCCCACCCCATGGTTCTTCCCTCAAAATCCCATCGTCGCACAGCTCAATGATTGCAGGTGACTGCAAGTCAGCTCAATGACTGCAGGTGGAGCTCGTCTTCTGTCCATTCCACCGCTTCCTCCAATCCTCTCCGTCTCCTGATCTCCCTCCGCCCAATCCTTACAAGTACGCACATCCTATTCACCCACATACCCACCTCGAAGTTCTTTTTGAGGCGCCTCAAAAATCGTCTCCGCCCAATCCTTACAAGTACGCACATCCTATTCACCCACATACCCACCTCGAAGTTCTTTTTGAGGCGCCTCAAAAATCGTCTCCGCCCAATCCTTACAAGTACGCACATCCTATTCACCCACATACCCACCTCGAAGTTCCCCATCCCATGGTGATGCTCAGCGCCTGCAGCTCCTCCTCTTCCGTCCACTGCTTCCCCCTATCCTCTCCGTCTCCCCCTCTCCCTCAGCCCTATCCTTACGAGTATTCACACTCACGAAATCTTCCGTCCACCGCTTACTCACACCCCATTCACACACACACACACGCACGCACCTCGAAGTCCCCCATGGGGGTGCTCGGAGATGACTTTTGAGTCGACTCAAAAGCCATCTGAGGTGGTGCTCACACCCCAGGGATTAGTTGTCATGGAAGAGTAGCAGCAGCGTAGGAAGGTCGCGCTGCTGCTACTCTTCCATGACAACTAATCCCTGACTCAAAAGCCATCTGAGGTGGTGCTCACACCCCAGGGATTAGTTGTCATGGAAGAGTAGCAGCAGCGTAGGAAGGTCACGCTGCTGCTACTCTTCCATGACAACTAATCCCTGGCTCAAAAGCCATCTGAGGTGGTGCTCACACCCCATTAACCCACCCACACACGCACCTCAAATCCCCCCATGGTGGTGCTCGGAGAGAACACCACCATGATGGTTTTTGAGGCGCCTCAAAAATCGGAGAGAACACCACCATGATGGTAACTAGTTTCAGCAGGTGGCTGCCTTCATCACACGCACCTCAAATTCCCCCATGGTGGTGCTCGGAGACTGCAGCTCCTCCTCCATCCACTGCGTGCTCGGATTTGAAGTATGTCGAGGGAACGTACCACAAGACTTGCCACGGTACAAAGAAGGTCAGGCAGAGACACCCACCTCGAAGTCTATTTTTGAGGCGCCTGAGGAGTCTATTTTTGAGGCGCCTGGGGAGTCTATTTTTGAGGCGCCTGAGGAGTCTATTTTTGAGGCGCCTCAAAAATAGAAGGTCAGGCAGAGACACCCACCTCGAAGTCCCCCATGGTGATGCTCAGCGCCTGCAGCTCCTCCTCCATCCACTGCGTGCTCGGATTTGAAGTACGTCGAGGGAACGCACCACAAGACTTGCCACGGTACAAAGAAGGTCAGGCAGAGACACGCACCTCGAAGTCCCCCATGGTGATGCTCAGCGCCTGCAGCTCCTCATCAGTCCACTGCTTCCTCCAATCATCCTCCTCCCCTGAACTTCCCCCCTTCTCGTCTTGCACTCCTTCCCCCTGCTCTTCCCCTCGACCCTCTTCCTCCCCTGCCTTAGTCTTCCCCCCCTGCTCTTTCCCCCCCTGCTCTTTCCCCCCCTGCTCTTTCCCCCCCTGCCCTTTCCCCCCTGCTCTTTCCCCCCTGCTCTTTCCCCCCCTGCTCTTTCCCCCCCTCCTCTTTCCCCCCCTGCTCTTCCCCCCCCTTTCCACCTTTCAACCCCTCTCCCTCCTCTCCATTGATCTTCTGGTCGTACTCTTCCCCGTCCACCAGCATGCAATCACCACCACCAACTACCGCTGCTGCTGCCCCTGCTGCTCCTGCTCCTCCTAATCCTACTGCTCCTGCTCCGACTCCCCCATCCACAAGCATACTATCCCCACCGCCAACTACCGCTGCTGCTGCACCTGCCACTGCTCCTGCTGCTGCCGCTCCGGTTGCGGCTTCTCCCCCTGGTCCATCACCCACCAAAGCCACCCCCTTACTCGTAAATATCCTCTTTACAGCAATAGCAGCCGCTTCTTTAGCGAGCGCGGCCAGATCCGCCCCCACAAACCCGGGTGTTCTCCGCGCAATAACCCCGAAATTAAACGACCCCTCCAGCCGAAGCTTCCTGGAAAGCACCTCCAGGATACGGGCCCGCGCTGACTCATCGGGAATCCCAAGGGAGATCTCGCGATCAAATCTGCCCGCCCGCCTGAGAGCCGGATCCAATGAATCTGGACGGTTTGTTGCTCCTATCACCACCACATGGCCTTTCAACCTCTTCCTCCTCTCCCTCTCCCTCTCCTTCTCCCTCTCCTCCTCTCCCTTTTTCTTCCCCTCCTCCTGCTCCTCTTCCCCCAGCCCCCCCTCTCCCTTCTCCCTCCCATCCCCCAGCTTCTCCCCATCCTCTCCCTCTGGTGACATGTCAGGAGATGACTGGAGGTCGTCCAGACACGTCAGCAGCTGCGCCACTATCCGCCTCTCCATCTCCCGTTGAGCAGTCTCCCGCTTGGGGGTGATGGCGTCGATCTCATCTATGAAAAGAATAGCAGGAGCAGCCCTCTCTGCTGACGAGAACAGAGAGCGCAGCTTGGCTTCCGACTCACCTGGCAAACATCAAAAGGAAAAGCGAATGAGAGAGAAAAAAAACACATGAAGGGCGGCGAACAGTGAGCAGCTGAGCCACTATCCGCCTCTCCATCTCCCGCTGCACCGTCTCCCTCTTGCCAGCCTCCCTGGCAATGGCACGAGCCAGCATCGTCTTTTGAGTCGACTCAAAAGTCATCTCCCTCTTGCCAGCCTCCCTGGCAATGGCACGAGCCAGCATCGTCTTTTGAGTCGACTCAAAAGTCATCTCCCTCTTGCCAGCCTCCCTGGCAATGGCACGAGCCAGCAGGTGATTTTTGAGTCGACTCAAAAGTCATCTCCCTCTTGCCAGCCTCCCTGGCAATGGCACGAGCCAGCATCGTCTTGCAGCACCTGCAGCACCCAGGAGGGCAGTGTGTGTTGAGTTTCCTTGAAGCACATGACGTACCATGCTCAAGAGAAACAAACCCAAGGCGCATCCGACATAATGGAAGCGCTCAAGAAAAACAAACCCCAGGCGTACCTGACATCCCCGAGACAATCTCCGGAGCAGCAATCTTGAAAAACGGAACTCCAGCCTCCCTAGCAATAGCATGCGCTAGCATTGTCTTGCCGCAACCAGGGGGGCCGTGCAGCAACACCCCTCTCGGAGGCTCGACGCCGAGCCAAGCGTACAGCTCCGGATGCGCCAGGGGGTACAGGATCAGCTCCCGAACCTGCTCCACCACCCCGTCAATCCCCCCGAAATCCGCAAACCGAACCTCCCGAGGCGCGGCCCGGGCCGTACCTCCAGGCTCGGCCGAACCTCCCTCCCCCGGGGCGAATTCGTCTGGAAAAATATCTGCCACTCCCGATCCTCTTCCTCCAGCCTTTTTCTTTCCCTTAGTGTTAACCCGCCTTGTCTTGTCTCTGGATATATCCCTGCTAATTTCTCCACCACCTTTACTTAACCCCTCCGACTGCCTTTCTCGTTCCGACCCTCTTCCCCCCTCACTCACCCTCCCTCTTTCAGATACCTTGTACGGCCCCTCCTCCGCCCCCTCCTCCACTCCCCTTAGTCTCTGACCTGTCATGCCCCCCCCCTCTCCTTTACTCTTGGAGCTCACTGCCTTCCTGCTCCCTCCCTCTCTGCTCCCTCCTGCTCTCTCTCTGCCTCTTTGCTTGCTCCCCTGGCTCTCAGTGCTCATGGCAGGACCGGCAGTGCTTAAACTAGCGCCACCGGCACTTACAGCACCACCAGCACTTATAGCACCAGTACTTAAAGTAGCACCATTCGCAGCTATCTGCTCTTGCGGACGAACCACTTTAACACTAATTGGTGCTGCTGCTTTCACCCCTGCTGCTGCTGCTGCTGCTGCTGCTGCTCCTGCCCCACCCGCCACTGGTGGACCTCCGATCTCAACTGCTTCCTTTTCAGTCGCAGCTCCAACGCCCTTATTCACCCCCTGTTCAGTAGCATCCGTCACAATCACATCCTTCTCCTTTCTCTTCACGCCCCTTCTCTCCCCCTGCTGCTGCTGCTGCTGCTGTCCCTGCTGCCGCTGCAGCTGCAGCTGTTCCAAGGCTGCTCCTGCTGCATCCACGCCAGAAGCCTTTGCTACTCCGTTCCCCACCAACGGGCCAGCAGCAGCAGCAGCAGCAGAAACGGCAGCACCAGCAGCTGCTGCGGCGGTGGCAGTAGCAGCAGTAGCGGCATTCGCAGCAGTTGCAGTGGCAGTGCCAGCACCAGCACTAATAGCACCACTAACACCAGCAGCAGGAGCACCAGCAACAGCAGCACCTGAGCCCACAGCAACAGCAGGAGCAGAACCCGCAGCACCACCACCTGCACCCACTTGCTTCCCTTTGCTTGCGAGCCTCTCTGCTTCTCTAAGAGCCGCCGCCCTTATAGCACTCAAAGGAGCAAACGCAGGTTTTGCGGCTGCTTTTCTAGCCCCCCCTGCTTTATCTACCTTCCCTTCAGCAACTGCTTTTTCCCCCTTCCCTTCCCCCTTCCCTTCCCCCTTCCCCCCAGGTGTTCCAGCCTTGTCGTACGTTTTCCTAAGAGCCGCATTGAGGAGATTAAAGCCACGTGTGCCGATGTCTTTAGGGCTCTCTGGTTCCTCCTCACTACTCTCCCCACTCTCCCCCTCACTCTCCCCCTCACTCCACTCCACACTCATTTCCTCATTCTCCCCCTCCACACTCTCTCCCCCCTCACTCTCCCCCTCTGCATTTGCCATTTCCTCACTCGTTGCCTTACCGCCCTCCCCTCCCCCCTGCCTCTCCGCAACAGTCTCATTCCGCCCGTCCCCCTGGCGCCCCTCCCCCGTGCCAACCCCTACGACAGTCCCTGCTAAACCCTCAGCCCCTGTTAAACCCTTTCCGCCAGAATTTCCTCCCGCGCCCTGCGTATTCCCTTTCCCCGCCCCTTTTGCGTCCCCCGCTTCCCCTTCCCCCGCCGCTTCCGCCTTCCCTACCCCCTCCCCTTCCCCCTCATCTTCCCCCTCCGCCTCCACAATCCCCCTTGCCCGCATGTGCGCCTGCTCCAGCTGCGACAGGCGCTGGTCCTCCGCCATTCCCCCTTCCGCCCGTCCGCCTTCCGTCGCCTTCTTCCCCCTTATGCTCGCCTCAAACTCCGCCTGCTCGCGGCTAATTCCCCCCTCCAGCCGCTGCTGCGCCGCCTGGGGGGGGAAGGGGGAGTGGGGAAGGAGGGAATGGAGGAAGGGGGTAATAGGGGAAGGGGACTCGCGCTGTTGCGGTTTAATCTGTATACGGGGCATAATATAGGCTCAACAAGCATAACTGACTCATAACCAACGCTTTAACGACGCGCTTGGATTCAAGGCCAAACTATGACGATCAACGGTTGACGTACCTCCACCGCTTTAGTCACGCTCTTTAAGAACGGCCCTTGCGGCTTGCGCTGATACTCCCGAGGATGCGCCTCGCGAAGCTTCATCGCAACTTCTTCCACGCTCACGTAGTCGCTGTCGGCCAATATCTTCTCGACACGTGTCACCAATTGCGGATCCATAATGTAAGCCTGCCCTGGGCGGGGTTTAGCGGGATTTCCGCCCGTTGGCGCAGACGACGGTGCGCCTTTACTCCCGTTATTCGTTAGCGGAACGCCCGTTTGTGGCAAAATCGTTTTGGTGCCACCCTGTGGAGGCCCCGGGCTAAACCGGCCGGGATTCGGGGAATGGTGCGGCGACTGCTGCTTTCGGCGCTTCGACTTCGCCATTTTGCGGATAGAAGGATAATGATGTTGATTTCCGCTCAGTCGCACGTGTCCTCTATCACGAACACTCCAGAATCGCGAGGCGTTATACAACTCCGGGAGAGAACGGCTAAAATGCACCGGTCTCTCGAATTTCGACTCTACTGCCACTACCGCCTCAGTTGAAGTCTCGAAGAGTCAAAAGGAAGTGACCTGAACGAGTCTTTCCTATTACCGAAACACCTAGTACAAAGAAATTGGCAACCAAAGCTCCTTGCGACTTAGGGAGATGTAAAAGAAGACCTTGACAGAGTGTGGGTGTGAAGCAGAATTAGGGCTTGGAAGGGTTCTAGGGTTCGGGTTCATATGGGGCTGTGCTGTGGAAGCACAGGCATCTGAATGAGCCAGCCATGGTGGTGTCTCACACAGGTTCAGTTTCTGTCCATCGGTTGCGGTTGAAAGGATTCCTCCGATTTTTAAAACAGAGTCAAAACGGTCGATTATGGTTGAGCTAGTAAATAGTTTCTCCATTGAAGCTGCCACATTCCGCGTGACAGTTGGGACAATTGAAATTCCATGCCAGCAGAAGCGCCTGCCTGCCAGGCTGCCGGGCGGCGCGCGACAGAAAAGAAAACTAGTGAGGTGATGTAACAAAAGGGGAAGTCACTATTCGTAACAAAGAGTCTAATCTTTTCGCAGTCAAGTGTTTATGCGAAAACGAATAGGGCCTGATATTGGCAGGTGGTAACGAAGAGTTTCGGTGGTGGCTGGCCAGCCTCTGGTATTGGCTGGTGCGCGTGGCACTTAGCGGAAACGTCCAATCAGCTCAAATCCCGTATGCTGGATGGAACCCAGAATGTCCGAAGCAGGAAGTTTGTTCCCGAGAAACTTGAGGTGAAGTTGCGGTTTGCCCCCACAACGGGATTTTTTTCGAGAGATACGACACATTGAATCAGAACTCGAAGGTTCGTTTTGAAGTTCTCTAGCTCAGTATTAGAACATGCCCTGAAACATCAAAACAGGATCGCCTTCTCGTGTGCTTGCATTGTCTGTCGCCGTGGTTTGGTTGCCTAGCAGCTCAAGCCTAACTACTAACTAGGGTACTACGAACTAGACAGAGAGACACTGTACCAACAGACTCGAGCAGAGGACATCAAGCACATTGTTCCGATGCCGGTTCAGCGCTTGCTGTCTTCTGACAGTTCTACGCTAGGTAGAGTTTCCGCTGTGCCTTTCCGCTGCTGCCTGAAGCACATTCGTTAGAAGCACTTCATGTGTTTCCAGCACCAACCATGGCCGCCCGCGTTACAATCACTCGTAGTCAACCAGGGATACTTGTGCTTGTAGTCGTACTATTTATGAGCCCGCATTTATCGGTCACGGCAACATTAGGCTATCCGTCATTCACTGGCGGGAAATTCCCGGCAACTGACGGCCGTCAAGTTTCGTCCGACACAGCTAGCTCTCATGGGACGGAGTTACCAGCTGCCGTTAGTGAAAAGAGTCGGCGGGAATCAGAAACCGGTAGCGATGGGACACCGACCAGAAGTTTTGTTGGCAATTACCAGCCGTTGAGCGGTAGCCGTCCGGCAGGTTACTGCCGGCCGTTAAGTGGTGGTGGAAGGAGACGGCCGGTAACTCGCGACCCGCTTTTAGAGCTGATTCTGCCGTGCGAAGAATGGGAGGGGTGTGACTGGAGCGATGTGATTAAAACGGGGGGGAAGATCGAATCTGAAGAGGGGCGATGGTTTGGGAATCAACGGACAGGAACGCATCCAGACGGCAGGCATCAGGAGGAATCGGGGTTTGGGGAGATGGACGGCGGAGATGAACCTGTGGGATCGGGACGTGGAATGATTGACGGCGTGGATGAGCCGAACGGGGAGGGTGAGGAGGGGTTTGGTCAGGGAGAAGGTGATGAGTTGAATGAGGGGGGGCCGAGAGGGTTAGAGAGGGGAGAGAAAGGGGAGCTTGAGGAGAGAGTTGATGAGGGGGAAGCGAACGAGGAGGAAGAAGGGGAGGAGGAAGAGGAAGAAGAGGACGAGGAAGATATAATCGAGTCTTTCTTTAAGGAGGCTGATGAGTGGGAGAGAGAAGGCAGTGGTCAAACGGATGGGCAGAGGGATCCTGAGGGCGTTGACCCGAGGACGAGACGTAACACATGGCGGAGGGGTAGCAGGCGGATGCAGGGGAGGCGCAGAGTGAGCGGAGTGAGCGGAGTGAGGGGAGTGGGGGGAGTGGGGGGAGTGGGCGGAGTGGGCGGAGTGAGCGGAGTGGGGGGAGTGGGCGGAGTGGGCGGAGTGAGCGGAGTGGGGGGAGTGGGCGGAGTGGGGGGAGTAAGCGGAGTTCCCGAGGGGGTAAGAAGAGGCGGGAGAACAAGGAGGCGGAGGCTGGTGGACGGATGGGTGTCGGGGCCGGCGGAAAAAGCACAGTCGGCGTTCTGGTGGGTGAATGAGGCGGGAAACGAGGAGGAGATGCTGACTCAGCACCACGACTGGTACCAGTGGCAGTGGCCGGTGGAGCGGTTAGGAAAGACGTGGCGGGGCATGTTCATGCGAGGAGCAAGATTCGATATTGCAGTAAGTGAGACGCTTAAGTAAGTGGGTGATTGAGGGGATTTTTTGCCGAAGCACGACCCCGTTCCCCAGGGCGTCTTGGGTTCCGTTCCATCCCATGCCTGGAGAGCGGCGGCTCATGGTGAGTTTTGAATCGACTCAAATCATCTTTTGAGTCGACTCAAAAATCATCTTTTGAGTCGACTCAGAAATCACCTTTTGAGTCGACTCGAATCACCTTTTGAGTCGACTCAGAAATCTCTTGGGTTCCGTTCCATTCCATGCCTGGAGAGCGGCGGCTCATGGTGAGCAACGCTTAGAAGAGCAGGACCTTTTTTCTTCTTCCTAGCTGCTGCTCACCCTGACGCTTAAGTAAGTGTTTCATGCCATGCCAGGAGAGTGGAGTTTTGAGGCGCCTCAAAACGAGAGCGGCGGCTCATAATGTGCAACGCTTGGAAAAGCAGGATCTTTGTTTTTTTCCCCCAGCTGCTTCTAAAAAATACACCCTGACGCTTCTGGCTTTGATTCCCTCCATGCCAGGAGAGCGGCGGCTCATGTGAGCCGCTCGTTGGGGCTCCCCACCACCCTCCACTCTCTGCTGTCTCAATCTCTTCCCCCCCCTACAGATAACGCCCTCATGCAAGGGCATTTTGTTAGGCGCCTCAACAATACTCCCCACCCCACCTCCACCCTCTGCTGTCTCGATCTAACACGCCCTCATGCAAGGGGCATTCTTGTCCCCCAACAAGCCCGTGCCAACCTGACAATCCTGGGTCGTGATTCCAACGAGACAGAGCTCAAAGCCCTATCTCCAACTCTCCCCTATCTCCTACAGAACACGCCCTCATGCAAGGGCATTCTCCCCCAGCCAGCCTATGCCAACCTGACAATCCAGGGTCGTGGTGCCAACGAAAAGGAACTCAAAACCCTTGGCAACGTGAGGTACAAGCAGGAGAAGCGCGAGCCCATCCCGCAGGACCTCCTGGCTGCGACGATGCGCACGAACTGCAATGAGACATACACCCTCATTTTGCAGGGTGTTTTTTAGGGTTCTCAAAAACACCCTGCAAAATCAAGGACCTCCTGGCTGCGGCGATATGCATGAACTGCGTCGAGTGTGGCATCAATGAGACATACGCCTTCGCCCCAGCCCTCTCCGTGTGTAATGAGTCTATTTTTTAGTCGACTAAAAAATAGACTCATTACACACGACACATGACCTTTTGGATGCGACAACAAGCATAAACTGCATTGAGTGTGGCATCAAGGAGACATACGCCCTCATCCCCCCCCCCGTTCTCCCTACCCTTCCCCCCCGTCCCCCCCCTTCCCTCGCTCCCCTCCCTCCCCTCCTTACAGAACATCCCCTCATGCAAGGGCATTCTCCCCCAAGGTGACTTTTGAGTCAACTCAAAAGTCCCTCCCCCCCCTTTCCTCGCTCCCCTCCCTCCCCTCCTTCTTACAGAACATCCCCTCATGCAAGGGCGTTCTCCCCCAACCGGCCTATTCCAACCTCACCATCCTCGGGCGAGATGCCAACGAAACGGAGCTCAAGATTCTCGGCAACGTGCGCCGCAAGCAGGAGAAGCGCGAAGCGATTCCCCAGGACCTCCTGGACTCGATGCCCAAGGAGCGCTGGCTCATCTGGGCCCCGCGGTTCGGCCTGGGAAACTCTCTACGGGGATATACCTCGGCTTTTATATACGCGATGCTGTCGGGGAGGCGGTTCCTGCGCTGGCACGGGGGCCCACATAAGAAGGTGAGGATGCAGGGATGCGGGGTGCAGTGCAGCATAGGAATGCATGGCAAGTCTTGGGTACATCGCTTTGAGGCGCAAGCAGGAGAAGCGCGAGCCGATCCTGCAGGACCTCCTAGACTCAATGCCCAAGGAGCGCTGGCTCATCTGGGCCCTGCGGTTCGGCCTAAAGAACTCGCTAAGAGGGTATACTTCGGCGTTTATATGCGCGATGCTATCGGGGAGGCGGTTCCTGCGCTGGCATGGGGGGGCTCACAAGAAAATGAGTCGACACAGGGGGTGGGAGTGGCTTAGGAATGCAATGCAAGTCTTGGGTACATCTCATTGCGCGCAATGTGGGGCGCAACGTGAGGCGCAACATGAGGCGCAACGTGAGGCGCAAAGTCAGGCGCAACGTGAGGCGCCTCAAAAGTCAGGCGCAATGTGAGGCGCAGCGCAACGTGAGGCGCAACGTGAGGCGCAAAGTGACGCGCAACGTGAGGCGCACGTGAGGCTCCTCAAAAGTCACGCGCAATGTGAGGCGCCTCAAAAGTCATTCTTCCTTCCATTCTTCCTACTCTTTCTCATTCTTAGGTATTGGCTTTTGAGGCACGTCAAAAGTCATTCTTCCTTCCATTCCTCCTACTCTTTCTCATTCTTAGGTATTGGAGCGTTTGTTTGTGCGATGCGCTCTACTGCGGGCCTCACAAGTTGTACTATAGAGCTAACTTCCCTGAACTACATTACTCCTACCTTCAACTCCCCTTCCCCACCTCCTCCCCCCCCCCCACACACACACCCCTCTCTGTGATGTGTTTCACTGTGGGCTGGACGAGTTGCACTCATAAGGACGTCATCATTATCATTAGTTTTTTTTTTGTTGTGCCGCTATCCCTAATCTTGCAGGTCCTGGAGCGTCTGTGCGATGCGTTCTACTGTGGGCTCGACGAGTTGCACTATAGAGGGGATATGCGCAAGCACACGAAGTTGATGGAAGGGCGGGAGCTTGTGATCCATGGGCTCAACTACTACGCTGCTGTCATGGCTGTCAACTCGGGTATGCTATAGGTTAAATGAGTTGCACTATAGAGGGGATAAGTCTCAGCACACGAAGCTGATGGAGGGGTGGGAGCTTGTGATCCATGGGCTCAACTACTACTCTGCTGTCATGGCTGTCAACTCAGGTATAAGATATGTGTATGTAGAGCTCACTGTACATAAAACGAACGGCAGTATAGAGGGTACATGCAGAGTAAGCTGATCAACTACTACTCAGCTGACATGGCTGTCAGCTCGTGACATGACTATCGACTTTTGAGTCGACTCAAAAGTCACCTCGGCGGACATGGCTGTCAGCTCGTGACATGACTATCACTGCATTCACGGCACTTTCCGCCAGGCCCTTTTGAGGCGCCTCAAAAGACATGACTATCCGAGCCTTCACGGCATACAGACATGGCTGTCAGCTCGTATACAGACTATCACTGCATTCACGGCACTTTCCGTTCCGCCAGGCCCTTGGACATCTTCCAGTGAGCGCGGCGTCAGGAGACGGGTTAGCAAGTAGGAAAGACAGTAAAAAAGGTGCTTATGTAAACGTGAGTTCGGAGTAGTCGGAGCTCTTACGGACTACCAGTGCATTCACGGCACCTTCCGCCAGGCTCCAACCCACTCAGCCCCGCGCCACTGCTGCTGCTACTGCTGTTGCAATTCGTTCGGACGGTAATAGTTTGTATCGTGTAGGCGGTGATCGCTCGGCCGCACGTGCCGTCAAGCTTCAGCCCACTCAGCCCCTCTGGTGCATCCAAGCGTCAGTCCTCTCCCTCCTCCTCTCCCTTACGCTCCCTTCCCACTGTTTCCAGGTGCCTTCTTCGACGCCGTCTGGCGCACAGAACCACAAATCAACCAGTGTGTGCACGACGCCATTGGCTGCCCCCCCTTTTAGCCCCCTTCCTCTCGTTCCTCCTCTCCTCTCTCGTCCCTTCTCCAGGCGCCTTCTTCGACGCCTTCTGGCGCACAGAACCGCAGATCAACCAGTGTGTGCATGACGCCTTCGGCTGCCGCTCCCTCTGGTGCATCCAAGCGTCAGTGCTCTCCCTGCTCCTCGGCCAAGGGCCGAAGCCAGGGGTGCAGGAGGTGGTGGACAGGGACCTGAGGGTGGTGCCCCCGCTGGTGTTCAAGGGGGGCGGAATGGGGATGGAGGAGGGGGAGGCGAAGGGGGGGAAGGTGGAGCCGCAGATGGTGGCTAAAGGCGAGGGACTGAGGCTCCAGTTCGATCTCTCCATTCATATTCGAGGGCATTCAGTGTGAGTCTGTCTTCCTTTCTCTCTCTCTATGGGAGGGCTTGTTGAGGCCCCAAGCCAGGGGTGCAGGAGGTGGTGGACAGGGACCTGAGGGTGGTGCCCCCGCTGGTGTTCAAGGGGGGCGGGATGGGGATGGAGGAGGGGGAGGCGAAGGGGGGGAAGGTGGAGCCGCAGATGGTGGCTAAAGGCGAGGGACTGAGGCTCCAGTTCGATCTCTCCCTCCGCATCCGAGGGCATTCTGTGTGAGTTCAGGGTGGGGGCGGTGGGGTTGGGGTGCGGTATGGTAGGGTTGCTGTGGCGGCAGTGGATGGTGGCTGAAGGGGAGGAGGGATTGACGCTCCAGTTCGACCTCTCCATCCACATCCGAGGGCACTCTGTGTGAGATGGGTTGCGGTGGTGATGGGGGGGCGCCTCGTAGGGCTCGTTTGACGCCACAGATGGCGGCTAATTGCGCTGCGACTGCAGTTCGACATCCACATTCACATCCACATCCACATCCACATCCACATCCACATCCACATCCACATCCACATCCACATCCATATCCGAGGGCGCTCCATGGTGGTTTGTACAAAGGTTTCATTCGCACAGAAGGGAAGGTGGAGCCACAGATGGCGCAGCAGGCGGAGATATCTTCAAGGGCGCACAGCCTGATGAAGCCCAACCGCTGGCGCTGCATTGCCCGGCTGGCACAGTGTCTCTCAGTTCCCATCCCGCTTCCTCCCCCACCCCCCCTTGTCCCCTGTACGTTCCCCCTTATCCAGCAACGTGGAGGGTGAAAACAGTGCAGGCAAGGACACGTGCTGCCATGAGCGGACGCAGTAGGCGAAGATCTCAAGGGCGCACCACCTCACGAAGCCCAACTTCGAACTCACATCTTCCCGCTCCTCCCGCCTCTTCCATTGGCAGCAACGTGGAGGGCGACCACTGCAAAGACAAGGACACGAGATGCCAGGAGCGGGCGCAGCAGGCGGAGATATCTTCAAGGGCGCACAACGTGATGAAGCTCAACCGCTGGCGCTGCATTGCCCGGCTGGCACAGTGTCTCTCAGTTCCCATCCCGCTTCCTCCCCCACCCCCCCTTGTCCCCTGTACGTTCCCCCTTATCCAGCAACGTGGAGGGTGAAAACAGTGCAGGCAAGGACACGCGCTGCCAGGAGCGGACGCAGCAGGCGAAGATCTCAAGGGCGCACCACCTCACGAAGCCCAACTTCGAACTCACATCTTCCCGCTCCTCCCGCCTCTTCCATTGGCAGCAACGTGGAGGGCAACCACTGCAAAGACAAGGACACGAGATGCCAGGAGCGGGCGCAGCAGGCGGAGATATCTTCAAGGGCGCACAACCTGATGAAGCCCAACCGCTGGCGCTGCATTGCCCGGCTGGCTCAATGTTCCTTAGCTCCCCCCACTCCGCCCCTTATCCCTCCTTCCTCTTTGCAGCAACGTGGAGGGTGACCACTGCAAGGACAAGGACACGAGATGCCAGGAAAGGGCCCAACAGGCGGAGATCTCGAGGGCACACAACCTGATGAAGCCCAACCGCTGGCGCTGCATTGCCAGGCTGGCACAGTTCCTGCGTGTTAAGAAGGCCGCTGCTGGCGGGTTCCCCAACGCTACTACAGCCGCTGCTGGCTGGATTGTCAACGCTACAGCCGCTGCCCGCTGGTCGGCCAATGCTACAGCCGCTGCTGGCTGGATTGCCAATGCTACAGCCTCTGCTCGCTGGTCCGCCAATGCTACAGCCGCTCGTTCTGCCACCGTTGCTGCAAGCAACGCCACGGCTCATGCCAGTTCTAATGCTACAGATGCAGCATCAGCACCTGCATCTGCCCCTCCATCTCGCCCAGCACCTCTTAACCAGCCTCGTGCTACAATCATGGCACCCGCCAGTGCTTCTAGCCCATATCCCATGGCTCCCCCCTCCGCCTCCTCCCCCCCCCCTCATCCCGCACTTGCCTCCACAGCAGCCCCTTCATCTTCCCCCCTCCCTAACTCTACAGCCATATCCTCCTTAATAGCAGCTTCGACGACAAAGCGACGCCTGCTACAGTATGTGCAGCGGAACGCTAGAAAGGGAAGGAGCAGGCGGGAGCGCAGGAGGAAGCTGCAAGGAAGGAGAAGGTTGCAGGAGGAATGGACAGTGGATGATTCAAATCTTGTGGCTTCTATCGTGCCACCTGGCGGGCCATCAGCCGCACACCTGGGCCACTTGAGGATATTTGTGGCCACAGATACAGACATTCTTCGATCGCAAGTGGTGGAGATCTTACGGCCGTTTGGCGAGGTGTATTTCTCCGTTTCGCCTGCAGTGCACTTGTCGAAAACAGGGGGGAGTCACCTGGCCACTCTTGCGGATTTTGTGCTTCTAAGCAAAGGGGCGGTTCTGGCGAGCTTTACTAGATACATTAGCACGTTTGCATTATTTGCAGGCATGTTGGGCAATGGGACACTTGTTGCTGATCCTGCGTCAGACCACACTTGCCGCTTTGTTGTGGAGCATATGGGAGAGCTGTGGCCTTGAAGTGTGCAAGCATGTATTGAACACTTTTACTATATTTTCTTCCTAGTGCCATTTTCCCTTGAGTGTTGCAGTGTAGTGGGGCGGGAATACTCGTGCACAGACACCCTAGCGGAGACGGCCATCAGCCTATGGGCAAACGCCAGGAGGACCTTGAAAATACCTTCACCAACTTTTTGGGGGGGGTGGTTTGGCGACCCTTGCGACCCTTGCGAAGTGGATTGGCGACAGCGACACCTCCCTCACCAACTTTCGCTGTAAATCATGGCGACAGTGAGGCAGCCACGTGTAACATCACAACTGTTCGGAATGTTTCGAGATGTTCGTTGCAGTTCGCGCCTGCGAGTTTCGACAGAATCGAGGTACTGTATATTGAGTTTTGACCCCTGACTTAAGGGCGTGGTACATTATACATTAAAGTACCGAACCCCGTCCCCGGGCCCGGCCGTACACTCGAGACGCGAGAAAAACGCGGCTCGCGACTCGTTACTAAATCTTGAATTGACAGCAAAGAATAAGGACCCCCAATTGGACCGAACCCCACATTAGCAAATTGCCCCTGTCGCCGAACCGCCTTACCGGGGTACCGATCCTGGTTCCCATATGTGTGGTGGTTCACTGGACCGGCTGGGCTCGTTCCCCAAACTTGACTTCTGTCGCGGTCCGCTAATGTGCCACGCCCTAAGTGCTTTTGACTTGAGGTGCTATGTACAACCATACTAACTAGCCACGCTTACTTCTCTCCTGTTGTAATACCAGAGCATCGCCAGCGAGGCGAATGCTGCTAATGGAGTGCGTCGAATGGATAATACGGCCCGTCAATTTCGCGTAGATAAGCAGTCTGCACATTCAAGGTACATACTTGCCGTCTGTTGAACCCGCCGGGTATCGTAGTTCCGCTCCTGCTGACATTGAGTCCGTATTAGCGCTCACAAGAGGGGTTCTCCGACAGTAGCTTTGGCGAAACGTCTCGTAGTACAAAACAAGAAAGGGAAGCGGGCAAAAGAAGCAGTCACTGCAATAAAACGGTTTTATTCGAAGGTTACCCAGGTACGTAGCTTGACACCTGCTTCTGCTTGGCACTCAAGAGACAGCTTGAAAGCTTCGCAACTCCTTCTGCTGCTCTATTGTCGTCGTTTAACCTCTTAGAAAGCGCGACGTCGGTGTAAGAGTTATTTTCTTCCAAGCACTTGAAGGGCCTTAATGTTCCCTTTTCCGTCATTCCCCATCCCGTGTTTTCCCATTCTCCTAATCCCTCTTTCCCATATCCAGGTGACTTTTTTTTCGATTCCCCCAGTAACCCTTGAGCCACCGGGCAATAACCGAAAAAAATGGCCACCACCATTCTAGACCTCGACGATGACGTCATCATCAATGTCTTCCGGCGCCTTCCAGGAAGGCGCGGCAGCTTCGCCCACTCCCTGGTCTGCCGCCACTGGCGCCGCCTGGCGTACGAAGCCCTCGTTTCGATCACATTCGAGCAGGACCGCCGCTGTCGCATCCTCCTATCCCTCCTTAACTTCCCTAACCTAGCCTCGCTTACCTTTCCTGATAACTCCCTGGCCTGGACTTCCGACCCTATCCTAGAGACAGTTTCAGTGTACTGTCCGAACCTGAGGGAGCTTCGGATAGGGCACCAGGGCTATGGGGCTACGTTCGGGGAGGCCGGGCTGAAGGCAATTTTTCGCGGCTGCCCAAAGCTGGAGCTGTTTACTTTTGAGAGTTTGAATCGATCGCCGGTGGTTATCCCGTCAGAACTCGGGCAGGCGAAAAATCTGCAGCTGCTGAAAATCGGGAAATGGGAGAACGGGTTTTGGGACGACTCTAACCTTGAGAGCATGCCTGAAACGCTGGGCAACCTGACAAAACTTTCAGAGCTGACCATCGCTAGCGACAGACTTTCTCAGCTGCCCGGCGTTTTTGGCCCGCTGGGAGCCTCTCTCAGCTCTATTCGCATTCGGTCAATGGAACTTTCTTCCCTGCCCGACTCAATGACTCTGCTAACTTCCTTAACGAACCTTGAGCTCGAATGCATGGTTCTTTCGCAGCTGCCCGAAGCCATGCATTCTCTTTCTGCCCTGACCAGCTTGACCCTCTCCTGCTGCGGAACTTTGACCCACCTGCCCGAAACTCTGGGCAGCTTGCCTCGTCTCGCCCATCTTAAACTCCACTCCTGCCGGTTTCTTTCCGAGCTGCCCGCTTCAACAACTGCTCTTTCCTCCCTAGAGTCCCTCACCATCTCCCGCTGTGCTTCTTTTTCCGCCTTGCCCAAGTTCTTCGGGCGGCTGAAATCCCTCCGCACCCTGCATCTTGACGTCTTTGAAAGTTTCGAATCGCTGCCCGAGTCCATGGGAGACATGCAGCATCTGGAGAAATTTTTTGTTTCAGCCCCGGGCATCAAATCTCTCCCCAATTCATTTGGACGGCTGAGATCCCTTAGAGAGCTCGAGATGGAGGGCTGTTTGAAACTCTGGTACATCCCATCGTCGTTCGGGCAGCTTTCAAATCTTCGAGTCCTGCGCATCCTCCAGTGCCCAATGCTCAGCAGCCTGCCCGGAACCTGCGGGCAGCTTTTCGGGCTGAAGGAATTTGTGGTGGGCGACTGTGGGCATTTTCATGTGCCCCAGGCATTGTCGGGCATCGTAACGTTTGAAAGCCCGTTTTTCTCTCTGCTGCGAATCTGAAGTGGAAGAGTTTCTGCAGAAAATCCTGGCTTTAAGTTCAGGTATGTTTGGTTGCGAGTGTGAGGGTAATTTGTCACTTCCGCCCCTGACATTGACATTGACAGCTATTTCCGGGTGCCTGTTCTTTTTGTCACTTCCGCCCCTGGCATTATCATGCTTAACAGCATCACATACCATGTTTTCAAACCCTCAAAGTTCCCCCGTGTGCACTCCCGTGCTTCCTCTGTAGCCATTAAGCATTAGGGTGGGCTGCACATGTTTTCAAACCCTCAAAGTTTCCCTGTGTGCACTCCCGTGCTTCCTCTGTTCTTCATCACTCCACACTCCACTCGCAGGAAAAAAGCTCCCAGTCTTTTCTCTTTTTTTTTCTCAGGCGCCTCAAAAACATGCTTCCTCCCGTTCTTCATCCCTCCACACTCATTCTAGCAGGAAGAAAGCTCCCAGTTTTGCCAGCGTTGCGGTTGCTGGCACCACGCATACCGGTAGCAGCATCAACACCACCAGAAGAAGCATCATACGGAAAGCATTAGCACCAGCAGCAGTAACAAGACCTATCCCTGGAGCTCCACTGGCCCCTCCCCTTCGTGGCTGCTCCATAAAGAAATCAGTAACACCTGTCTCAAATCCAACATACCGGTACTGATAACACAAGGGACAGCTTTCAGCAGTCATGCCATTTGTAAATCTTTTCTGTTGTCACCTTTACACCAACACCTGCTGATGTTCTAAACCATGTACTCAATGCACTAACTGTCAAACATGTGTATTTGTCATGTTTGTATAGACTGTATAGGGTCACCTCTTAGAGGGTACAACACTTAGGTATATCTGTGTGTACTCTCACTCCACCATTATTCACTTCTCTAATTTTGATATGGTATCGCGCGTAGGTTAGGATCCCCCCCCCACCTACTGCTTCCGCTCCCCCCCCCTAGCTCGGCCCCGTCGCGCCTCCCTCCTAGCCCCGTCGCGACCCCCCTAGCCCCGTCGCGCCCTTCCTGGGCCCCGTCGCGCCCCTCCTGGGCCCCGTAGCGCCCCTCCTGGGCCCCGTCGCGCCCCCCCTAGGCCCCGTCGCGCCCCCCCTAGGCCCCGTCGTGCCCCTCCTCGACCCCGTCGTGCCCCTCCTTGGCCCCGTAGCGCCCCTCCTGGGTTCCGTCGCGCCCCTCCTGGGCCCCGTAGTGCCCCTCCTGGGCCCTGTCGCGCCCCTCCTGGGCCCCTCCTGGGCCCTGTAGTGCCCCTCCTGGGCCCTGTACCGCCCTTCCTGGGCCCCGTAACGCCCCTCCTGGGCCCTGTAGCGCCCCTCCTGGGCCGCGTCGAGCCCCCCTCCTGGGCCCCGTCATGCCTTCCGGCCCCGTCGCACCCGCCCGGCCCCGTCGCACCAGCCCGGCCCCGCCGCGCCCGCCCGGCCCCATCGCACCCGCCCGGCCCCGTCGCCCCCTGCCCGGCCCCGTCGCAGCCGCCCGGCCCCGTCGCACCCGTCCGGCCTCGTCGCGCCCGCCCAGCCCCGGTGCGCCCCTCCTTGGCCCCGTCGTGCCCCTCCTGGGCCACCGTCCCGCTCGTCCGGCCCCGTCGCACCGGCCCGGCCCCGTCGCACCGCCCGGCCCCGTCGCACCAGCCCGGCCCCGACGCACCCGTCCGGCCCCGTCGCACCAGCCCGGCCCCGTCGCGCCCGCCCGGCCCCGTCGCACCCGCCCGGCCCCGTTGCACCAGCCCGGCCCCTGCGCTCGTCCCTGCCCCGGCCCCGGTCCTCCTCACTGGTACGGTTCTCCCCCCCCCCCTCCGCCCTGCCCTGCATCGTACTGCCCCGCACTGCACCGCCCCGCACCACACTGTATTGCCTGGCACCGCACTGCACCGCACTGCACTGCACTGCACCGCACTGTACCGCACGGCACCGCACTCCACCTTGCTGCACTGCCCTGCACCGCACTGCACTGTTCCTGATGGCGGCGGAGCTTCGCTTCGACGCTGAAGGCCAGCCTCTGGAGTTCGAGGCGTGGCTTGCCGACCTCCGCCGCCAACTCACTGGCCAGCGGCAGGATGGTGAACCGCATTCCGCACACCTTGACGGTACGCTCCCCTGCCCAGACCCCCCTGCTATTTTGCCCGCTGACTCCACCCCCACTGAGCGCGAGTCTACTGCTGCCACTGCCCGTGCGCGCTCTGTCTGGCTTTCTCGCGATGCTGTCGCCCAGCTTGCCATTAGCAACGCCCTTCCCCCGTCCGAGCGCCCTCGCTTTAGGTCCCTCACCACTGCTCAGGCATACTTAGATGCTGTCATCCAGCGCTATTCCACCCCTCCGGCTGCCTCGGTGGGTCGCCTGATCCTCCCGATGCTCTTTCCTGACCTTGCGTCTTTCCCTACTGTCTCTGACCTCGCTGCCCACCTGCGCTCGATAGATGAGACCTGGCGCGCTGCCTGTACTGACGCACAGCTTAGAGCCCACTAGCCGCCCATTACCTCTACCCTCTACCTGCTTGCCACCCGCCTCCCTGACCGCCTTGCTGCCGCCCGCGACCGCTTCCTTAGCATTCACCCCGCAGACCTCACCCTCACTGACTTTGTAGACACCCTGACTGTGATAGAGACCCGTCACCGCTCCATCGCCCAGGCGAGCGGTGTCGTGCCGGTCCCTCTCTTTCAGGGTTGTGCCCCCGCTCAGTGTACCTTCTCCGACGGCTCTGCCGCAGTGGCTGAGACTGCTGCTTCAGCGCAGTTTCGTTCGGGGAAGGGCCGCCGCCCCAAGGTTGGGCGCGGCGGAGGCGGAGGCGGGGGTGCGGGAGGGGGTAGTGGTGGGGTCAGGTCGTCTGGTGCTGGAGCGGACGAGGGGACCCTGCCCAGTCCAGCTGAGCCGCCGCCCCTGCAGTTGCAGCAGCCGCAGCAGCCGCCGCAGTCGCAGCCTTCGCAGCAGCCGCAGCAGTCGTCGCCGACACGGCAGACGAGTGTCCTCCCGCCCGGGTGGCCCGGCGCTGGCGGTGGCCGGGCGCGTGGTGGTGTGCCGAGTGGTGGCTCTGGAGGCGGACGTTGTCAGTACCAGATCCAGACCGGTCCTCGCCGCGGTTTCGTTTGCGGTAAGATCGGTCACTCCACTCCCCGCTGTTTTCGTCGCCTGGACGACCTCTTTCGTCAGCGCTTCGGCCCGTCGCCAGACCTCCCGGACTGGCACAGCATGCTTAGACGTAGTATTCCGATTTTTGACTTGGACATGGATGCCATTGTTGCTGCTCTGCATGTGATGTATGCTGATGACTCTAGTGTGCTTCCAGCTTATTACTCGCTGTTGCCTAGTGTAGGTGTGCCTAGCGTAGCCTCCCCTGCTACGTCAGGCGTAGGATCCTCTGCTTTGTGTAGTCTTGGTGCTTCCGCCGTCGTTCCATCGCCAGCCGCCTCTGCTTCGCTTTCCTTCACCTTGGACTCTGGCGCTTCTCGGTGTTTCTTCCGCGACTCCACCACCCTGACGCCGCGTCCTGTTCCAGCTGCCGTTTCTCTTGCTGACCCCTCCGGCGGTCCGGTAGTCGCCCGCAGTTCCACCACCCTTCCCTGTCCAGCGGTTCCTTCGGGCACTCTCACAGGTCTGCATATCCCCTCGTTCTCCAGGAACCTAGTTGGTGTCGGCTGCCTCCAGGACCTTGGCGTCACCACTACGTTCCCTGGTCACGAGCGGTATGCTGTCTGTACCGAGGCCGCCACTGGTGCCCCCCTGTCCACGTTCCCCCGGGACCCGGTGTCCGGCCTGTTCACTCTGGACACCGTGACCCCCCCGGCTGGAGCGCTCACCCAGGTTGCTGCCGCCTGCTCCTGTCGGTCCCTCACTCACCCGACCCTCCTTTGGCACCACCGCCTAGGTCACCCTGCGCTCCCGCGTCTGCGTCACATGTCCCAGCACGGTCTTGTCCTTGGTCTCCCAGGTTCTCTCCCCGCGTTTCCCTCCTCCCCAGCCCCACCTTGCACGCCTTGTGTCGAGGGTCGGCTTCGCCGTGCCCCTCACTCCTCCTCGTTTCCCCCTACCGCCGCGCCGCTGCAGATCCTACACCTGGACGTCTGGGGCCCCGCCCCCGTCCCTGGGCCGCGGCGAGAGCGCTACTTCCTTGTGCTTGTCGACGACTTCACTCGTTACACCACAGTCTTTCCCCTGGAGCGCAAGGCCGACGTGCCTGGCGCTCTCATCCCCTGGCTTGTCTCTGCGCGTGTCCACCGCGGTCTCCCTGTCTTGCGTCTTCACCCGGACCGTGGTGGCGAGTTTGCCTCCGGTGTCCTTGGTCGCTTTTGTCGTGCGGAGGGCATCACCCAGACGTTCACCCTACCGGACTCCCCACAGCAGAATGGGGTCGCTGAGCGACGCATTGGTTTGGTCATGGAGGTGGCTCGCACCTCCATGATCCATGCCGGTGCACCCCATTTTCTGTGGCCGTTCGCTGTGCGCTACGCTTCCCACCAGCTTAACTTGTGGCCGCACCCTCAGCAGCCGCAGGTTTCGCCGACCCGTCTTTGGACCGGGTCTCCTGGTGACGCGTCTGCGTTCCACGTCTGGGGCTGCCTTGCTCACGTTCGTGCCTCTGGCACGGACAAGCTCACTGCCCGCACCCTTCCCTGCGTCTTCCTCGGTTTTCCTCTTGACGCGTCCGACTGGCACTTTTACCACCCGCCGTCTCACCGCTTCTTTCACTCTCGTGACGTCACCTTTGACGAGTCCGTCCCCTACTACCGTCGCTTCCCCCACCGTGGTCCCCCGGTTACCCCCCCCCTGTTCCTGGTCACTCCTTCCCCGGTGGTCCCTGCCCCTCCTCCTCCTCCTCCCCGTCCCGCCCCCTCTGGTGTGTCCCACGTCACCCCCCTTCCGTCGGAGGACCAGGTTGAGGAGTCTTCTGACTCTGGTGGCCCTCCTGTGCAGTCCTCGCCGGCCGCCCCTCCCCCGGCGTCCCCTCCCCCGTCCCCTCCTCCACCATCTCTGCCGCCGCTGCAGCCGTTGTTGTCGCTGCCGCCGCAGCCGCCGCCGTCGCCGCCGCCGCCCCCGCCCCCGTTCGCTGACTCTGGGGGTGCTTGTGTGGAGAGTGCCGGTGGTAGCCGAGGAGCAGCTTGCGGTCCAGGTGTCGCCGTTGTGCCGCCGCAGCAGCGGTCCCCGCCGGTGTCCGCTCTTCGCCTGCTCGGCCTTCCGTCACCCGACCCTGCGTCTGTTCCTTCCCGGCCGTCTCCTCCTCTTCCTGTCTACGGCCCTGTTTTCCCTCCGCCGGACTCGTCCCCGGCCTGTCTCCCCCCTCGTTCCCCTCCTGTGTCCCCTCCCCTGTCCCCTGACCCGACTCCTCCGTCGCACGTTTGGTCTCACCGTCCCTCCCGTGCTCGTCCTGCCTCGCCTGTCTTGCGCTCCCACCCTATGTTGCTTCGTTCCCACGCGTCTCGTCCTCCCCTTCTGCCGTCGCCTCCTCCGTCCTCCCTTGTGGTTGCACCCCCCCCGCTGTCTGACTACCTTCGTGCCGCTCGTCCTCTTGTTCCTCGGGTCCTTGCCTCTCTCGTTACCGACCCGTCTGTTCCGGTCTCGTTCCTTGACGCTCTTGTAGCTGCGGTCGCTGACTTCGCCTCTACCCGCCGCCTTGACTACGCCACAGCTCTGGTCTCTGACCCTGCCTGTCCTCCGTCTGTCGGGGGTGCTCCTGCCCTTGGCAGTGACGTCCTGGAGGACCGCCAGCTCGAGCTTGCTTTTCTGTCCGAGGCTGCTCCCCATCTCTGTTCCATGCTGCTAGTCCCTGAGGGTGACCCAGACGCTTTTGACATCCCGACCCCTCGCACCTACGCTGAGGCGACCTCGGGACCCTGGGCCTCGCAGTGGATAGCTGCCATGGAGCAGGAGATGGCATCTTGGAGATCCACCGGCACCTTCGTCGACGCAGTTCCCCCGCCTGGGGTGAACGTAGTCGATGGCCGCTAGCTCTTCAAGGTGAAGCGCCCTCATGGAGAGCCGCCTGTCTTCAAGGCGCGCTATGTGGCTAGAGGCTTCAGTCAGCGCGAGGGGGTGGACTTCTTCCAGACCTTCGCTCCGACCCCAAAGATGACTACTCTTCGGGTTCTGTTACACCTAGCTGCTCAGCGTGACTACGAGCTTCACTCCCTCGACTTCTCCACTGCCTTCCTTCAGGGCAGCCTACATGAGCAGGTCTACTTGCGTCGTCCTCAGGGCTTTACTGGCACCTTCCCTCCTGGGACCCAGTGGCTCCTGAGGCGCCCCGTCTACGGCCTGCGCCAGGCTCCCCGTGAGTGGCACGACACTCTCCGTGCTACGCTTGCTGACCTGCAGTTCTTTCCGTCTTCTGCAGACCCCTCACTCTTCGTCCGTGCTGGCCAGACTCCTTTCTACATCCTTGTTTACGTCGACGACCTGGTCTTTGCCACAGCAGACAGGGACGCACTGGCCTCAGTGAAGGCAGAGCTGCTGAAGAGACACACGTGCACTGACCTTGGAGAACTGCGCCGCTACCTTGGCTTGCAGATCTCCAGGGACAGAGCTGCGCGCACCATCACCCTGACTCAGGCACACTTGGTGCGCCAGGTCCTTCAGAGGTTCAGCCTTCAGTTCTCCTCTGCACAGCCCACCCCTCTGCCTGTAGACCACAGACTCTCCGCTCCAGTGTCTGAGGAGTTGGTAGAGCCCAGCGGCCCCTACGCAGAGCTGGTGGGTTGCCTCATGTACCTGATGACTTGCACTCGCCCAGATCTCGCATACCCTCTCAGCATCTTGGCTCGCTTTGTGGCCACAGGCAGACACCGACCGCAGCACTGGTCTGCCGCTAAGACGGTTCTGCGTTATCTTGCTAGTATATCGGGCATGGGGTTAGTGCTAGGAGGACGCAGGCCAGTGGTCCTTACTGGACACACTGACGCTTCGTGGGCAGACGACGCTGAGACACTCAGGTCTACCCAGGGTCGTGTGAGCCTGAGATCTACGCTGGTGCCATGGCGGCACAGGAGCTCCGCTGGCTGACCTTCTTGCTCACTGACTTAGGTGAGCGGCCTAGCTCTGCCCCGGTCTTGTTCGCTGACAACAGGGCCATGATCCTCCTGTGTCAGGAGCCTCGACTCGAGGCCAGAGCGAAGCACATTCAGCTGCGGTACTTCCTCCTGCGTGAGCTACAGCAGCGACGTCAGGCTCGCGTAGTACACTTGGCCTCAGGTGCCAACACGGCTGATATCTTTACGAAGGCGCTTGCGCCTAAAGATCATCAGCGGCACTGTGTACAGCTTGGTCTAGTTCCGGTAGCCTCTCACTTGCTAGGACCTTGACTTTGTACTGTCCTTTATATGTATACTCAGACTAGACTTGTGTCCTCTCCCAGTGGCTGGACTAGTAGTGCCGCCCTGCTCTTGTTCTTGCCTTGTCTGTATCCCTTCTGACTGGTCTCTCAGACCCTTGTCTCAGAGGTTGGACTAGTAGTGCCGCCCTGAGCTGCTTGTTTAGGACATTCCCCTATGCAGTCTAGGGGGTGTGTCAAACATGTGTATTTGTCATGTTTGTATAGACCGTATAGGGTCACCTCTTAGAGGGTACAACACTTAGGTATATCTGTGTGTACTCTCACTCTACCATTATTCACTTCTCTAATTTTGATACTAACTGCTATGATCTCATCTTCTATGACATCTGTTGGGCTGAGAAATGCCCTTAGGATCTTTCCAGAGACTAAGTCCTAGTTGTAAAAGACTTGAGTAGTGCAGCGGAAGTTGAGGTAGTTGAACCCTTGTACTAGTATATGAGAATAAGTGATTGATTAAAGGAACAAGCATACAGCAATATATAGAAAGTAGGAAAGAAAAGCAGTTGTAGAATACAGTTGAAAAAAGGGCGGTTCTCGAGTCGTACAGCGACTCGATTGTCGCTTCGGTTACCATCTTTGCAGCTGTAACTGTCAGTCGCAACCTCCAGTTGCGACCCTTCGAGTCCTTTCGTGTTGTTTGTCTACCCCCTCGTGTAACCTCCGTTGACTCGCGTACCCGTTACGATCTTCCTCGTGAGTGTGGTGTTACACTTCAGAAACGCTGAAGTCCTTGAGGTATTTCCAACAACATCCATGTGCTGCACCTACTAGTATTCCTGGTATTGTGTGCATTCGTGTCTTGTTGCTGACTTTCATGTAATATCATTCTCTAGTCTCTACCACGAATTTAGAAATGATCCGTTGGCTGGCAGACCAAAATCGGTAAATTCCCTTCCCATTTGCCGGCTCTGTTCGGTTGGTTTGAAAACTTGAAACTGGTGGTTGAATCTGGATCGAAACAGAGCCCCCCCTTCCTCATCCCATCCCTTCCCACCCATTGCTCGGCGGCAGGTTGAAACAGAGTATCACATCCGAACTAAGGTCATGCCAAGATTTGAAATGTCTAATCTTGCATTCCCAGTTCCCCCAGGCGCACTCACATCTGTGATACCACAGTAAGTTCAGGGGACGTCGTTTCCATTCCTCCTTGTAACAGACTGTCAAGATTGCGTATAAGGGACTGGTCAAAGATGGTGGTGTGATACCGTAGGGACCTTAGTACACATTCTCACAGATGTTTTCTCCAGCGAGACCCCCTCCCTCCTTTTCCTCTATCCTACCCTGCAAAACAAAGCTGTACTCGACTGCCTGCTACTATGGACCCAAACGTACGCACCCCTCCAATCCCACTGCTGCAGCCATAGCAGCCTGGTTCTGCTGCCCTGGCGATTGCCCTCCTTGCTGCTGCAACCGTGGTAGTAGACGCCCCACACTCCCCCCCCCCTGCAGAAGGTGCCCCCCCTTGGAGCCTACTGAGTGAAGAAATTGGTGCCCAAGGAGATACTTTCCCCAATTCCCATTCTCCTCTACTGAGTGAAAAACGTGGTGCCTAACCCTCCAGGTGCCATGGACCCAAACCCATACGATACCTGCACCCCTCCCGTCCCTCCTGCACCAGCAGTGCCCCAGTAGCTACCTCCCCCAAGTACCATTCCCCTCTACTGGGTGAAAAATGTGGTACCTAACCCTCCAGGAGCCACGGACCCAAACCCATACGACACCTGGACCCCTCCCGTCCCTCCCGCACCAGCAGCACCTGCCCCAGAAGCAGCCGCCCCCAGAGAAGACACATACTGCTGGGCCGCTGCTGCTGCTGCCGCAGCCTGGTTCTGCTGCCCCGGAGACTGCCCCCCTGCTGCTGCCCCGCCCACAGCACCCGCTGCTGCTGTGGGAAAAGCCATGCCTTGGAGACCAGCTGAGCCAAAGGCCGAGGCTGGGAGGCCGCCGGGGAAAGCGTAGGGAGAGAAGGCGAGGGGGTTTTGCAGGGCGACGCCGGTGAGGGCTGCTGCTAGCTGCTGCTGCTGCTGCAGCTGGGCTTGGGCTTGGGCAAAGGCGTTCTTTTCTTTGGTACCGTCCAATGCATACTTCACCTGCACCTTGCGACCCTGATGTAGGAAGATGGAAAACAGGAGGACAGTGGAGATGGAAAGTTAGGGCTGGAGCAGCAGGTGCTGACCCTGGGCTTGCGCAACGAGGGGCTGCAAAGATGACAAATCAAAGCTTGTTGCAAGCATATAGCGGTAACCGGCAAATCTCGTGTAAAACAAGCATCACCCACCCATGTCCAGAAGCTTGCATTCTCTGGTGACCAATGCGATCAAGCCAAAAAAACCAAGCAAGCAATATCTAGTAAATCTTTGATAATATCTAGCCAGTCTGGCAAGCAATATCTAGCCAAGCCAAGCAGCAGCACTCACATCAGTGAACTCAGTTGGGTCAACCAGAGCCTTCCTTGCATCCTCTGGTGATCGATACGCGACAAAGCCGGCTTATAGAGCCAAATATTCCAAGCCAGCAATACGGAACAAGTCCAAAGCAAGTATACCAAGCAGCAGCAGCACTCACATCAATGAACTTGGTTGGCTCGACAAGAGCCTTCCTTGCATCCTCCGGTGATCGATACGTGACAAATCCGAAACCCCTGGAATGAGTGAAGGATGAAGAAAACACGACGCACGGAGCAAAGTACATGCAAACTTAATAAGGGGAACGAATGTGGACAGGATGATATAAAGAGCAGGGGAGAGGGGAGAGCCATGATCAGAGGCAGGAAAGAACGCGAAGAAAACAAGGTGAGGCAGAGGGCAAGGCATGCCTTAATATCCCCATTTTGAGAAAAAAAAAAAAAGTTATTGAATGTCTCGTTGGTGGTTTCGAAATGCAGCCCCCGCACGTAGAGCTTGCGGTAGGCTCTCTAAGTCTTACTTTGAGTTGCCCCAAAACCACAACAAAGAACACCCTACAATCTTACCTTGACTTGTGCGTCTCTCGGTCGAAGGCCACCGCGCCCTCCTCAATGTCTCCATAATGCGCGAAGAAGTCCTTGAACGTCTCGTCGGTGGTTTCGAAGTGCAAAAGCACACCCAAAGGCAGCAGCCCTTTCAGCCGTGCCTGCCTAGACAACCCCCTCCCCCTCTCCGTTCTCACCTGGACTTGTGAGTCTCTCTGTCGAAGGCCACCGCCCCCTCCTCAATGTCGCCGTACTGAGAAAAGAAGTCTTTGAACGTCTCATTGGTGGTTTCAAAGTGCAGCCCCCACACGTAGAGCTTGCGGTACGCCAGATCCGCCCCGCTGGAGTAGCTAGGCCGGTACTGGTAGGCGCTGCCCCCGCTGCCGTCCCCGTGGGAAGAAGCAGCAGCGACGGAGGTGGCTGTGGGGTGGGAGGTGGGCCCCGCTGCAGCGAGATTGCACATGGCGGCACGACCCTGGATGGAAGGGGAGTAACGTGAGGAGAAGAAGAGGAGTAAAGACACAGTTGCGAATGAGAGGAGCAGCAGCGACGGAGGTGGCTGTGGGGTGGAAGGTGGGGCCAGGGGCTGCGAGATTGCACATGGCGGCACGACGTTGGGAGGGGCGGCAGGGGGAGAATGAAGGAAGGGATGTGTGGCGTTAGAGTCGACTCAAAAATCACCTAAGGAAGGGATGTGTGGCGTTAGAGTCGACTCAAAAATCACCTAAGGAAGGGATGTGTGGCGTTAGAGTCGACTCAAAAATCACCTAAGGAAGGGATGTGTGGCGTTAGAGTCGACTCAAAAATCACCTAAGGAAGGGATGTGTGGCGTTAGAGTCGACTCAAAAATCACCTAAGGAAGGGATGTGTGGCGTTTGAGTCGACTCAAAAATCACCTAAGGAAGGGATGTGTGGCGTTTGAGTCGACTCAAAAATCACCTAAGGAAGGGATGTGTGGCGTTTGAGTCGACTCAAAAATCACCTAAGGAAGGGATGTGTGGCGTTTGAGTCGACTCAAAAATCACCTAAGGAAGGGATGTGTGGCGTTTGAGTCGACTCAAAAATCACCTAAGGAAGGGATGTGTGGCGTTTGAGTCGACTCAAAAATCACCTAAGGAAGGGATGTGTGGCGTGAACAAGAAAAGAGGTGCGGGGGTGGGGGAGGAAGAGAGCGAGCTAGTGGGATTGAGCCACTGAATCAGTTCACAGAGCAGCACGGGCCTTGAAGGAACAGAGAGAAGGAGCAGAGAAGTGTTATTTGTATATTTTGTCTCATCTTTATGCTGAACACAAGTGTTGATATTTCAACTAAAATGGCTGCACTCACGTCGATCACTTTGGTAGGCTCGCGGAGAGCCCTATACGCGGACTTGGACGACTTTAACGTGACAGAGCCAATCCGTGCCACTCTCTGTCAAAGCCACTCGTGCCAATCCGTGTTTCAGAGTCACTCACGTCGATCATCTTGGTCGGTTCGCGGAGAGCCCTATACGCTGACTCGGACGACTTGAACGTGACAAAGCCGAAGCCCCTTGAGCGGCCGGTCGTCCGATCCGTGATAACAGCACCCTCCTCGATCTCGCCATATTCTTGAAAGGACTGCACGAAGGGATTCAAACGAGACGGGCAGCAGAAGTACAGTGCACAGAAAAATACCAGGACAAGGGAGGCATTTTATTTTGTTTTGTTTTCTCAACTTGGACGAAGCTCTTGAACAAGGAGGGGCACGAAAGTCGCTCGAGCAGCTGGCGTCAGGCACTTCACTCTTAGGCAATCACCAAGTGAGCGATCACCAATGCCAGCGCCTTGCATCCGGCACCGCGACGTTGGGAACAAAAAAAACACCTGTTTTTTTACACTTTTGACGATCACCGAGCAGCGCCTTCAGCATGCACTTACGGCGAGCAGGGTCTCTGACGAGGTCTCCCAAGCAAGGCCCCGCACGAAGAGCTTCCGGTTCGCGACGTTCGTGCTGGCGATCGCCATGCATTGCTCTGCGACGGATTCGTGCTTCAGAGCTCTGCCCTCGCGAACGAAAGTAACCGTCGTCACCATCGTCAATCACCGTCGCGATATTAACATCGCCATAAAAAAAAACACACATTTCACCACCGTCACGAAGTCGAAACGCTCGTACGACCATTGACACGATCGGGAAGACGGATCACACAAACCGATTGTCGTCCAGATGCCAACAAGAACCACAGGCCAGGAACCGTCAACCACACGGCATGCCACGATATCAATGAAGCCATCGCCATGCAGCCATCGCCATCCGATCATCGACATCCAATCACCGCCATCCGATCATCGCCATCCAAGCACCGCCATCCGATCATCGCCATTCGATCATCGCCATCCGATCATCGCCATTCAAGCACCGCCATCCGATAATTGACATCCAACGGTTGTCATAAGCATTCATCCGCAAGCATTCGCAGCCGACGTCCACCGCATCAGGCACCACATGCACCATTGCAGATCAACACAAACACACGGAAACACAAGCACACACACAACCATGTAAGCACATGCATAACACCATGACGTAAGCACGTGCATAACCATATACTCCTCAGCCAATCATAAGCGACGAACCATGCATGCAGCTTCACTCATTTCCAAAACAACAAACCGCATCATGCGGCAAAAATGCAACTTCTTCTCTATGTCCAAAACCAGGCAGGAGATCGCGAAAACACATGCATTTTCGCGAGCAACGAAGCTTTTAACAATGATGGAACATTTAACTGTGGACGTTAAGGCAGACGAGACTCACGCGTCGAGGAGGAGAGAAACGAGGTCCTCCTTCGACAGCATTTCCAGCATCTTCCTCATCTCCATCTCGTTGAGAACGAAGTCCGAAACCCCGGAGTCGTTATCGACGCGCCTTTTCTTATCGTTTTGATCCATAAACGTAAGCACTCTCGCTCGAGGAAACTCGAGCGGCAAATCCACGAACTCTTGCTCAACGGAGAGATGAAGACCTCAAAAGAACGACGTCCGAGAGAAGAAAGGTGAACTGGACAAGCTCCTAGATGGAACTGAGGCTACAAGAAGCAAGGATGGTGAACTGAAGGCTAATCACGAAATACTGTCTTCAAGGCTAGGGTTTCAGCAGCTCAAGTTGGAAGGGGACGTAGGACGGAGTGAGGAGGACAGGAAGAATCTGGAAGTGTAGCTACAAAACGATGTTATAAATTGTTGATTCTTATAGGGCGTAACAGACCGTGCCATACTGAAATCCGTCGCCTCGGAAAGTCCAGCCGACACTTTCGAGGCAGGCATTTTCGCGCCAACCGGGTTCGGCCGTGCCGTGGACTGTTTCAGCACCGGACCAGCTTGCTACCAAGCCAAGCCAGTCCCCTGCCAGTTCCACATCTCACGGATCTAGTTGGTTCGTGTTACATCTTGCTTGTAACGAGTAAATCTGGCGAGTGTCCACCTGCCTTGCCCTTAGGGCGTGGTACTTCGGCAAAATCTGGGTTGCGCAACTAGGCCGAGTTACGCAACTCGCGAAAGTAATGCTTTTCAGAAAGTAACGCGAAAGTATTTCGGCGAAAATACTCAGAGAGATGCGCAATTCGGGTTGCGCAACTCTCAAAATTTGCTTGCTTCGCGCCGGTACGCGCGAAAGCAGCAAATCGAAATGCGAAAACTGATTTCGGTCCAGAAATATGACGGAACGGATGTTTCGTGTTCCATTTCAGGCACTTCGCATTCTTCGAGCGCAACTCGATGTTCCAGATAAGTTGCGATTCCCACCCGAAAAGCGCAATCCGAGGTTCCAGCATCGGGTTACGCTCGCCATGACGGATTTCGCGGATTGCGCTTCCCGAGTTGCGCAACTCGCTTCTCAACCACGCCCTGCTGCACCGAACTTTGCCCCTGCTATAATCTCGTTTGGCTCCTCCCTCCCTCCCCTTCACTGTACGCGTTCACCTCTAGGCTCCAGCTCACCTCGTCGGAAGCTCATCTGACTCACCTGCGCTCCCATTTGCCGTTTGACATTCGTTCACAGTGCACAGATCATCTCAATTCTGTTCAGAGATCGTTTCAATTCCGTCAGACAATGTCTGCTCTCCATTGAAACCCGTTCCACATCCGTTCACACCGACCTACCACCTCCCCAAATTCAGATTTATGTCGTTTGCTGCATCCACCTTTCCTCCCAGGAATCCAGATTTGACAGACAAGCTTGCCTGACAAGCACTACCTTGACAATCTCCAACCACTTTCCTGGTTTATTCATCTTCCCGAAGCTTGCTTTATCTGCTGGTCCATTCTTGCCAAGCGATCTTGGCTGTTTTGGATTGAGTTGACGAGTAGTTTTCGTAGCGGTTAGCAGTTTTCTATTCTCTATCAGTCAGCGTCATGGCGACTGGATGGCTCCGTGGCCGCGTAAAGGCCGTCACCTCCGGTGATTGCCTGGTCATCATGGGAAACGTCAAGTCGGGTCCTCCTCCTGAAAAGACATTGACGCTCGCATCGCTCATCGCTCCCAAGATGGTGAGCAGAATACTGTGTTCTGAATGCGAAAAATGCGTAAGATCCGTCTAGTACGCCGATTGGTTTGTAGACCGCAGTTATGTTAGTAGCCAAGCGTTCGAAGATTCATTTTGCACCCGAGGACGACGAGATCCGCATGTGATGCTTTGAATCCGGTTGTGTGGGTTTCCGTAAAGTGGATCCTTCACCAGTTTAGGACTGTGTAACTGGTTTTCACCTTCCGTCAGAGCTCAGAGCTTTGTATCAAGTTGGATCTCATTTGAAGTAGGTGGCAGCTGCACGTGCAGGTGAAATCGATGAAATCCTGACGCCCTAAGGCCTACAATGCTCACTCCATGCCTTGATATGGTGCTCACATGCGTAATAGATAGACTGAAGATAGATCCACTTCGCAATGGCCTGTCTTCCTTGATTGACACGTCAGGCTTAACCAATGCCGGATCAGGATCTCGGATCTTCGTTGCTATGTTAGTCGCGAACTTCGCATCCGGATCTCAATCATTTCTTTCGTCCTGACTTCGTAATATTTCGCTTTCCTGGCCTCCATGTTCTTCTCTTTCCTGCTGTTCAACATTTCAGGCTCGCAGAGATGGCCGCGACGAGCCGTTTGCGTGGGAGAGCCGCGAGTTCCTCCGCAAGAAGTGTATCGGCCAGGTCTGATTCTCGCTATCATTGTCGCGTACACATGTCATAAGATGACTTCTGAGTCGAGACATAAGTGCCAGGTCCGATTCTTGTTATCAATATCGCGTACACACTTCGTTACTATGGTTTCACCCGTCGCCATTCCTCCTTGGTCTTTAATTTGTCGTTTTTACGTGGTCTATTCAGCATCGGCGTCTGCGATTCCTGGTTTCCCGTCCTTCGCCGATTCGTAACTAATAGTGCAAACTGAGTCTTGCCCTTTTACCTTCCTTTCTTTTTCGTTCGTTTTAATCAGGAAGTGGTGTTCAAGGTGGACTACGCGGTTCCCAGCATTCATCGCGAATTCGGCAATGTGTTTATGGGCGATACTAACATCGCGCTGGCGATCGTGCAAGCCGGCTGGGCTCGGGTGAGTACGTCTATGCGTGCATTTTTCTTACCAATATAGAAACTTATAAATACCAGGCAGATCTTTGTTTGTTCGTTTAATGAATGGTTTGTGCCCAAGCTCAAGTCGAGATGGCTGGCCGTGCATCCCGGTAGCGAACATCTCGCTTATACTGAAGATTTTAATGGTGAAACATGTGTGCGATGCGTTTTTCGCGAGCATCACCCCCATCCGTCCAACCCACCTTTTCCGATGCATGTTGCTCACTTGCAGGTGCGGCCGCAAGTGGGTAGCAGCACTGACGTGAGCCCGTATCTGGAGCAGCTGCTCAAGGCGGAAGAGGCAGCCAAGGCCGAGGAGCTCGGAATCTGGACCAAGGTAAGATCCGTCGCTGTGAATGTCAGACAGCTAGAGACAGCTTGGCTCATAGAATCAAAGCTCCAAACTGCCAGATATGATGCAGATCACAACAGTGTAAGGCTAATGTTAGCGTTCTGAGGTATGGAAATGCGAGTCATGCACGAAATCTCTCGGGCGCGGGGCAGGACACGGGGTTTGACGCGCACGCGCTTCTGGAGCAGAACAAGGGGCTCATGCTGGAGATGCGTACAGCGTACTCAGTGAAACCACATTACTACTTGTCCTTGCTGTGCGCACTTTACCCACTCTATATACACCCCCGTGCTGCTCGCTGCTCTCCCTCCAGGTGCCAGGAGCGGCAGAGGCGGCAATCCGCGATCTCCCTCCCTCGGGAATGGGGCAGGACACGGGGTTTGACGCGCATGCGCATCTGGGCAGAACAAGGGGCTCACGCTGGCAGCCGTAGTGGAGCAAGTGGCTGGAAACGCGTGCTGTCTCGACCGTATTACTGAATCCACTGCATCAGCTGTGACCAATGAAAACGGAACCCGCTGTATGTCTGTTCCCGTGCTGTCCTCACACTCCAGGTGCCAGGAGCAGCAGAGGCAGCGATCCGCGACCTCCCCCCCTCGGGGGTGGGGCAGGACACGGGGTTCGACGCGCACGCGCTGCTGGAGCAGAACAAGGGGCTCACGCTGGCGGCCATAGTGGAGCAAGTGCGCGACGGCAGCACTGTGCGCGTGATGCTGCTGCCTTCCTTCCACTACGTCCAAGTCTACCTCGCCGGTGTCCAGGTGTGTTCCACTAGAGTTAAGGTTCTTTTCCTCGCCTTTTACCCCCCTCCCCCTCCTAACCATTTCCTCGCCTCCCCCGCGCCCCCTCCCACTTCGCGTTTCCGAGTGCCGGTTTCTTGTGTTTTGTCGGAAAACAATAGCTTGTCTCCAGGGTTTAACTAGGGTTTTTCGGAGGCTTTTTGCTTTATGCAAGACTTTTTCTCCCTGAAGAACCCCTCAACCTTACTATCTCGTGCACTTTTCATTTCAGTCAACCTCTCGTTTCATTCCCTTCGCACTTCCTTTTTCGCGCACTCTCTCAAGGAGGGAGGCGCCGATGAAGCAGCAGCGGCAGCAGGAGGTGCTCTCGGTGCGCCCCAGCACTCGGCTGCTTCTGCTCTCGTCAACCCCACCTCCCCCCTCTCCTCCCAAATCCTGCATCCTTACACCCCCACCCCCCACTCCCTTCCCCTTCTGCCCTGCTTCCTCTGCAGTGCCCATCTGTAGGCAGGCGCCCGTTTGTGGACTCCACGGCTGCTACAGCAGCAGCAGATGCAGCAGGCAATGGCGTGGGCGCTCTCTCTCTCGAGGAGGGAAGCACCGAGGAAGCAGCAGCAGCGGCAGCAGGAGGTGCTCCCAGTGCGGCCCAGCGCCTGGCTGCGTCGGCTGCAGCGGCCGAGCAGAAGGAGAGTGGGGCAGAGCCGTTCGCCCTGGAGGCCAAGCACTTCACTGAAGTCCGCTGCCTCAACCGCGAGGTGAGATTTCAGCCCTATATGCTTTGTCACCGGACCGTGTGGTGCTGGAAGGTGTTGACGGCAAGTTTAGCAACCTTGTGGGCACACTGCACTACCCTTCAGGGGAATCTGTGTGTGAACCGTTCTCAATCTGTTCTCCCCTGTGTACTCTCCCTATTCACTCTTTCCCAGGTCCGTGTGGTGCTGGAGGGCGTGGACGGCAAGTTCAGCAACCTTGTGGGCACGCTGCACTACCCTTCAGGGGACTCCGTTGTCAACCTCTCCCTCGAGCTCGTCCAGAACGTGAGTCGCCCTTGCTGTTAGCCGACCACTGGATCAAACATGCAAAAACACATCAGAAGGAGTAGAACGCGCTGTTGTAGGAAGAAGGCCCACAGCGCACACATTGCTTGTTGGCGGCCTTGGTGGCCTCTTCGTTGAACCGCAATTTCCTTCAAACATCTCCTGGAGGGCTAGAAGCAGCACTGCCTGGAGTTGCCGCTCTCAATATCTGCTCCGTTTGCATTTAAGCCTTGCTTCTCCTCTGTGCAGCGCCTAGCCCAGGTGCTGGAGTGGAGTGCCAAGGCGCTCAATGCGGGCTTTAAGGATGCGCTGAATCTGTACTCTTCCCGCTCCGTCTCCTCTTCCTAGGGCCTGGCCAAGGTGGTGGAGTGGAGTGCCAACATGCTTGAGGCGAGCGCCAAGGTTACATTGAAACCCTTGCCCTTTCTGCCCCTTCTGCTCCTTATTCTTCTCCTCCCCAGGGCCTGGCTAAGGTGGTGGAATGGAGTGCCAACATGCTGGAGGCGAGCGCCAAGGGTGCTCTGAAATCCGCGGAGCTGGAGTCGAAGAAGCAACGCCTGCGCATGTGGACCAACTTCGTGCCGCCCCAGTCCAACTCCATCGCCTTCCGTGATAACTTCACTGGCAAGGTGAGAGTCGTACTGGCTTCACCTGCAAGGTGAGAGCCTCGGTACCCCCTTGGCCAGAGTAGCAGAGTGAGTTTTCCAGCGCCCTGGTCTCCATGTGGACCAACTTCGTGCCCCCGCAGTCCAACTCCATCGCCTTCCGTGATAATTTCACCAGCAAGGTGAGAACCTTATGGTTGAACTGCATTTTTCCAAGTAGTCAAGTGCGTGCTATACTGGCCTGGTGGTCGGGCAAATCAACTTCGTGCCGCCCCACAACTTCACTGGCAAGGTGAGTCTGCTAGCTGTTAGCTCCATGTGTCACCCCGGCTGCCTCAAAGCCTTACTTCGTGTCCCCCCAGTCGAGTTCAATTGCGTTCAATTGCGTTCCATTGCTTTCCAACCTCACCAGCAAGGTGAGTGTCAAGCTGTTTTCACTGGCCAGAAGGCACGCCCCAGGCTGAGCTGAGGGCCATCCTCTCCAGCCTCTGCCCTCACCTGTCTCTCAAGTCAAGGGACTGGTTCCACGTTGCATGTTCCCCCATTCGAAGTGACTTTTGAGTCGACTCAAAAGTCAGCCTCTGCCCTTACCTGTCTCTCTAGTCAAGGGACTGGTTCCACGTTGCATGCTCCCCCATTCGAAGTGACTTTTCAGTCGACTCAAAAGTCAGCCTCTGCCCTTACCTGTCTCTCCAGTCAAGGGACTGGTTCCACGTTGCATGCTCCCCCATTCGAACCCCAACCCCTTTCCCATCCCCATCTGCGACTCAGTCCGCCCCTTCTCTGCTCACTGGTGGTGGAGGTGGTGAGTCCCCGCTGCAACATTGTCACAGAGTGTGTTCGAGCCCACTCGAGAAATCGAGCTCCCCTGCCCCCCCCCCCCCCCCTCCCCCTCTCCGCCCCTTATCCCCTCGCAGGTGGTGGAGGTGGTGAGTAGCAACTGCGTCGTCGTGGCAAACGACGCTGCAGTGGAGGGCACACCCCAGGCGGAGCGGAGGGTCACCAACCCTAACCCCCTCTTCCACTCTTCCCCCCCACCCCCGTGCCCCCATTCCCCCCAACCCCCCTCGTCCCCCCCCCTCTCACAGGTGGTGGAGGTGGTGAGTGGCGACTGCATTGTGGTGGCAGACGACGCTGCAGCGGAAGGCACACCCCAGGCGGAGCGGAGGGTCAACCTGTCCAGCATCCGCGCCAAGAAGATGGGCAACCCCCGCAGGGATGAGAAGCCGGAGCCTTATGCCAGAGAGGCCAAGGAGTTCCTGCGCTCCCGCCTCATTGGCCAGCCGGTAAGCCTGTTGGATTGCTTGTGGAAGTCTGTCTTTGTTAAGACACACACAGGAGGGTCAACCTCTCGGGCATCCGAGCAAAGAAGATGGGCAACCCCCGCAGGGACGAGAAGCCGAAGCCGTATCCTAGAGAGGCCAAGGAGTTCCTGCGCTCCCGCCTCATTGGCCAGCCGGTAAGCTTGCTGGTTCATCCATCCATGGAAGTCTGCCTCCATCCAAATGGAGTTAAGTCACACACAGAAGAGTCAACCTCCCCAGCATCCCGAGCTGTACGTAGGCCCAGAAGAGGCCAACGAGTTCATGCGCTCGCGCCCTATTGACCAGGCGGTATGCCTGTTTTGGTTTGTTTGTGGAAGTCTCAGTTATGGCACACACCTAAGGGTCAACCTCTTCTCCATATGCTCCAAAAAGGCAGGCAACCCCCCTCACGCAAGATTCCCCTCTGGGAGGTTGGAGGCCCAAAGAACTCCTCTCCTTCTTCCCTCTCTCCCCCTCTCCTCCCTCTCCCCCTCTCGTCCCTCTCCCCCTGTCCCTCTGCCCCTCTCCTTCCCAGGTGGCGGTCCAAATGGAGTGCACCCCCATGGAGGCTGGAGGGCCAAAAGCACTCCTCTCATCCCTCTTCCCCCGTCTCCCTGTCCCTCTGTCCCTCTCCCTCCCAGGTGGCGGTCCAAATGGAGTACACTTTTTGACTGGCGGTCCCTCAAAAATAGACCCCAAATGGAGTACACGCGCTAGATGCCCCCCATGGAGGGCGGAGACCCTGTTTCTCTACCAGCTCGCAGTAGACAGCAAGCCTTCCTCTTCTAATTCCTCCTTTCTCGTCCCTCTCTCCTTCTCAGTTCAGGTGGCCGTCCAAATGGAGTGCACGTGCAAGATGCGCCCCATGAAGGCTGGAGGCCCGAAACACAGTCACCAATCCTCTTTCCTCCCCGTTTGCCCCATTTACCTCTGTCCCCTTGCCCCTCTCCTCCTCTCTCCTCCCAGGTGGCGGTCCAAATGGAGTACACGCGCAAGATGCCCCCCATGGAGGCTGGAGGCCCTGAGGGTCGCAACATGGAGTTTGGCTCTGCCTTCCTGCTCACAGGTAGGCTGATCTCGGGTAGGCCCGTCTCAGGTGGGCTCGTCTCGGGTGTCTGGTAATTACAGTATACTCCTGGCTCATTCAGTTACCTTTTCTTGCGGCATAGAGTTGGTCTGCTCCCCTTGCAAGCAGCAGATGGCGGCGGTGGTGCTCCTGCTGCAACTGCTGGTTTTTGGGAGCTGCTTCTGCCGTCCCTGCTAGTGAAGTGACTGTAGCAAGGATGTTCATTGCCAGTGACCGCTTGTACATGTACCCTTCGTTTTCCGTTCGTTCTCTTCCTCCCTCCCTTCCAGGCCAAGCAGATGATTCTGCTGCTCCTGCCGCCCCTGCAGCCGCTGCATCTGGGATTGTGGGGATGTCGCTCCTGCCATCCGTGCTGGTGGGGGTGAATGTAGCATACATAGATTCTTGTAACGAGGGCCCTCTCACTTCCTCGTCTTCCCCTCCCTCCCTCACCAGGCAAGACAGATGATTCTGCTCTGCTGCTCCTGCCGCCCCTGCTGCCACTGCATCTGGGATTGTGGGGATGTCGCTCCTGCCATCCCTGCTGGTGGGGTGAACGTAGCATACATAGATTCTTGTAACGCGAGCCCTCTCACTTCCTCGTCCTCCCTTCTTCCCTCCCTCACTAGGCAAGACAGACACACCTGCTCCTGCCGCCCCTGCCACCACCGCATCTGGTGACGCCGCTCCTGCCGTGCCTGCTGGAGGCGTGAATGTAGCGGAGATGCTTGTAACGAGGGGCCTGGCCACAGTGGTGCGGCACCGTGACTTTGAGGAGCGGTCGTCGCAGTACGACGCGCTGCTGGCTGCAGAGGCCAAGGCAGTGAAGCAGAAGAAGAACATCCACTCCAACAAGGACGCCCCTGCCACTCACATCAACGACCTGTCTCTGCATGTGAGTTACAAACGCGTTCTGAGTAGGCGGGGGTATTCTGGTTCAGGGTTACCAACAGGCCTGTGTTGGCTCGATGCGGCTCAAAGAAATGGCCCTCACAAGCAGAGGCCACCGTGGCTTTGAGAAGCGGTCGTCGCTGTACGACACGCTGTTGGCTGCAGAGGCCAAGGTGGGGAAGCAGAAGAAGAACATCCACTCCAACAAGGACGCACCTGCCACTCACATCAACGTCCTGTCCTTGCACGTAAGCTGCTTGATTGGCAAGGGTGATCACAAGATTAGGGTCACAAGCAGAGGCAAGCAGAGGAAGAACATCCACAAGCAGAGGTTTAGGCGGGGAAGCAGAAGAAGAACATCCGCTCCAACAAGGACGCGCCTGCCACTCACATCAACGACATGTCTCTGTATGTGAGTCATATGCTTGGCGACTTTTGAGTCGACTCAAAAGTCACCTCACTCACATCAACGACATGTCCATGTATGTGAGTCATATGCATGGCTAGAGAGAGGGGCATAGGATTGTGGGCAGTCTGAGTCAACTCACAGCGCACCTCCCGCTCTCCTGTCTCCCCTCCCTCCTCCCCCCCCATCCTCCACCCCTCCTCCCTCCTTTTCTCCGAATCCACAAATCCCATACCCCAAACCCACCAAACTTCCCCCCCAACCGCAAACCCGAACCCAACCCTACCCCCAACCCCCAGGGCATGGCGAACAAGGCGCGGGGGTTCCTGCCCTTCGTGCAGCGCGGCAAGCGCATGGAAGCCGTGGTGAACTACGTGCTCTCGGGCCACCGCTTCAAGCTCATCATCCCCCACGAGAGACGCCTGCTCCCCCTGCCCTCTCACTCCCTTCGCACCCCACCCCCCTCCCTCCCTTCCTTCATGCCCCCCGTCCTCCCTCCCTCGCTCCTTTTCCCCCTCCTTCGTCCCTCCTCCCCTCGCTCCCTCTGTCCGTCCCTCTCTCTCTTAAACCCCAATCCCGAACCCGAAACCCCAAACCACCCCAGGGCATGGCGAACAAGGCGCGGGGCTTCCTGCCCTTCCTGCAGCGCGGAAAGCGCATGGCCGCAGTGGTGGACTACGTGCTCTCGGGCCACCGCTTCAAGCTCATCATCCCCCGCGAAAGCTGCGCCATCGCCTTTGCGTTGTCGGGCGTGCGGTGCCCGGGAAAGGGCGAGCCGTTCTCAGAGCACGCGATTGCGTTCATGAGGCGACGGATCATGCAGCACGAAGTGGAGGTGAGAAGTGGGGTGATTATGGGATGGGGGGTCATGTGGGACGGAGGGCGATGAGGAGAGGTGTGAAGGAGAGAGATGGCGAAATCTGGGTGGGAGGGAGGGAGGGGAGGGAGGCTGGGGCCCACCGCTGCAAGCTCATCATCCCCCAGGAGAGCTGCGCCATCGCTTTTACGCTGCTGGGTGTGCTGTTCCCAGGGGAAGGGGAGCCATTCTCAGAGCATGCCATTTGATTCATGAGGCGGCGGATCATGCTGCACGAAGTGGATGTGAGGGCGGGGGAGGTTTGTGGGAAGATGGTAGGGTGGGTGGGAGGGAGGGGGTGGGGAAATGGTGCTAGGCAAAGGGGAGCAGTTTTCAGGGTATGGCTATTGCGCTCATGCAGCGGGCCGCCGCGGATCATGCAGCATGCCATTGGGTTGAATTTATTGTATGCTTGCTGAAATCCCCCCACCTATTCTCGCCCAAGCACTGGCCAATCCCTTCAGATTGAGGTGGAGAGGAGAGAGTGGGCAGGACGGGGCTCGTTCATCAAGACTCTGTGGGCGGACCACACGAATGCATGCAGCAGTGGTATCTTATGCCCCTTGCCCGCTTTCCCCGTCCCCCCTTCCCCTGCTCCCTACTCCCCTGTCGTATTTCCCTCATGGTGAAGTGAAGACGGTGGACAAGACGACAGGCACGTTCTTCGGGGCGCTGTGGGTGGATGAGCTTTATGCAATGAATCTTATCCACATGGCACTCGTCTTCCCGAGGTGACTTTTGAGTCGACTCAAAAGTCTTCGGGGCGCTGTCGGTGGATGAGTTTTATGCAATGAATCTTATCCTCGTCGCACTCCTCTTCCTGTCCCTGTCCCCTGTGTTCACTCAGATCGAGGTCGAGACGGTGGACAAGACTGGCACGTTCATCGGGTCTCTCTGGGCGGACCGCACGAATGCGGGCGCGCTGCTGCTGCAGGCAGGTCTGGCGAAGCTGCATCCGTCGTTCACGCCTGATCGCACTGCCGAGGGCCACCTGCTCATTTCTGCCGAGACTCAGGCGAAGAACGCCCGTATCAAGGTACGAGGGGCGGCGTCTAAGAAAATAAGGTGCCTAGTTTTGAGGCGCCTCAAAACTAGACGCCTGTATCAAGGTATGATGGATAGTCCACAAGGTGTGAGGTTCTGTTTGGCTGGGTTGTGGTTGAGAGAACTAGGCAGGCAGGGCTGGCCGTGTGTAATGAGTCTATTTTTTAGTAGACTCAAGAATAGTCTCATTACACACGTTTGGCTGGGTTCTAGTGGTTGAGAGAGCCAGGCAGGGCTGGCCGAGCTGCATCCGTCCTGCACTCCCAATCGCACTGCTAAGCTGCTACGCTGCATCCAGTCAGACTGCTAAGCTGCCAGGAAGCACTTTTCCTCACCCTGACAGTCAGCGTCTGACCTCTCACCAGGTGTGGACGGACAAAGATGCTTTCTCACTTTCTTCTCCCTTTCTCCCATCCTTCCTCCCTGCATCTTCCAGGTGCGGGAGGGGTAAGTGGAGGGCCAGGACGCAGCAAACGCTGCTGCCTCCTCAAGCAGCAGCTGGTGCAGGTTCAGGTGACGGAGGTGCTTCAACCTACCCCCCCCTTCCGCCTCTTCCCTCTATCCTCCTACTACCTCCCTCCCTCCCCCCCCGCTGTTCTGGTACCCACCAGGTGTGGGAAGGGTACGTGGAGGGCCAAGACGCCGCAAACGCTGCTGCCTCAGAGGCCTCTCTGCTGCAAGCCCACGGCAAGCAGGAGCTGGTGCATGTTCAAGTGACAGAGGTGCTCGGAGGGGGGCTGTTCTACGTGGTGGAAACCACCTCGGGCCTGCTGCCCCGCCTGGAGGGGGCGATCAAGGAGCTCCAGCTGAGTGACGCCAAGACGCCGGCTCCTGGGACGTTCGCCCCCAAGAAGGGCGAGTTTGTGTTCGCCCAGTTTTCTGCTGACGACAGCTGGGCTCGTGCCATGGTGAGTGGGGGAAAGGAGGGATGGACGAGGGTAGGGAAGGAGGCGAGGAAGGGGAAACGGAACGGGATAGGGAGGGGGGATGGTAAGGGGGTAGGGAGGGGGGTCAAGAAGGGCTGGGGCTGACACAGAGGGGCTGGGGTTGGTGCAGCTGTGCCGGCTGCCTCATGTGAAGGTGCTACTCCTAGAGGAGGACTTCGGGCAGGAGGTGCCAGAGGAGGTGCAGGGACTGCCTGCCTGAGGACTTCCCTTAAACCTCTACCGTTCTCCCTCCCCCACTCCCCTCACCCTCCTCCCTCCCCCACGCCCCTCCCCCTCCTCTCTCCCCCTCCCCCTCCCCCTACGCTCCCTCAAAACGGGTGGTTGCTGCCCCTGCCGACCCCACCCCAGCTCGCACCTCTGAAAACACCGTTTTCTACATCGACTACGGCAACCAGGAGACGCTGCCCTTCGCCTGCCTGCGCCCCTTGGACAACCCCACGGCCGCCCCCTCGGCCTTCCCCTGCGGCAAGGCGGAGGGGCTGGGCCTGGCGCAGCTGTGCCGCCTGTGCTGGGACTCACTCCCTGTGTGACTGTGTCCTGTGTCCCCTGTGTCCCCTGTGTCCCCTGTGTTCTGTACTTCCTCTCCCACCCCAAAAACAGGTGGTTGCTGCCCCAGCTGATCCTACCCCAGCTCGCACCTCTGAATACACCGTTTTCTACATCGACTACGGCAACCAGGAGACGCTGCCCTTCTCCCGCCTGCGCCCCTTGGACCAGCCGTCAGTGGCGCCCTCCTCCTTCCCCCGCGGCAAGGCGGAGGGGCTGGGGTTGGCGCAGCTGTGCCGCCTGGCGCACGTGAAGGTGCCGCTCCTGGAGGAGGACTTCGGGCAGGAGGCCGCAGAGGAGGTGCAGGGGCTCACGGGCGGCAAGACGCTGCTGGCTCGGGTGGAGGAGAGGGATGCAAGTGCGGGGACGAAAGTGAAGGGGCAGGGGAGTGGGGTCTGCTGGGTGGTCACGCTGGTGGATAGCGAGACGTCGACCAGCGTGAATGCGGCTCTGCTGCAGGTGAGAGCTAAGGAAGGAAGGAGGGATGGGGGAAGGCCGAGGGACAAGGGCGTCAGAGAGGAGTGTGCTGGGTGGTCATGCGGGTAGATCGTGAAACCTCGACCAGCTTCAATGCGGCTCCCTCTCAGGTAAGCAGAGGTTGGGTGAGGTGTGGGTGGGAGGCTGCTCGAGGCCACTCAACAGACGGGAAGGCGAAGGGGCAGGGCAGGTGAGTGGGGTCTGCTGCGTGGTCATGCTCGTGGATGGGGAGACTTCGACCAGTGTGGCTGCGGCTCTGCTGCAGGTGACACAAGGGGAGGGGTGCGGAACCCGACTCTGGCAGCAGTGCTGGGGGGGCTGAAGGAGTGGCAGGAGAAGGTGATACATGCTGCATGGCTGACAAGCTTGCAGCTAGAAGCATTCATCCCATTCCACCGTCCACTCCTCACCGCGTCCCCCTTCCCTTCCCCCTTCCCCCTTCCCCCTTCCCCCCTCCCCTTTCCCCCTTCTCTTTCCCTTTCCCTTCCCATTCCCGTTTCTCTTCCCCACCTTTTTTCAATGCTCTCTTTTGACCATGCAGGCTGGTTTGGCTCGGCTCGAGAGGCGCAGGGGAGGGGTGCGGAACCCAGCCCTGGCAGCAGTGCTGGAGGGGCTGAAGGAGAGGCAGGAGATGGCCCGTCAATCACGCCTGCACATCTGGCAGTATGGTGATGTGGACTCGGATGAGGAAGATGACAGGGGTCGCCGACCAGGCCCTCCTGGTGGGCGCAAGTGAGGAAGTGATTGAAGGATGTATTTACTTCGATTTATATCCCATTGGAGATGAGGTATTGGGAGGTTATGATGCACTATGCAAGTTGTCGTCAACCCTACTGTGATGGTGCTTAGGTTGGGCTGAAGTCAAACCAAGCGGATATCTTATTTCGGTGAGCAGCGATTTCTTTTCTAAGGCACCTTGCTTGCATAGGCCACCTTGGTTAACTAATTCTAGTGGAATTAATGTTAAGTTTGACATATATCATTAAGCTGGGAAGTATGTCTTTCAACCGAGCTTCAACTGTGTCCTTATCAGAAGTGGCGTTATTGAGGATTGTACTTCCGTCGCAGACAGCTTCGGGAATCTCCAGGCAGATATCACTCTCTGACACACTCTACAGCCAATCCCAACCTCGGTATAGCCGGCGCGTCCGGACTTTTGACGGCCAACCAGAGCATTGGGATTTTGATGGTTGGACGGGAAACCTTTACGACGCGAGATCGCCCTAAAAATTGCTCTAGCTACAAGGATTAGAGGGGGTTGTCAAGGGCGCAGTAACATTTCGCGTGGGTTGAGTGCGGTGTCGACTCGTTCTTGAGCCTTCGAGATTCCTGACATCATTCTGCCGCGTTGAGCACTGACAGTATGGATCAGAGTGTTGTAGCTTTTTTTACTGTACAGGTCAAGAATTTTGAACAATGGGGGAAGCAGCTAAAGCATACACGTAGCAGGTCAAGAAAATTTAGCTGTACATTTGACCAGAGTTACTAGACCAGGCTGGGACCGAGAATGATAAGTCTCTCTGACCTGGCCGAGCACGGGAATGAGTTTTCAGAAGCTGGTTCTGCCTCAGATTCACACTAACGTAGTGACTCGAGAGGGCTAGTACTTAAAGTAGCTGTTGACTCTTCAGGTGTCCCGTTTAACCTACAGCAATGCGACTCGGTTTTACCTAGAGTGATTAAGGACTCAAGAGTCTGTGCTGCTGTACCAGAAACGAGAGGGGTTTCGTTTTAAGTAATACGCGTCGACAGTGTAGGAGCCAGCATCCGTCTGTCATAAAAGCTTGTGCATTTAGCTAAGCGTTTCACTTACGACCATCAGAGAAGGAACGGAGAACAATGGCGGCCCAAGATTCCGTCACCCGGAAGATCGCCCTGAGCTACTTCTACGTCCTCGTATGGATCGTTTTAAGCTTCTCCGTTATTGTGTTCAACAAATTCATCCTCGACAAAAAGCTCTACAACTGGCCTTATCCTATCAGGTACGCCTCTGGTGTCCGCCTCATCTCCCCCCCCTCTTCCCCCCCTCCCCCCCCCCCCGTCCCCTCCCCCCATCCCCCCCTCCCTCCCCCCCCCCCCTCCTTCTTCCCCCTCCCCCCTCTCCCCCACTCCCCGATCCTCACTCCGGTATATTCTCCCGCCAGGCTCACCATGATACGGGGGGCTCATCACCTTCTCTCGAAACTTCCTTTTCCCCACCACACTCCACCTCCCCACCCTTTCCCTCCCCAACCCCTCCCCACCCGTCCGTTACCACCAGTCTGTCCATGTGGCCATCGCCTTCCCCTCGCCTCCTCTCTCGCATCCCTTCTCGTTAAGCCAGGGTGGCAGTCGCCTCAAGCCGTGCCCCACCCCCTCACACACGCACACACACACAACGTGCCCTCCCGCTTCCCCCCCCATCTCCCCCCCTCCCAACCCCCCACCCACCCTTCCGTTACCACCAGTCTCACAATGATCCACATGGCCGTCTGCTCGTCCAGCCAGTCACCCTCTCAACCCACACGTACCCCACCCCACGCATCGCCACCAGTCTCACAATGATCCACATGGCCGTCTGCTCGTCTCTCTTGTTCCTCCTCGTGAAAGTGATAAGGGTGCTCGAGCCAAACACCCTCTCAACCCCCCCATGTACCTCACCTCCGTCCTTCCCTCCCTCCATTCTAACCCCTTGGCGCCCCACCCCACCCATCGCCACCAGTCTCACTATGATCCACATGGCCTTCTGCTCCTCCCTCGCGTTCCTCCTCGTCAAAGTGCTCAGCGTGGTCGAGCCGATCTCCATGACAACCCACATGTACCTCACATCCGTGGCGCCCATCGGGGACCCCTTTCATCCTCTTTTCTCCCCGCTCTCCTCCCCATTCCCCTCCCCTTTCCCCTCCCCATTCCCCTCCCCTTTCCCCTCCCCTTTCTCCTCCCCTTTCTCCTCCCCTTTCCCCTCCCCATTCCCCTCCCCTTTCTCCTCCCCATTCCCCTCTCCTTTCCCCTCCCCATTCCCCTCCCCTTTCTCCTCCCCATTCCCCTCCCCTTTCTCCTCCCCATTCCCCTCCCCTTTCCCCTCCCCTTTCTCCTCCCCTTTCTCCTCCCCTTTCTCCTCCCCTTTCTCCTCCCCTTTCTCCTCCCCTTTCCATTGCCTCACCCCATCTTCCCCTCCAGTCTCACTATGATCCACATGGCCTTCTGCTCCTCCCTCGCGTTCCTCCTCGTGAAAGTGCTCAGAGTGGTCGAGCCGATCTCCATGACAACCCACATGTACCTCACATCCGTGGTGCCTATCGGCGCGCTCTACTCTCTCAGCCTCTGGTTTTCCAACTCGGCCTACATCTACCTCTCAGTGTCCTTCATCCAGGTGCGCACTGCCATGAACATGCCAGCTTATCCCTGCGTAATTAGCAGGTTGCACTTAACTGGTGCTGCCCATCGGCGCGCTCTTCTCCCTCAGCCTCTGGTTCTCCAACTCGGCCTACATCTACCTCTCAGTGTCCTTCATCCAGGTGCGCACTGCCATGAACATGCCAGCTTATCCCTGCGTAATTAGCAGGTTGCACTTAACTGGTGCTGCCCATCGGCGCGCTCTTCTCCCTCAGCCTCTGGTTCTCCAACTCGGCCTACATCTACCTCTCAGTGTCCTTCATCCAGGTGGGTCGTGCGCTGTTCATGCCAGCCTATGGCCGTGGCCCGTCCAGGTAGGTCTCGCTGCTCTATGCGCCTATGCGCTTGCCCGTGGTCATGTGCGCTCGGCGTGTTCTTCACCCCGAGAGGCCTCCCCTTCTCCCCCGCCCCCCTTATCCGCCCCTCTTATTCTCCCCTGATCCCCTTCCCCCCTTCCATATGCTCAAGGCGCTCATCCCTGTGGCCGTCTATTCCCTCGGCGTGTTCTTCACTTCAAGGAGACTCTCAAATGCAACCCCCGATTCTGCAGGGTGTTTTTGAGAATCGTCAATTTCACCGAGAGGTCTTCCGCCTCTCCTCCTTCTCCAACCTGGCCGTTATTTCAAGGAGAAGGAGACTCTCAAATGCAACCCCTGATTCTGCAGGGTGTTTTTGAGAATCGTCAATTTCACCGAGAGGTCTTCCGCCTCTCCTCCTTCTCCAACCTGGCCGTTATTTCAAGGAGAAGGAGACTCTCAAATGCAACCCCTGATTCTGCAGGGTGTTTTTGAGAATCGTCAATTTCACCGAGAGGTCTTCCGCCTCTCCTCCTTCTCCAACCTGGCCGTTATTTCAAGGAGAAGGAGACTCTCAAATGCAACCCCTCCCCCCCACCCCCCTTCCCTCCCCCCTTCCAGATGCTAAAGGCTCTCATGCCCGTGGCCGTGTATTCGCTCGGCGTGTTCTTCACCCGAGAGGTCTTCCGAGTCTCTTCCTTCTCCAATATGGCTGCCATTTCCATCGGGGTTGCCATAGCCGCGTACGGGGAGGCCAATTTCAACGCCACTGGGGTTATTCTGCAGCTACTGGCTGTGTGCTTCGAGGCCTTGCGACTGGTGCTCATACAGGTGGGCTGCTGTCCAGGCTCCCTTCTGCCAACCCAACGTATGGGGTTGCCCTCTGGCTGAATCGGGGTTGCCATAGCCGCATATGGAGAGGCCAATTTCAACGCCACTGGGGTGATTCTGCAGCTACTGGCTGTGTGCGTTGAAGCCCTGCGACTGGTGCTCATACAGGTGGGCTGCTTGCTGGGTGCTAACACTCATAGGCGAGCCTAATCTCAACAGCACTGGCTGGCTGGTCCAGCTGGCGGTTGTTTGCTTTTAAACCCATGTTTGCTGTGTGGGTAGGGTCTGGAAAGGTTGCCAGGTGTTTAGTTACACACACGTGGGTGAACCTAACTAAAAAACCACTGGTGGGCTGCTGGAACTGGCGTGAGGAGTCTATTTTTGAGGCGGCCGCCTCAAAAACCATGGGTGTGCTGCTGGACCTGGCGGCTGTTTGCCTTGACGCACTGCAATTCGGTGGTTAGGCACTGTTTTCTCACACATGTTGGTTCCCATGTTGTCGGTAATTTTGTAGAATTCTCAAATTCTACATAGATTTTTGAGTCGACTAAAAAATCTCACACATGTTGGCTCCCATGCTGTCGGTAATTTTGTAGAATTCTCAAATTCTACATCGATTTTTGAGTCGACTCAAAAATCTCATACATGTTGGCTCCCATGCTGTCGGTAAGTTTGTAGAGATCTCAAATTCCACATCGCTGGAAATTCTCTGTTTAGACGCGACCTCTCGTGTCCCCTCCTTTCGCCCCCTTCCCTCCTCTCTTTCCTTAAAAAAATCTCCAGCAGGCACAGGAATGACTCTCCGCCTCATTACCTCTCTCTTCTACGTCTCCCCTCCCCTCCGCAGAGCCTTCTCTTCTGATTTGCACCCATCTCCTCTCCCACCCCTCCTTTTTCCCTCCCATTTTCTCTCACTCTTTCTCCCCCTCCCTCTCCCTCCCTCTCCCTCCCTCTCCCTCCCTCTCCCTCCCTCTCCCTCCCTCTCCCTCCCTCTCCCTCCCTCTCCCTCCCTCTCCCTCCCCTCCCTCTCCCTCCCTCCCTCTCCCTCCCTCCCTCTCCCTCCCTCTAGATCCACCTGACAGCCAAGGGCGTTTCCCTCAACCCGATCACCACCCTCTTCTAAATCTCAAACGTCCTTCGTACCGCCTTCCCCTTCGTCCATTGTGCTCCTCTCCCTTTCTCGTCATTTCTCTTCATTTCTCCTCCTTTCTCTTTTCCTCTCCCCCCCTGCAGATCCTCCTAACAGCCAAGGGCGTGTCCCTCAACCCGATCACCTCGCTGTTCTACATCTCGCCCGTCTGCCTCCTCTTCCTCTCCCTCCCCTGGCTACTCGTCGAGTACCCCCATCTCGCTCCCTCGCTCGCCGTCCCCTCTCAACCGGCCATCGGGCTTTTCCTTGCCAACTGCGCTTGTGCCTTCGCACTCAACCTGGCTGTTTTCCTCCTCATTGGCAAGACCTCAGCCCTCACCATGAACGTGGCAGGTGTGAATCTCTCGCCCTGTCGCCCTCTCACCCTCCCTCTCTCACCGTCCCCTCCCAACCGGCCGTCGGCCTCTGCCCTGCCTTGCCAACTGCGCCTGTGCCTTCGCACTCAACCTGGCTGTGATCCTGCTAAACGGGAAGGCGTCAGCCCTCTCAATGAACGTGGCAGGTGCATATCCTTCCCTCACTTGCTTGCTCTCCTTCTTGTGCTCCCTTTCGCTCTCACTTGCCCTCCATCTCTCACCCTCCCTCTCTCGCCCTCCCTCTCTCTCCCTCCCCTCTCAACGGGCTATTGGGCTGTTACTTGCCAACGGCGCATGCGCCTTTGCACTCAACCTGGCCGTTTGTCCTGCTAGTCGGGAAGGCGTCAGCCCTCTCAATGAACGTGGCAGGCGCGCACCCTTCCCAATAGCGGTATCCTGGTCGGTTGTTTGCCATCCAGTATGGCAATCAGCATTGTGCCATTGTCATAACCCCCATTTTATCCCCTTTATTGTGCTCCCCAGGAGTGGTTAAGGACTGGCTGCTGATTGCGTTCTCATGGTCGGTTATTCGAGATCGAGTCACAGGCATCAACTTGTTGGGATACTTTTTGGCGTTTGTTGGCGTCTGCTGGTACAACAGCACGAAAATTCAGGTACAGTAAGATGAAGACACAGTTACAGTGAAATGACAATCCAGGTGCAGTAAAATGAAGAACCAGGTACAGTAACGCAGGTATGTCGACTTTTTGGAGCTAAGGCGATTACTGTGTGCAGAAGTTGCTGGACTGCCAGAATAAAAATCAAATGTGCCATATCACATCCGTTTTCCACTCCACGTCCATATTTATCTCCCTCTTTCTCTCTCCCTCCCCCCCCCCTCTCTCCCCCCCCACCCCTCCCCCTTCCTGCTTTCTAACACGGGGTGGTTTTGTGTGTTTCCAAATCCTCAACTCTGCAATCTCCTCCCTCTCCCCCTCCCCTCCCCCTCCCCTCCCTCCATCCTGCATCCGCTACTCTCCAGGAAATGAAAGCAAAGGAGGCTTCCAAGAAGTTGCAGCAAGAGCAGCAGCAGAATCAACTGGCAAGTGTGGGGGACGAGGAGTCAGGGCCTCTACTGGCTCATTCCGAGTTGGCTCAACGGGAGTTGGCTCAACGGGAGATGGCTCAAACGTCAATGGAATCAGGGGTTTTAACAGACAGGTCACCAAAGCAGCAGCAGAATTCAGGGTTGGTGGAATCTCAGAAGGTTGAGAATGAACGACAAGGGCAGTAGCGACGTCTCTGGCATCGCCCCCTGATTAGGGCATCCAAATATCCTCCTCAGGCCTACCTGGGAGTTATCAACCACCAGGGCTAGTAGCACCCATGGGTTGCATTGGTTGGGAGAGGGACTCTTCAGTAGTACTCACTAGGACAGGGTAACACAGAAAATGTACACTAACTCGGCCCAACAAAGCTGCGTATAGGACAGGTTAAATCAGTAGCGGAATATGTATCGTACCGGTATGGTAAGTGGAAGCGCGGTATGGACATTACATTAGCGTAACGAAACTATGATGCAATACATTGTGCTTAGGCCTCCTTGGAACCTCACTTTGTTCTATTAGGTTAATTTCTTACATTGCCTTGCCGCAACTTGTTTTTGAGAGTTAGATTGAAGAAACGGCTATGCCGTTTCTTATAGCCATTTTCTGCACACTGACCGGATGTATACAGAGGTTCAAATCTTGTCATCCTTTAGAGGGTATTGATCCCATGCCAGCTACACAAATCCCCACGCTGGGCGATTGCTGATCCGCAGAGTATGGCCAAGGCGGATTAGTGTCCTTTGTGCTGCATAGACAGCTCCTGCAGAATTTGGTCGCTGCTGTTGAATCCTTTGACAACATTTATCCATTCTTTCATTCGTAATTTCGTGGCCTGGTAACTCCTGATCAACGATAGTCAGCGAATTCGCCCGGCTTTTCGTTGTCCCCGTTTGTCGCATCCCAGTTAGTCGCTGCAGAAACTTAACTCCGTCGCCGTGGGCTGTCGGAGAAACTAAGTCTGAAGAATCTCAAGAGAGGTAAGTTGCCGTGATTATTTCCAGATTCGTCAGTAACAATCGTGATTTCGGTCGTTGATCAATGACCTGTGCTCCAATGCTGGGATCTCCCCCAGACTTGCAAACATGGCGTTCGGAGCCAACGAGATGACTTTTGAGTCGACTCAAAAGTCGTCCGGAGCCAACGCCATAATTGGTTCCAGTTACTTCCGAGGCGTATGCCATAAACAATAACGCGACTTATTTTAATTCCCGCCTTTCCCCTTCCTCCAACCCCCTGTCCCCCCCCCCCCTTCCCTCCCCTCCTCTCCTCCCTTCTCCCTACTTATCCCTCCTCTGCCCCTCCCCCGTATCCCCCCTTTCCAATTTTCTCCATTTTTTTTCCAATTTTCACAATTGGGCAGTATCCTATATAACACCGCTCTGTTTCTGTTCAAAGGCTAAGTAAAGGATGAACGCGATTGGCAATTTCTTCAAAACTGTATACGAGCTATTTGACGACGGCGACGATGACGAAGACGAAGAGGACAATAACGAGGGAGAGAGCAGCGGCTTTTGGAGCAGATCCGGTAGCGGAGGGGGGTTCTGGGGAATGGGAGGCGGAGGACGGGGGGAGGAGAGAGGAAGGAGGGATGGGCCTGGAGGTAGGAGGAAGGAAGCAGGAGGTGTGGAAAGCAGATCTAGGCGAAGAAGTGGTGGAGGCAGGGAGCCAGCAGAAGGGAGGGAGAGGCGTGGGGATGGAGATTTGAGGGACAACAGAGGGGAGATTCAGACTGACAGCAACGGGCTGACGTGGCGGCCTCTGATTCGGCAGGCTGAGCGGGGAGATGGGGGTGTGCAGGTGTGTGAATGGGTGAAGTGAGGCGTCCAGAAACAAGATGCTGACTGCCTGGTCGGTCGGTACGGCTTTATTGTTATTCTGGCCCTATCTCTCTGCAGCACGTGCTGTAAAATTCTCCACCTTCCGACTCCCCTGTTCTCTATTGCATGAATCACACTCTTCCCCTCTCTCTCCTCCCATGCCCCAATCTCTCTCGTGCCTGCACCTCCCCTTCCCTCAGGGCCTCTCATGGTACAACTTGTTGCTTCACCAAGGTTCACAATCTTATATACCCTCTTCTCTCGCACCCTCCCCCCTCGCTATTATCCCCACCACCCCCCATTCCCTCTCCAGGGCCTCTCATGGTACATCTCTTCGCTCCACCAAGACTCTGATGGTGACGTGGCGAATGATTTCTTTGTTGAGGTGCTTCCTGCACAATATCGTCCCAGTGGGAATCAGGCAGCCGAATATGCACACATCCCCGCTGGTGCAGCGCATAGCAGACATGGGAACAGAGGCCTTCATGATGCAGCGGCTGCTTCTGCCGCTCCTATACCTGCGGATGCTGATTCCTCTGCCACTGCTGCTTCTGCCAGCTGCAGTGGGGAAGCCGACATACTCCTCACAACAAATGGTCCACATATTTCGCCCTACAAGGAGAAAGGGGAAGATGTGGGAGGAAGGCCAGTGGGTCTTGCAGAGTGCTTGCAGGCTGACCGTTGCAGCAGTGCAAGTGAACCGGGTCCAATCTCGGCTTCTGGGGCCCGATTGGTGCTCATGCGGGTTCCAACAACTTTGCTTTCGCCATTGAAATTTCCGTCTACGGTTTTTGTGAACCAAGGTAATGTCGTCATTGGAAATACAAGTTAGTGAAAATTCATGCACTTATATTGATCAAAGGAACGTAATTTCTTATTGTATTGAGTGATTGAGTAATGACTACATGATACATGGTGTAGTAAGATTTTCCCCCACAGGTGCTGTATCTGGGCATTGGTCTGTTTCCGGAGTAATTTACCCTTGTGGAGACCATCTTGCTTGCGACTTCCTTCCAGACCTAGCAGCAGGTGTCGAAAACTCTCCCATGGATTCTTCACCTCGATTACTTCCACCTCGATCTTGTCGAAAGGAGCTTCCGTAACAGTAGCCTGCCTAGCTGGCACTTTTTGATTGGTAGTATCCATTCGCTCCACTCGATCCTTCTTCCGAGTGGCCTGACCTCGTGGCTTCGTACGTGTCAACAGGAGATGCGTCGATTTGAAATTCGCCGGCAATTTTCCGAAGTGTATTCTGTGCGCGTTCAGGACAGTCTCGCTTGTGCGCTTTCTCGATTTTGTACCGCGATAGTTCCGTGACCACTACGCAATCCTGCTACCTTTTTCTCTCCACTCACCGTCGTTGCTCCATCTCGTTTTTCGCGCTGCCGTGCCGGCTCGCTTTGATCTGAGGCGCCTCATAGCCGCACGAGGTGTCGTTTGAGTCAACTCAAAATTCATATCGTTAGTCGCGCTGCCGTGCCGGCGTTCTTTGTTTTGAGCCGCCTCATAGCCTCACTGCCGTGCCTGCTGGTTTTCCATAAACTTTTACATTGGACTCTCTTACGGGAGACACGATCATGCAAGGAGGAGCAGTAACTCCTAAGCGGGACTCGGGAAGGGGGCTGACCGATCGAAAGATATGCCTGGCGGTGACGCTAGGGGTGGTGCTGGCGGTGGTGGTGTTCACCGTCCAACGGTCGCTAGAGGAGCAATCCGCTGCTGCGATTGTCGAATCTCAGGTAGGCGATGTTACAAAGGGTTACAGAGAGTCTGGTTACCACGCGCGAATGCCTGGCGGTGACGCTAGGGGTGGTGCTGGCGGTGGTTGTGTTTACCGTTCAGCCGTCACTGGAGGAGAATCCGCTGCTGGTATTGTCGAATCCCAGGTGAGTGCAGATGGGTTACCAGTAGCATTGTTACCACCTGTATGTAACCCTGTAGTTGGTTCTGGGCTTTGCTGGTGTTTAGTCGTTTAGTGATCGTTGGATTCGTGAGAGGAGCAATGCTGCGTTATTGTCAGCTCCCCGTTGAATCAACTATACTCATTAAGTGGGTGTCATGTACTCAACACATGTACTTAGGTTACCCGTTACAAACACGTTGGTTACCACCAAATCGTGACATTGGGGTTCGACTTTCTTCCCTCCACCACGCCTTATGCCTCTTCCTTTCACATCCACTTCCGTTCCGCTTCCGCTCTTATTTCCTCACATTCGCGCCTCACTTCCTCCCTTTGCCTTCCCATGCCATCCCACATCCCTTCCCCTGTCAAATCCCCCAAATAAAATTTCCCCGCAGCCTGGGTTCCCGCCCCTGTCCCCTGACCCAGAAGAGCGGGCCGAGCAGATTCACGAGCAAACCGAGTCTGCCCGGAAAAAAATCGAGGAGCTTCAAGCGACCATAAAATCTCTCGAAAAATCCCGGGACGAGACCAAGGAGCGACTAAACAGTGTACTCTCACAGGCTCAGGCTCAGGGGAAACCAAGGACTACTGGGGGAGGGGGAGAAGAGGGATCGTCTACAGATGGTTCGGGGGGTATCAGGGTGGTGGAAGGCACGGGAACTCCGGATCAGCCTAGCCCTTTCAAGCTGGTTCGGGCCGGACCTGCTGGGAAGGTCCGGTTTCCCCGAACCAACCCTCCGGTGGTTCCGAGCTCAGAAGGGGTCGATCCAGCCTTGGAGTCTCTTCTGCTCAAAATAGCTTCGGAAAAAGAGGTTCTGGCTACTGTAGCAGCAGCCGAAGTGCAGAATTTGATGGAGATGTGGATAAAGCAGGTTATAAACGTCGGGATTACGAATGCTCTCGTCATCTGCCTCGATTCTTCTACCGAAGCAGCTTGTAACGCGGCATCAGCGAACCAGGTCGCCTGCTACCTCGCTCCAAACCTCCCAGCCGCGTTCGGACCCCCGCAAGGCTCGGCAAACGAGAGCCCGAACCAGCGGGCAGCCTCGGTAATTGACAGCCTAAACGGGGCCAAGTTCTACGTTCTGAGGGATGCCTTAGCCCTAGGCTACTCCGTCTTAGTCTCCGACCTGGACGTAACCATTCTCCGTAACCCGTTCTCCTCAGGCGAGCTCGTCCGCGACTGTGACATAGAGGCAATGAGTGTGGGTCACGACGAGGCAACCGCGTACGGTTACAACGATGTAACGGACGATCCGACCATGGGGTGGGCGAGATACGCCCACACCATGCGGGTCTTTGCCATGGATTCGGGCTTTTTCTTGGTTCGCCCCACGGCACCCGCTCTGGAGCTGTTTGATCGGGTGGCGGCACGGCTGGGGGGGGCGGCGAGAGGAGGGAGCGGGATTTCGGGGCTGGTGAGCCCCCTTGTGGTGTTCAATGAGGAAATGTTCTACCCGTCCCGGCCGGAGTATAAGGGGGTCTTCATCTCCAGGCGCGTTCTGGACATTCACCGGTTCATCAATTCTAAGGTATGTCCACACCATGCTGTGATGAACACCTTGTGCACCATGTGGTTCACCATGCACACCATGCGTACCATGCACACCATGCACACCATGCGCACCATGCGCACCATGCGCAGCATGCGCACCATGCGCAGCATGCGCACCATGCGCAGCATGCGCACCATGCGCAGCATGCGCACCATGCACACCATGCACACCATGCACACCATGCGGTTCTTGCCATGCTGGACTTGTCTCGTCCGTCATGGCCGGAGTACAAGGGAGTGTTCATCTCCTGGTGAACGTGAGTGCACGTGTGCTGGACATTCACGGGTTCTGGCTCATCAACTCTAAGGTATGTGCTGCTCCTTGTGCTTTCTGGGCTTGTGAACCCGCGTGACTCCAACTACTGATCAATTTATTGATTCCGCAGGGTGTTTCTGAGAATTCTCAAAAACACCCTGCAAATTATAGGTAGGCTCTACTCATTCGGTCCCTTGATTATCAATCCCACCTTATTTCATCTCGCACGTTTCCCTCTCCCTCTCGCTCGCACCTCTCTCTCCCTCTTGCTTCTCTCTGTCTTTGTTGTCGGCTCTATTTGCAAAGATACGGCAGACTGCAGTCTTAAGTTGGTTGGACCACCATCCCCATTCCTCTCTGCCCCCGTCCCTGTGCTATACCCCTAATAGTTGTGCTTCGTATATCTCAAGAGGGTCAACAACAGACTGCAGGCTTTGGTGGGGTCAGCAATGAGGGGTCAGTAACCACTGCGTGGTCAATGTCCCCTCGTTTGCCTGCCATGCCAGCCTTCGTGTGTCCACCCTCTTATCTCCTTCCCCTCTCTCCCTATCCTCCTCGTGCCGGCAGGTTCTCTTGGGCGAGCTCAAGAGGGACTATGGCAGACTGCAGTCTCTAGTAGGGTCAGCTGTGGCAGTGCATAGCGTATCAATCACCACAATTCCACCCTCCTATCTCCTTCCTGCCCCTCCCTATCCTCCTTGTGCCGACAGGTTCTTTTCGACGAGCTCAAGAGGGACTATGGCAGACTGCAGTCTCTGGTCGGGTCAGCAGTGGCAGTTCATTTTCCAGCTCTCACTCAATTCCCAATTTCCTATCTCCTTCCCTTTTCTCCATATACGCCTTACAGGTTCTTGGCGACCTCGAGAGGGACTACAGTAGGCTGGAGTCGTTGGACGGGTCAGCCGTCCAACGACAGTAGGTTGAAGTCGCTGGACGGGTCAGCCGAGGCACTATCAACCATCCCAGGCTGAGGCACGCCAACTATCCTCACTCCTCAGTCTCAGTAATCCCTCCTCACCTCACTGTCGCTCCCTGTTTGCTTTATCCGCGCTACAGGTTCTATTCGGCAACCTCAAGAGGGACTACGGCAGGCTGCAGTCTCTAGTGGGGTCAGCAGTGGTAGTGCATGTCAACTACCATGTGGATAAGCTCACGCGCTTATCAGCCATCACCTCCTTTTTCATGGATCGGGAGAGAAGTGCGTTTGACGCCCTGTCCCTGGCTTCGTCATGAACCTGTAAAGGGGTTCCGTTGTAGGGCCACTGTTGCATGCTCATGTCACATACTGAAATTATGTGGATAGGTTCGCTTCGCGTGCTTATCAGTGTTGAAGTATACTCGACGTGGTTTACCGTACTTCAGTAACCAGCCATCCCATCACGTCCTTTTTCACGGATTAGGAGGGAACTGCGTTTGACGCCCCCTTTCCCTGGCTTTCTCGTGAGGATCCATCCATCATATGGTCCCGGGTTTCGCCATGAGGCTGTTAAGGGGTTCCACTGAAGGGCCACTGTACTGTTGCATGCTCATGTCACATACATGCTGATGTTATGTGGGTAGGTTCACGCACGCTTGTCGTCAGCCATCACCTCCTTTCTCAGAGATGGGGAGAGGACTGCGCTTGACAACGCCCCCTGTCCCTGGCTCCGTGCGAGGCTGTAAAGGGATTCCGTGTCAAACATGTGTATTTGTCATGTTTGTATAGACTGTATAGGGTCGCCTCTTAGAGAGTACAATACTTAGGTATATCTGTGTGTACTCTCACTCTATCATCATTCACTCTCAATTCTGATATGGTATCACGCGTAGGTAGGATCCCCCCCCACCTACCGCTTCCGCTCACCCCTCTAGCCCCTAGCCCCGTCGCGACCCCCCTAGCCCCGTCGCGCCCCATCCTGGGCCCTGTAGCGCCCCTCCTAAGCCCCGTCGCACCCCTCACTGGGCCCCGTCGCGCCCCTCCCAGGCCCCGTCGCGCCCCTCCTAGGCCCGGTAGCGCCCCTCCTGGGCCTCGTCGCGCCCCTCCTGGGCTCCGTAGCGCCCCTCCTGGGCCCCGTCGCGCCCCTCCTGGGCCCCGTCGCGCCCTTCCTGGGCCCTCTAGCGCACCTCCTGGGCCCCGTCGCGCCCCTCCCAGGCCCCGTCGCGCCCCTCCTGGGCTCCGTAGCGCCCCTCCTGGGCCCCGTCGCGCCCCTCCTGGGCCCCGTAGCGCCCCTCTTGGGCCCCGTCGCGCCCTTCCTGGGCCCTGTGGCGCCCCTCCTGGGCCCCGTCGCGCCCCTCCCAGGCCCCGTCGCGCCCCTCCTAGGCCCCGTAGCGCCCCTCCTGGGCCTCGTCGCGCCCCCCTCCTGGGCTTCGTAGCGCCCCTCCTGGGCCCCGTCGCGCCCCTCTTGGGCCCCTGTAGCGCCCCTCCTGGGCCCCTGTAGCGCCCCTCCTGGGCCCCCGTCGTGCCCCTCCTGGGCCCCGTAGCGCCCCTCCTGGGCCGCGTTGAGCCCCCCCCCCCTCCTGGGCCTCGTCACGCCTTCAGGCCCCGTCGCGCCCGCCCGGCCCCGTCGCACCAGCCCGGCCCCATCGCACCAGCCTAGCCCCGTCACGCCCGCCCGGCCCCGTTGCACCCGCCCGGCCCCGTCGCCCCCTGCCCGGCCCCGTCGCAGCCGCCCGGCCCCGTCGCACCCGTCCGACCCCGTCACGCCCGCCCAGCCCCGGTGCGCCCCTCCTGGGCCACCGTCCTGCTCGCCCGGCCCCGTCGCACCGGCCCGGCCCCGTCGCACCAGCCCGGCCCCGACGCACCCACCCGGCCCCGTCGCACCAGCCCGGCCCCGTCGCGCCCGCCCGGCCCCGTTGCACCGGCCCGGCCCCTGCGCTCGTCCCTGCCCCGGCCCCGGTCCTCCTCACTGGTACGGTTTCCCCCCCCCCCCCCCCCCCCCTCCCCGCCCTGCACTGCCCTGCACCGTACTGCCCCGCACGGCACCGCCCCGCACCACCCTGTACTGCCTAGCACCGCACTGCACTGCCCTACACCGCACTGCACCGCACTGTACCGCACGGCACCGCACTCCACCTTGCTGCACTGCCCTGCACCGCACTGCACTGTTCCTGATGGCGGCGGAGCTTCGCTTCGACGCTGAAGGCCAGCCTCTGGAGTTCGAGGCGTGGCTTGCCGACCTCCGTCGGCAACTCACTGGCCAGCGGCAGGATGGTGAACCGCTCTCCGCCCACCTTGACGGTACGCTCCCCTGCCCAGACCCCCCTGCTATTCTGCCCGCTGACTCCACACCCACTGAGCGCGAGTCCACTGCTGCCACTGCCCGTGCGCGCTCTGTCTGGCTTTCTCGCGATGCTGTCGCCCAGCTTGCCATCAGCAACGCCCTTCCCCCGTCCGAGCGCCCTCGCTTTAGGTCTCTCACCACTGCTCAGGCATACTTAGATGCTGTCATCCAGCGCTATTCCACCCCTCCGGCTGCCTCGGTGGGTCGCCTGATCCTCCCGATGCTCTTTCCTGACCTTGCATCTTTCCCCACTGTCTCTGACCTCGCTGCCCACCTGCGCTCGATAGATGAGACCTGGCGCGCAGCCTGCACTGATGCACAGCTTAGAGCCCACCAGCCGCCCATTACCTCTACCCTCTACCTGCTTGCCACCCGCCTCCCTGACCGCCTTGCTGTCGCCCGCGACCGCTTCCTTAGCATTCACCCCGCAGACCTCACCCTCACTGACTTTGTAGACACCCTGACTGTGATAGAGACCCGTCACCGCTCCATCGCCTAGGCGAGCGGTGTCGTGCCGGTCCCTATCTTTCAGGGTTGTGCCCCCGCCCAGTGTACCTTCTCCGACGGCTCTGCCGCAGTGGCTGAGACTGCTGCTGCAGCGCAGTTTCGTTCGGGGAAGGGCCGCCGCCCCAAGGTTGGGCGCGACGGCGGCGGCGGCGGGGGTGCGGGAGGGGGTAGTGGTGGGGTCGGGTCGTCTGGTGCTGGAGCGGACGAGGGGACCCTGCCCAGTCCAGCTGAGCCGCCGCCCCTGCAATTGCAGCAGCCGCAGCAGCCGCCGCAGTCTCAGCCTTCGCAGCAGCCGCAGCAGCCGTCGTAGACGCGGCAGACGAGTGTCCTCCCGCCCGGGTGGCCCGGCGCTGGCGGTGGCCGGGCGCGTGGTGGTGTACGGAGTGGTGGCTCTGGCGGCGGGCGTTGTCAGTACCAGATCCAGACCGGTCCTCGCCGCGGTTTCGTTTGCGGTAGGCTCGGTCTCTCCACTCCCCGCTGTTTTCGTCGCCTGGACGACCTCTTTCGTCAGCGCTTCGGCCCGTCGCCAGACCTCCCGGACTGGCACAGTTTGCTTAGTCGTAAGATTCAGATCTTTGATATGGACATGGATGCCATTGTTGCTGCTCTGCATGTAATGTATGCTGATGACTCTAGTGTGCTTCCCGCTTATTACTCACTGTTGCCTAGTGTAGGTGTGCCTAGCTTAGCGTCCCCTGCTGCGTCACACGTAGGATCCCCTGCTTTGTGTAGTCTTGGTGCTTCCGCCGTCGTTCCGTTGCCAGACGCCTCTGCTTCGCTTTCCTTCACCTTGGACTCTGGCGCTTCTCGGTGTTTCTTCCGCGACTCCACCACCCTGACGCCGCTTCCTGTCCCAGCTGCCGTCTCTCTTGCTGACCCCTCCGGCGGTCCGGTAGTCGCCCGCAGTTCAACCACCCTTCCTTGTCCGGCGGTTCCTTCGGGCACTCTCACAGGTCTGCATATCCCCTCGTTCTCTAGGAACCTAGTTTGTGTCGGCTGCCTGCAGGACCTTGGCGTCACCACTACGTTCCCTGGTCACGAGCGGTATGCTGTCTGTACCGAGGCCGCCACTGGTGCCCCCCTGTCCACGTTCCCCCGGGACCCGGTGTCCGGCCTGTTCACTCTGGACACCGTGACCCCCCTGGCTGGGGCGCCTCCTCAGGTGGCTGCGTCTACCCAGGTTGCTGCTGCCTGCTCCTGTCGGTCCCTCACTCACCTGACTCTCCTTTGGCACCACCGCCTAGGTCACCCTGCGCTCCCGCGTCTGCGTCACATGTCCCAGCACGGTCTTGTCCTTGGTCTCCCAGGTTCCCTCCCCGCGTTTCCCTCCTCCCCAGCCCCACCTTGCACGCCTTGTGTCGAGGGTCGGCTTCGCCGTGCCCCGCACTCCTCCTCGTTTCCCCCTACCGCCGCGCCGCTGCAGACCCTGCACCTGGACGTCTGGGGCCCCGCCCCCGTCCCTGGGCCGCGTCGAGAGCGCTACTTCCTTGTGCTTGTCGACGACTTCACTCGTTACACCACAGTCTTTCCCCTGGAGCGCAAGGCCGACGTGCCTGGCGCTCTCATCCCCTAGCTTGTCTCTGCGCGTGTCCACCGCGGTCTCCCTGTCTTGTGTCTTCACTCCGACCGTGGTGGCGAGTTTGCCTCAGGTGTCCTTGGTTGTTTTTGTCGTGCGGAGGGCATCTCCCAGACGTTCACCCTACCGGACTCCCCACAGCAGAATGGGGTCGCTGAGCGATGCATCGGTTTGGTCATGGAGGTGGCTCGCACCTCCATGATCCATGCCGGTGCACCCCATTTTCTGTGGCCGTTCACTGTGCGCTACGCTTCTCACCAGCTTAACCTGTGGCCGCACCCTCAGCAGCCGCAGGTTTCGCCGACCCGTCTTTGGACTGGGTCTCCTGGTGACGCGTCTGCGTTCCACGGCTGGGGCTGCCTTGCTCACGTCCGGGCCTCCGGCACGGACAATCTCACTGCCCGCACCCTTCCCTGCGTCTTCCTCGGCTTTCCCCTTGACGCGTCTGACTGGCACTTTTACTATCCGCCGTCTCACCGCTTCTTTCACTCTCTGGCCGCCCCTCCCCTGGCGTCCCCTCCCCAGCCCCCCCCTCCACCGCCTCTGCCGCCGCTGCAGCCGTTGTTGTCGCTGCCCCCGCCGCCGCCGCCGCCGTCGCAGCACCCGTTCGCGGAATCTGGGGGTGCTCGTCCCGGTAGCCCTGGGGGTGGTCCCTCTGGGGGTGCTGGTGTGGAGAGTGCCGGTGGTAGCCGAGGAGCAGCTTGCGGTCCCGGTGTCGCCGTTGTGCCGCCGCAGCAGCAGTCCCCGCCGGTGTCAGCCCTTCGCCTGCTCGGCCTTCCGTCACCCGACCCTGCGTCGGTTCCTCCACGGCTGTCTCCTCCTCTTCCTGTCTACAGCCCTGTCTTCCCTCCGCCGGACTCGTCCCCAGCCCGTCTCCCCCCTCGTTCCCCTCCTGTGTCCCCTCCTCTGTCTCCTGACCCGACTCCTCCGTCGCACGTCTGGTCTCACCGTCCCTCCCGTGCTCGTCCTGCCTCGCCTGTCTTGCGCTCCCACCCTATGTTGCTTCGTTCCCACGCGTCTCGTCCTCCCCTTCTGCCGTCGCCTCCTCCGTCCTCCCTTGTTGTTGCACCCCCCCCGCTGTCTGACTACCTTCGTGCCGCTCGTCCCCTTGTTCCTCGGGTCCTTGCCTCTCTCGTTACCGACCCGTCTGTTCCGACCTCGTGCCTTGACGCTCTTGTCGCAGCTGTCGCTGACTTCGCCTCTACCCGCCGCCTTGACTACGCCTCCGCTCTGGTCTCTGACCCTGCCTGTCCTCCGTCTGTCGGGGGTGCTCCTGCCCTTGGCAGTGACGTCCTGGAGGACCGCCTGTTCGAGCTTGCTTT